GTTTGGATTTATCGTGATTCGTTGCCACTGCTGACGTTTTTTTCCTCGCTCGGCGCATTGTTAGTGTGTATGTTTGCACATACTGACACAGGATTTTGCCAGACATTCAAATTGGATGCGGCGAATTCAAATGCTCCGAATGGTTCGAATGTCATTTTGTTTAACTTTTAAAATATTACCCGTCATTTGACTTTGTAATCATATAGCGAGATGAGAAAGTGCAAGAGAGCGCGCAACTTTGATAAAATCCAGCTCGTCCACGGCTGTTTCCCGCAAGTGTTAATCTGTGTTGTCATCAAATGGATAATTGTATAATTATTTTATCTGCCGTATATGCTTTAGCTACTGTGCTAATGCCATTCTCGCTGTTTGTTGTTCCTTTTATCTCTCTCTCAACTCGTACGTTCCAGCCAAAGCAAATGAAATTGAAAGCCATTTATATGTTTAATGTGTTGTGCATGTGCGTCGATTTGGTTCTAAATGCGCTGACAATTGCAGATTCGTTTTAATTACCGTAAAAGGTGACACAAGTTAACTCGATACTCGGCTACAGTACAACGTACACAAGAAAAGGCGATTCGATGTTTATTAGCATAAAAATTGGGCCAAAGACTCCCTTTGCACATCTCAATCGAATTGCGCTCTCAAATATTTTGGGACCAAAACTAAATAAAAGCGAGCGAGCGAGAGAGAGAGAGAGAGAGAGAGAGAGAGCAGATGGGCGAAAATCTGTTTGCATCTTATTCTCATTTTGGAAATTCCATTAAAAATTTTTATGCACATTTGCGTTCAGCTCTCTATGTCCTCTCGGTGTCTGTCGGTTGTTTGGGCCGAAATTCGCTTATGCGAATGAAAGAGGCTGCCATACATCGAATGGCGTTCGTTTTCCATGTGACCTGCACTAACAGACACCGATACCGTAGAAACGGTAAAGCAAGCGAAAAAGGACATTTTCTACGTCGTATATCAGGCGAGAGAAGCGTGCTGCATGCATGCTACAACGCACACACACATATAACATATTTGAATGGAGCTATTGTTAGGGCTAAAAGCCATTCACATGAAAGTGAGTAGAGTGCTCGTCGGGCGCCCATCCTCATCCATACACACGCTTGGTTTGCTCCCTCACACTCACTCGCTCGCTCGCTCTTTGTTTTGGAAAATATTTGAAAACCGATTTAAATGCCATATGCTTTTCGGTTCATCTTGTGGGCGAAGAAAACTTGTGGAGCGGAAAATTGTATAGATGTATGTTGACAAATAACAAATGAGTGGCTCGAAAAACGCAGTAACCGCTGCTTTTGCTTTTTGTTTTACACCATAAAACCCATGTGTGAGCGTGTGTCTCTGTTTTAAAATGTTTGCTTTGTTATTCTTGTGCTGGATGTTGGTGCTATTGTTTTACATGCTCTGGACGCGTTCGTGTTTTTCCCAGAAATAAATGAAATGCATACTTTAGGTTGAGCAAACACGGTCCGTTGTTTTTGAATTGGGCTTTCGGATATTTAGACACGGCAACCACACTCTACGATAACAACAATAATCGTCACCCCGGCCGCCAAAGCTCGTTTGGGCCATGGGATCTTTTTTGATTTCGTCATACTGTATAATGTTACCTGTGCCGTTGGATAACAATGACACCAACAAATACAGCGACAATACCAATGACGACGACAACGGCGACGATGAGAAGGCAACCAGGGTTGGTGATCAATTTTAAAGTGATTTGGAAATTAGTGTAATTTATATTGGTGCACAATGGATATCATGCGCGAATCACAGCAACCAAATTAAGATTGGATGTTTTGTTAAAACATTGCTGTTTGGTTTCATTCACTTGATTGATGTTGTTGTTGTTGTTGAGACACGAACAAATTTATTGAGATCGAAACAACGAATCCGCTCTACATGCAGTGCATTTCAAAATGTGTACACGACCGATGAAGAAATGTTCATTTCACATTTCCGATTTAGAAATGGTGAAGGAGCCGAGCCCGAGCCTGAAGTCACCATTGCCATCTTGGCCAATTACTGTGTTCATTGTAAGAAATAAGTAATAAAATACGAAAAAAATTAGAAGTCTTGTTACGAAGTAAATTGATGGCTACACCGAATTTGTAATTGAAAATTACGACAAGCATCGATTTGATAATTCTATGTTCCACGTCAAAGTCCGAAGCGGTAATTAAATTGAAATGGAAAGCGTTCGCCTCGTGTACACGCTTAATAGTTATGATTATCGATTATGTTTGATGTTATCCGTTCGGTGTCATTGAATCCAGCGCATGAAACCAACAAAAAGAAATGACAAATGATTTCAAAGAGAGAGAGAGAGAGAGAGAGAGAGAGAGAGAGAGAGAGAAATAGACGACGAATTAGTGAAAATTGTAATCCACTTTGGAATTGGTCGGCCAATTTGTTCCACCCAACATTTCTTCGTTACAGAAAAGAAACCCGGTGCTCATCATTAATAACACCGACATAGCACAATGCTACAATCGACGGAAAAAAAGTTTCAATTAAAATTCGAAAATTCAACGTTTTGTGTTTGCAACGCTGTGTAGAAGAGTGAAGAAGATTCAGCGTGAATTTTGTTACGCACACACAGAATTGCGCGCACACTCGTCTTTCGATCGTGACTCTCTTTTACTTAACAAGAAAATCACGCAAAGTAACAAATAATTCAATTGAAATTATTTATGTAATGCACGGGTTTCGTTTGGTTTCGTTTTTCTTTTCATTGAAGTGGTTTTTTTCGCTCTTTCATTATTTTTTTCATTTTTCAAATAAGTGGCAATGTTTTCGATTTCATTGTCTAGCACATCGCGAATAACAAAAAAAAAAAACGCTCAGCCAGTTTAATGGAGTGTGTGTTTGCGTTGTGCAGCTGTTTCATCGCAATTTTGTATTGTTAGGTTGCGCATTACGGAGATGAAAATAAGAAGCAAGGTGGGCAGATATTCTTCTATTATTTTTCTTTGCTTCTCTCTCGCTATCTCTCGCCTTGGCTGATTTCTGTTCGTGTGGTTTAGTAACAATCACGAGAAACCATTCCAAAGTAAGTGGTACGTGGGAAATAATTTGAATGAATTGCATTTGCAAGCAAACAAATATATCACACAGCTCAAAGCGGAGCTTGGACATTTTCAATGAATACGGTTAGTTAGAGCATTAGTTTTTTGATTAGCGAAAGGTCTTTGTGTTTTTCTCTTTTGTGGTTTTTTTGCATCTTTCCCGCTGTTTAGATTGCATTTGATAATCTGGGTTGCTTGACACAATACCGTTACCTGATGTCAACGTTTCGCAGATAATACAAGAAACACAACGACACGCGCTCTTGGGTTGACGAACTTCCACTACATCGTTATAGAATTACCGTCAACAGACAATGAAACCCGTTTTTCTACACTATTTTGGGTAAAATGCTTAAACTTGAAATCAATGCATATTTATTATGTTTAACGGATTACTTAATCTATTCAAACGGATTCACAGAAATCGATTTTGTGTGTTGCTTTTTTATTCTCCTTCATCGTCAAACCTTCTCTTCTTTTGAACTTTACTCTAGTACTGATGAAACGATTTCAGACATTCAAACAGATTAGAGAGCCGAAAAAAGCATTCCATTGAAACTTTCATTTCGATTGATTCCTTTCTATCTTTCTCTTTTTTTTTATTTGAAAATGAATAAAGTTCTGATTTTAATTTCAAAACGGTTTTTCCATATGATTCGAATTAGATATTCACATGAAAAATTGTTTTGCACAACAGAAACATAATCCGGCATACAGACTTTGCAGAATTCAAGCATTCGATTTTGATTCTGACGTATAGGCATACGAATTTTTCCATACACACAATCGTCGTGCACGTGTATGATGGGAAAATATGCCAAAATTTTGAACGAACACGTTTTAATTTTGAAAAAACACCCATTATACATGTTGCACATCAAACTTGATCGAATGGCGAAGAATGCCTTTTGAAGCAATCTCATCGTCTCACAAACATCTTGATTTCTACTTGAACTCCGACTATGAAAAGTTGATTATGTAAAAGTAGACTGCGAACAAAAATGTCGTCTCATTGAAAAATCACTACTATTTATGTCATTTGTGCACACACTTTACAATTCTAATTTGGGTTTATGAACGATCAATTCAATTAAATTTTATGCTGAAATATTGGCGAACATTCTCTCTTTTATATTTTTTCATGCGTTGATTTCCAAGAAGATTTATAAATTCAGGTGGATCTTTCTAAATTTAAATTTAGAATTCTTTTTTTAAAAATAAAGCTTTGTGTGTTTCTATTCTTTTCTCGTTTATGAAAAAGAAATTGCTGTTGCTAAGCTGACCTTTCTGGGAACACCATGTGTTGTTGGCACCTTCCTTATTTTCCTTTTCTTTTTTCTTTTTTTAACAAATTTGTCCACCTCAACATCGTCCTAGGCGTTCATTGCCACGAATGCACGAAAGAAGTGAGAATAGCAATGAAAGCCTAGGCGTTCAGTATTTAAAATGTACATAAAAATTATGAAAACCTCATCGAACGAATGTAGGCTTTCATCAAAGCCTATCACGTTCACCCGGGTTCGTTTATTTTTTCAGTTTTCATATAGAATCACCCATTTTTTTCCAACTAAAATTTCTCCAATTCAATGTCAGAATACACTTTTCTATTTGTGAATATATCAACATCTTTTATTAATACAAAGACTAAAATCCCTATTATTCCTTTTACTCAGTTTTTATCATAATAATTTGTGTCTTGAGATAACACATTGATTGTGTTTGGTTCAATTACCGTTGATTTCTTTCAGTTAAACGAGAACTATTTGACAGTTTGGTGATGTGCGTATTGATGCTGTTTCAATTTCAAACGATTCAGTCATCTGTGGTTGCACTGCCAACTAACTGTCAAAGTCACCGCTTAACTTACAGATCGTTGAAAATTTCGTTTGCAAGCAATAGTCTCACAATTATTTTTCCGGAAAATTAAACACTACACCGATAAATTTTGTGATCGACTCGTTGAATCAGCATTTCACTGTCGGAAAAGACACTTTGGTATGAATTATTTTCATTGGAATTTGTTGATTTTGAATTGGAAACTTTGAAATGTTTCCAGTTTTAATAAATGCAAGTATTCTAATCGGAATTCCACTTTTGATTTCATTCTAATTAGGATTACACTTGTCGAACGCATCATTCATTTTCTCTGAAACGAAAAACTACACCAAATCGAAATGGATCAGCAAAAATTTGAAGGAAAACGGGCAGAAGGAGTGAATGAACCACAGCACAACACAGCCACTGAACAAGCACCGAAAATCTTCAAATTGAACGTCGATTGCTTCGAACACGTGTTGGATTATCTATCAATCGATGATTTACACTCGTTCGGACAAACGTGTAAACGAATGCAACGAGTGGTTGGCCATTTATATAAACAAAAAATTTCTGGTTTTCGTGAATTTACCGTCCATTCTCCTTGTGAAACAGTGAATTCTCTTGACGACAAAAATGAAATATACTCACTGAGTTCTTGTCCAAAGCTTTTTTTCCTTTCCTATTTTGAAAGACCCAAAGTGTCTTTCCGTTCGCAACAAATAGACGATGCATTCATTTCAGTGTAATAAAAAACATGCTTGACCTCTGAACAAAGTTAAGTCGTGTCATAAATTCATCTCAATTTGGAGCTGCAAAGGTAAATTGATTAGCCGCGACACTTGCGTGGCTCTCATTTAATCCAATCATTATTATTAATCCTAAATATCCACTTTGCATGCTAAAATGTGATGGAAAAGAGTGCGCATTAGAAGCAATAACAACAACAAAAAACGTTCCATTTCCCTTTGGGCCATTAACGGACGCCATTCATAAACTTTTATTTACTAAAACATATTTCATAACACGAAGCATAAACTAGTGTTCTTTGGAGTAGATACAAAAAAAAAGTCTACCGCTGGAATGGGTAGTATTCGATGCCCATTTGTGGTAACCATTTCTTCTTCTTGCCTTTGTCTTGCATTTGCAGCAGTTTCTTGACATCCTCCCGATATGCAACTGGTTGCAGTTCTGTTTCGAGTGTGCATTCGAATTCCTTTGGTTGTTCAACTGGGAAAATTTTACAACGAACTACATCAACATCAAGATTTGCCTCTTCTTTCAAGTCCTCTTGCACTTGTGAGCTCACATCGAATTTGAAAACAATATGTTCGGCTTCACGATATGGCTGACGATTCTTACTGATTTTGTATGGCAATTTGTTGAATCCCAAGTAATCGATTTTCCGAATGAAACCGCCTCGGTCGAAAATTAGATCGGCTGAACGCTTTACGGCTGCCTTGAATTCAGGCTGAAAATGAGAAACAAACATTGAGGTTATGTTTTGCATTGTGCTTTGTATACTTTATAGAAATTCTTTTTGTTTTCTGAATAAAACTGACTAATTTCCAATTCTGTAGATTGTACATACCCGAACCAATTGCCGGAACAACAAAACCATCTCATAAGTCGGCATTTTCACTGAATATTCTTGTATTTTTGCATAAACCAAATGAAAACACCGTCTCAACTCCAATGAAAATGTTTCAGCTTTTGACAATATGCTTGAAGACGTCAAATGGAAACGTCAAGTTGCGTGAGTCCAACAATTCGTGCACAATTCAGCGCTGACATCGGTGATTTTAATGTTGATGTAGCCGAAATAGAATGTTGATAATATCTACTGAATCAAGGTCGAATTTTCAAATCAAAAGAAACTCCATTTAATTTCTGTGACCACTTTGATATCTTAATGGTTTGAATTGTTTAATGTTCATAATATTCGTTATACAATTAAAATGATGATTGTTTAACGTAAAAAAAAGAAATGATCCTTGTCTGCCTATTATTATTTGTGTTTAAAAAAGCGATTTGATCTTTCAAAAAGAGAGAGAAACAAAAGAACGGTTGACGCTGAAATGCTTTTGAAATTTAGACAAGAATATATGACCATGAATCGGAAATTGGTTGGTTTTACTCTTCACCAGAGTTGTCTGATCCTTCGGTTTCAAAAGTGTTATCGGGAATATCGTACAAACGAATCATTGGCTTGTTTGGATCTTTCATGATCAAATATTTGCCATCCTTTTGTTTCATGCAAATGTCGATGATGCATCGCAAAATGCCCCATGCGTTGTCCATGCTCAAGTTGATTTGTGTGGCAAATTCTTGTGGCCGGAATTGTGATGTGCCCAAAATGACGTGACGCGATGAATCACGAATGTGTGCACGCGATACATAGCCGAATTTTATGTGATCCGAACTGGCTAACAGCGCTTGCACTGTCCATTTCGCCAATTTGCATGCATTGTTACGGAGTTCATTGGCCAAAACAGCACCACGTTGGGTATCAAGCTTCTGGCGCCAGTCAACGCCATTGGCTGCCTTTGAATCCCATTCATTCAGCGCTTTGATGGATAAGAATTGTGGTTCACCGTTTGGCGTTTGCATAGCAGCATCAAGCTCACAACGGGCAACTAATACCTGTGAAAATGAGGCATGGGATAAATTAAAGTACTTCTAAAGTGAAAATGATTTAGTTGTTCGAACAATTAAAACATACAATATCGTTTCCAAGATCCCATTTACGGTATCGGTATGCAACGCTGGCAACTTCACCTTCTTCCTCTTCAGTGATGAATGGATTTGGATGTTCAAACTTGTATTTCTCTCCACCTTTTAATACCTGTGAATTGACAAATCAAATGAGTGAATATTGAGCTCAACAAAATACTTTCATAGAAAAAACCGTCGAATACGACTTTAAATCACCTGCTGGCTGAAGTTGTGATTGATGAAAGTGGCTTCGATGGCCAAATTTCTGGGCCCGTTCAATGAGTTTCCATCCTCATTTGGTGGTTCAACGGATGTTTCATTGACGGTCAACAAATCGAATTCAGTGTTATCTCGCTTGTCCATGAACAATTTGCCGCCAATCTTCTCAATAACAATATCCCACGAGTAGTTTGACCGTGTGCTGCACATAATTGTTGCCAAAATGGCATCCGTAGCATAAACGTTTCCTTCGGTTTTCGACAATTGACGAATGACTGGGTCATCGGTGGTGGTAACGGTGTGGAAAATACGATCAACACGTTGCAATGGCCGTTCATTTTTTACATTAACACGATCATACGTTTTATCGTAGAATTCTAATGCACCGCAACGACGGATATCTTCACCCTCTTTGATGCCCGGCAACGACAACTTCAACAAACGTGGAAAATCCATTTCTTCAATGGTCGTCCAATCGGCACGTACAGCAACTGAAGCATCACGAATCTTTGGTGGTGGACCACGAGCTCCCCATTTGCGTGTGATACCGCGTCGATTGTCACGAATCTTCACATTCTTGTTCAATTGTTGCATGCCACCGGCATTCATTGAACGATTGCCACGACCACTAAAATGAACCAAACAGAAAAAAATCGAATCAGAAATTGTTTGCTCCGAAAATATGAATGGAATAACAGGTAGTTACCGCAAGTGACGGGCATTTCCACGGAAGCGTCCCCGTTGGTATGGTGGCTTCTGCACACGAGCAGTATCGACCAAATGGAAAGTGGTCTCATCTTCATCGTGGTAGTAGGCATACTGGCTTCCAGTTCCGAATTGCGAAGTGTATTTATCTGAAAATCCGAATAAAAGGTTAATTCATCACATATGCTAATTAGTCTTCGGTGAATATAACCTCACAATTTTGCAGTGACGTTCACTGCATTCACAAAACACTTTCAGACTTTGATTGAATTATATTTTCTGTTGTGTTTTGAAACAGATTGTTTTTTTTTGACGTGACTTACTTGGGAATTTCTTATCCATTTGGGCTGTGCCGGTCCAATCACTCACTTTGCCGATGCGGTCACTCTTGCTGAATGGCTATTGGTACAAAGCGAAACAGATTCGGATTTTAGTACATTTTCTCAATTTCAACGCAATGTAAATCGTTATAAAGTTCATGTTTCTATGGATTTAAACACAATACACCTGCATCAAATCAATTCACTCTTCATTTCACATTTCTCTCCCTTTCGCTACATTGTGCAGTTTATGTCATCGCATAGAAAAAAAACCATTGCAAAAAAAAAAACTTACCTGATACGGCATAACGCGAAAATCTTCGGAGATTTCATGCGGTCCCCATCCTTCCTCATTATACTGCAACGTTGGCATCGAAAAGAGCCCAGATCCGGCATCGGTTTCAGACATTTCAAATTAAATTCAAACAAACTTTTTCACAAAATAAATTGAAACTCCCGTTTTTATCAAGCTGTAAAAGTGACAAAGTTTAACACGTTTCACACAAGAAAAGAATTGCCGAATCGACGTGAAGTTGGCTCCTGTCTATCAAAATGCCGACTTGATAGTTTCCATTCCATTTCATTTCGTTTGGAATGCGAACGTTGTGTGTTTTATATGGTATAAACAATATTTATGTGCAATTTTGTATTCGACAACATGAAAAAATTGGTTGATTTTGATAAAGTCTGTGTATTTATAGGCAACATTAAATTCATTTTGGCAAAAATATCCAATTTCGTACATTAAATCATATAGTTTAATTTAATTCAGTCCCACAAATGTGAAATGTATTGTTTTCATATTCCGACAAATTCACCACACCAATGACGACGTTCAGTGTGCAACGTCTGTTTCAGTAGCATGCGGCAAGCAATCCTTAGCATAGCACCAGCGGCGGTTGGTGTGTGTGTGTGTGTGAGTGAGTGAGAGTGTTTGTGTGTGCGTCTGACAGTTGAGAATAGAGAGCGAAGCGGCAGCAGTAGTTTGTAACCGATGTTCGAATAACAAAACACACAACCGACAACGCGCTACTTGCACACACCAGACTCAAAAACACATTCTATGTTTTTTGTTCGTTTCATTTGAAGAAAAGCATTCGGTTTGTTTGCAAAATATTGTGAATATCGGCAGTGCTGCACCGATTATAAATAGACAGAAGAAAAAAACACATGCCGTAGCAGTCGTCGCGCTTCTAATGAGAAGAAAAAAAAACCGTTTCTTTCTTCATTCAGTCTAATTTCTATTTGATTTAATTGCGTGTTTTTTTTATTTTATTTGTTTTACACCCGTGGGAAATAATTGTTGCTAGATTGTTAATCGAACATTTGAATATAGATTTCCTTTTATTTTATTTTAAATGTTGTGTTAGTGTGAACTTTGAATATTTAATGCGATTGTTGTATGTAATTTTATCGATAATACGTTGATATTGGCGCAAGAAAAAGGAATGAATTTTATATGTGTGTAAAATGATGTCGAAGCCATCCGTCGCAGCACAAAAGAAGCGGGTATCAGGTAATTTTCGTTGGAATTTTTCATACCAATTTCTGTGTGCTGTCTGTGTCGGGAATGAGTGATTTATTAATGCTGCATAAATATGTTCATACAATCGTCGCTAAGTGTGTCTGTATGTATGGGTTTGCGTGTTCACAAGTGAAAATCATAATTGCAAAATATAAAAATCCTTTTTCATGGATTTTATTCCAACATGAAACTGTCGTGAACTTTAACGGGCAAAACAATAAAATGCTCGGCAAAAAAAGTTGGATGTTAGCAACGATCGATCGAACACAATATTTCTGTGTTGATATTTGATACTCATGCGAATTTCTTGGCATCGATTGCTGTTTCTTGTCGTTGCTATACCCTCTGTGTTCGGCTTTGCGCGGCATAAAACAAAGTTGGATTCGATTTTTCCCTTTTGTTAGGAAAAGAAAGTTGAAATTAACATATTTTTGTGATTACGGGCCATTCGATTGCCTGACACACATTGAAACCGAGCACGGTTGTCACAGGCTCATACGTGTGCTTGTTGTGCGCTCCACATTCAATTGCGACCGAAAAGACAGCCACACAGTACACAGCACTACAGCACACAAAGTATCGAACAACAATAGTGAGTGTCAGAGCACACGACACGGAACGATTTATTGTATGCAACTGAGTGAGTGAGTGCTGTATATGTTTCGTATCCAATTGGCTTTGATGATATTGTTCCGATGCTAAGGAACTACTTTTGCTTGTTTTGATAGACGATTTAGTTTGAACCGCTGTGTTGGCATTGAGCATATCGAACCAGTCTCGTTCGTCTACCAATTTTTTTTTTCTCTCACTGAACACCGACCGACAAAACGGTTGAGTTCAGTATCTATTTGTCGGCACCGATTAATTTTGTACATTTTATCTGGGTGTTTGGTGTGTGTTTGTGTGTTTGTGTGTTCGTGTGTGTGCTTCACTGTTTCAGTTACATAAATTATTTAAAATCGAGACAATTTCGATTATTCTGTTGATTTTGCCATGTGTTTTCAATTTTATGCCTAACCTAAATAATTCGATTGAGTCAATGGGTTTGTGAATGCTCGGCGGTTCCAGAGGAAATCAGTTCAAAGCCTATCATTTAGTGTTCATTCAAAGCGACCAATCGACCAGAACGACATCGATCATATCTCGATGATTCTGTAGTAGAGACATGTTGTTCAGCGGCTGCTGTTGATGACGATGATGAAAGCGCACAATTGATACAAATTAAAATCGTGTTGTGTTTTAGTGTGTATGCCTGCCCAGTTATTCAAACACGACGGTTAGACCATATTTTAACAAAGATCAATAAAAGCAGAAGCGCAGTGGCATTAGATCACTCTTTAATTTAATTTAAACTAACGCGCACTCATTAGTTCAACGAGAGTTTAAGTGAATGATATACAATTTCAAGTGTTAGATGATCTGTGTTTTGTGAAAAAAAAACAATAACGTAAAGTTGCAATCCGAATGAGCCACACCGTGTGTGCATGTTTTCTTCACTTCGATTCACTTTAGAATACGTTGTTTGCTGATGTTTTATTAGCCGATTCGGTTTAATGATTTCCTACGTCGTTCAGTTTTTACACACATATTTTCTGAATCATTCTGAACTGACTGGCTGCTGTGCTCCGCTCAAATAACGAATGCGTAGATTCTCTTTTGTATTTTCCTGCAGCTACAACTACTTGAGTGAAAAATCTCTCCCCGATTTTGATGTAAAATTGAAAACCAGTCCGTTGTTTCTCCGAAATGATGAATTCTATATTTATACAAATCCAAGCATAAGGCATATGTCGTTCGGTTTACATCACAGTTCAGCAGGGAACACGCTCAAGTATTTTGTAATAAGGTAAAAAAGATGTTGTAATTTAGCTCACAAAAATCAATTTGGAGCGTAAAGAAAAGAGACAGCAATAGCTCGCATGTCGATTAGATTGAAAAATCGCCTGGTTTTCCTTGGCTAAAAAAAAATTTCCATTCGATTTTGAAACGTTTTCTTTTCCTCTCGTTGTCGTGTATATCCGACACATATTTTCGTACATTCTTTGAATTCGAATCCAGTTTTAAGTGGTTGATGTGCTGAATCGCGACTGCACGATACTTTAACAGTGCACGCGGTTCATTTCGAATAGCAGTTATTCTGAAAAAGTCCGTGGCAGGAATAACATTGTCATTAAGAGTAGAAAACGAAAGTCACACGAGAATTTCTGTCCATTTGGTGCTGTGCAGAGCTGTCGCCAAAGTTCTGTCATTTAAAGTCTCTTCATTGCGATGAAAAATTGCTACTTCTCATATAAATTGTTGTCGTAAATCGATCGTGTATGGTTTATACGTTCAGTGGAGTTTTAGATAGAGTGAGATACACAGAATCAACGACGTGGGCTAAACGGAACGGTTTCGTTGCATTTCTGAAAATGCTGCCAAATGCAATAAAAACCCATCTCATCTCACGCCGAATAATCTAGTTGAAGGGTCGTTGCCAGTGAAATTAAATTAGTTGTTTACAACGTATTACGTACAAATGACGTGACAATTGTTGTTAAGTAACACACCGAATGCGTTACTCTGTTGATTATCGGGATTAATTGATTGATCCGTTCGGCTGCCAATCACACTGCATTACATTAAACTAAAACAAAGAGATTTGATCGAAGAGACGGACCCAACTTGCTTCGTCTTATTCATCTTTTTTTTCTCATTCGTATCTTTCCAATTTTTCACAACATTAAGCAGAGCCGAGTGGCGCGAGCACAAAACACTCAATTGTAAATCCAGTAATTTAGTTCGACATGTGTAAATGTTTATGCATGAGTGAAATTGAAAATCGATAAACGATATATTATCCGTGTGGAAGCGTAGTTTTTTAGGTCATACCCCAAGGAAATCGATGTGTTTAACTCGACAGATGGATAAAATGGTTTCAATTTTAATCGTTTGTTTTTTTTTTCTCTTTCTGTTTCATTCATAATTTTTTCAGAGTACAACGTAATTTGATTGCATATGCGTGATTGTTCCAAGCGATAATTGAATTCAATAGAACAGACTCCGAGTAATTGGAGCACAATGGATAATTTGACGCCGCTCACATCGCAGAGCCCGTCAAAAGAGAATGATTCGATTGATGAGGGTTCGGCACAACGACGAGCAGTCAAAAGTCGTGACGAAGATGACTTTGAAGATTCACTAAATCTAAATGTGTCTATTTCCGAGCACATATCCGAAGATATCGAATCGACGAGTGCAGTTGAAGATAGCATCGAGAAATCAGCACAACGTTTCGACCAATTGTTGGCCGATAAGAAGCGAAAACTATTTGATTTCGATGAAAGTGACAAAAGCAATGGTGTTGACAGTGATGGCGTACGAAAATTCTCCAAATTTGATGTCGAAAATTTATTAGATGAATCCCTATCCGGTGACAATATTGCAAAACATTTTATGGCCGATGTGGAAACGAGCACACAGCGCAACAGTAAAGTCAACGAACGAATCGCGAGTGTTTCACAACAACGCACAAAAAGTGACGAATTAAAAATAGCTGACGTTGATGAAGGCGCCGCGGCAAATCCAAGTCAACCAACAACGGCAACGACAGCGACAAATGTCGCAATACACATTGATGACATGCAAAAATCCAAAGATAAGTCAAATTTAGTCGAATTAGTGCATCTAAGTGACAGCCATAAATCGGATAGCGACAGTCGCAAGAGCGACACTGGTAAAAATGATGTGATATTAATAAACGATCATGAGATTAGTATTCATTCGTTGAAAGAATTGCAAGAGCAACGGTCTCGGTCGGATATTGAACCGAATAATGCGCCGCAAACGAACCAAAATACGACAAGTGACATTTCATCTTGTTTTGAAGACAATGCCAAAGAGCAGCGGTCAATTGAAGATATATCGGGTATTTCGATCAATGAATCGTCAGCCAAAGTCGAAAGTGAAGAAATTGAAGCGGAACGGTCAAATACATCATCATCGGAACGAGTGAGCCGATCGAAATCAGAGATTCAAACGGAAAAGAATGAAGAAAGTCCGAAAAGTGACGAAGACATTAAAAAGTGTAAACCAATGGACGAAGACTCATTACCTGAGCTATCGGTGATTGAAGAGGTGTCTGCAGCTGATGAGCTATCGAGTCGACAGAATATCATTGAGAGTATCGCAGATAAAAAGAGTGAAATGGAGAAAATCTTTGTTGAAGCCGTCAATAGACTACCTCTTGATAAGGAAAATCGACCGCCAAATTTGAACGACGACCTTCTTTCTGTCGGTAGCAAACATTTGACCAGCTCACAAAACAGCACCCTAACAGAGGGAACCGTTTATAATGCGCTCACCAAAATTGATTCGAATCTAACCGCAGCCACATTCGCCGATGAGCTCCACTTGAATTTGGTTCATATGCAGAATAAAATCAAGGAATTGCAAAACATCAATGGCGGAAAGTATTCGGCCAGCTTCTTCGATTTGCCAATGATATCAAGTAGCCGACGCAATTCATTGATTCAAGAATTTCCACAGTCGGGACGAGATTCGAGTAGCATCACAACCAATTCAACGGAATACCGGCCGTTTCAGGATGAATACTTTCGGGTGAGTAAAGCATTTCCATATGGTCAACCATTGGGAGCAGTTCGCAAACAATGCGATTCTGCTTTGAGACAAAACAATACAGAAAAATGCATTGTATTGTTTCGTTTCAATGGAAAAGTAATCTGAGCATCCCAAGCATAACAATGCTCAACCAGATGACTGGTACATTGTGTTTATCTCGCACACAATCATAGCACACACAATCGATTTTTCAAGCATGTGCTTGTTAAGTCTATTTGAAAGGAAATCCAATGTCAATAAGTGTGTGCACTGAACACACAATCACAAGTGCAAATGTAAACAGATGCTGGTTGCTCAGTTTTTTTTTGTTCGTCGGTAAATTTGCAGATGTGCGAACATGTATTGAAATTTGTTCTTTTTTCAGTGGTTGACGCGGTCGGAGATGCATATGTATTGCGTATTTGAACTTCAGTATGTAACTTATCAATGACACATTCTTCTCTCCTTTTTCAGTTAACCGATTTCCAAGTGGCATTGATCGAGCGAGACAAAATAATTCAAGAGCTAACAGACTCGTTGAAACAATCGATTGAAATTCGTGATCAATTGAACGAACGCAATGTGGCGTTAGCCAATGAAGCAAAGGAGCTCAAAGCGGCCACTGATAGACGAAAGTGGATTACTGATAGGGACACGTTTAATGAGCCACGATTATCAGAAACAACAATCGATTTAGTTGGCGAGAGTGATTTCGAAGACGATGAATTTTACAAGAAAATACTGAAAATTGACGATCATAAAGAGCCAGCTCAAGAAATCGATTCGAAACCGGACGAATTACACAAAACCAAAGAATTAGAGGCTGTGAGAAATTCAAACCCAACGATAGACGACTTCAAGAAAAGCTTGAACGAAGAGGAAACTGAACTATTCACGCGCATCGAGAGTCAATTCGAACAAATGCTCAATGAAAAAATCAACGACGTCAAAGAGAAATTGCAACAAGAACAGTTGGAGAAAGCTGAGTTAGACTCGGAAACGAATCGCTTGCGTCAATTGTTATCCAATATCAAAAGTGGATCGACAGAGGTCATTGAATTGCGTGCTGAATTGGATAAAATTCATAAGAAAGAGATGGAAAATTTGCGCATGTACTTTGAACGGAAATGCACGGATTTGGAAAAACAGTAAGAATTGTTTGGGAAAAGAGATTCGTTGCGATTTTTCTAAGAAAGAGACTAATTCTGATTTTATTCCCGAATTAGGTATTCTGAGGATGTATTCTCTCAGCACAGTCGCCGCCATTCGAATGACACCAACTCCGATTTGTCGGACGATGAAATTTTTCTGCCCGACGAAACCAAAGCGGGTGTCGTACGAAGAACGAGCAAAACTGGTGACATTCTCGCTAGTCCAACGCATAGAAAAATAACACCAACTCACATTCGCAGTACCGGTTCTAGTCCAATTAAGAAACTTAGAAAAGGCAGCCAAAGTGAATTCCGATCCCTAGATAATAGCAAATTAGTGAATCTAAATGCCGAAGAGATTCATGAACACTATCGCAATGTCATTGCCGATTTGAAGCAAACACACGATGAAAATGTCAAACAACTCAAGTACAAGTTGCAATCGTTCGAAGGCCCTCAGGCTGACGATGAATATTTGGTGAGTGCACATATCAGCAAATTTTTCACACGAGAATCATTCCCTTCTTGTTTATATTACGGCAGAGAGGAATTTTTCACTTTTTGCCATCATTTTACTCCGGATTAAGACTGTGAGAAGCAAACAAATGACACAAACTCATCATCTATCATTGTGCAAATAGCATTTGTTCGAAGTTTGATCAACAAAATTATTCTTTACGAAAACACAATCGATGATTGGACTTTGAATGTGTCGTTATGTCTGTCAGTTTGTGAAATTGAAAATTGACAAACAAAATTACTTCGAAATGGAACAAAACATGTTTGAAATCACGCGCGAAATTGAAAATATGTTCAAAATCAATTCAAAGCCTTCACCACAGAAGTAAAATGAATCGATTTTTGAAGAAAACGAATTTGTTGCTCCATAAAACCTATTTCCAATTAACAAAAGACGAGAAACGATAGCAAAAAGTGGAAAATTCCGTCTGTCAAACTGATGATTATTAACTTTAACTTCTAATCTATTTTTAATGCACTTTAAATCGATTTAATAATTTATTTCCGTGTGTAATTTAACCTGCCTGTTGTGAATATCACTCATTCTGTACTTACTTACACCTATTTTTTCTCTTCTCCATCATTTTCATTGTGTTTAACACCATCATTCAGCTAACCGCAACTACATCAACTGATCAGCCACTAGTGTTACTAACCACTGAAAACTTGAAAAATAACCGAGAATGTTCGGAGCTGTTCAATAATTTGGTGAATGAGTACGATCGACGTTTGGAGGAGCAAGTGAAATTTGCCAGACAGGATATGCTCCGTGAATTGGAGCTTCAAATACAAGTAAGACCTGAACCTGAATTTCATATGAACCTTCATACCGTAAAGCTGTCTAATATCGTGTTTGATATTTCGAATTGCATTTCATTTTGTTGCTTTCAAATCCTTGAAATAGACATCATTTGGTGGCAATGTAAAAATAGCGCCTTGATTTTTCGTGATGATCGATATTAAATGTCAATGGTAGAGTACTAGTAAAGCGAAGCACGCAACCGTGTAATATTTCAGTTGAACAGGAAAGAAAATTATGATGCACATGTACTCGTGTGTAAACAGAATTTCAGCGTAAGAATCAATAAAGGCGGGCAGCTTTCATTCGATTTTCATCAAATGCGATCACGTTTATTTATATATAAGCATTGCACTCGGTGCAGCCCATAAAATAGTTCATGTTTTGTAATGCGAGTGGATCGTTCGTTTTTATGTTTTCGATGTTTTGGGCATTTTCGGAGATTTAACAACTAAATCCCGGATTGCGTTGCACACATCCATACCAATCGTCGTAATTATTACGGCGACGATGCACAGACCAAAATAGATTTCCTCAATGCGGGACAAAAAGCAGTCCACGGGTTGCATGCGGCTCGTATGCACCACGGAAAATGATTCAGTTTCATCATCAATTTTCAACATGTTCAGCTCATCATTCAGGAACAAATGTGTTGTATTGCGTTTTGCTTAATGCTCAATAGTGAATGTGATGCGCTTCAAATAAATTGGAATGCATTCTGGGCCTCTTTTAGAAAACTCATCGTCTTCTTCTTTATCTGGTCTATTTTTGGTGTGTTCATTTCGGCGGCACATTCAATTTTATTTTTATATAATGCTTCGCTACTGGCACATCACGCTCGCATATGACATCGGCTTTTTGATACACATACTCGCCACTCTCAAAGACTCGTGGTTGTCCTTTTTGCCGTATGTTCATTTCTTTAGACACAATTTTTTTTGTCTTCTCGGTCTTGTTTTTTTGTTTTTTTTTTTTGAACATTTTTGTGCATTACGAATGCGGAATGCAATGCTTACCTCCTGTTAGAGACATTTCAACGCCTTTTATACATAACCTAGTTCAACAAACAGTTTGTACAATTCATTGGCCAACGAAGTCGCGGCACATTCATCACTCTACTCGGCAATCGCATCGAATCAAGACATTTCGACTGTGTGGTTCTTTTTCCTATTTCACATCCATTGAGTGATTTGTACTTCCTTGATTCGTGGGTGCAATTCGAGACGAAATAGTATTGTATTTTTTTCGACCGTACGCAAAACGACAATTTTTTTCGATTATCGCCGTGGCGCGCATAGAGGATATTTTTTTTTTGAAAAGGAAGTGCTGAAAAAAGAAATAATTGTATCCGTTGCATTTCGAGTGTGCATGGAAACGTTTTCGGTTTCATTAAGTGCGTTAATCTATTCGTGGAAACTGACAACGTAATGTGTGTGTGTGTAGAATTTACGTGCCGTTTCGACTGATTAAACCAAGTAGCAAATGTGGAATATTATACGCGGCATGTGTTGACGAATGATGTGTGAAATGAAGGGAGACAACGCCAAGTTCTTGTTTTTTTTTCCCATTCACTCGTTTTTTTTTCACGAATAGTTTTCATTCAATAAAGAAAGTTCCATTGAAGTACATGCACTACATATCGCTATCTACGAATCGTGTCGATAATATCAACATTCAAACCATTGTGGTTAATCATATTACTACATATTACATTCCAAGAGCTCCGCACTTCGTATAAATACGTATTAATTTAGCTCATAAATATTGTCGCTCGACATCAACTCACACACACACACACACTGTGTGCATTCGCGGCAATTATACGGCCGTTGTCTGTACCAAAACATAACTAGATTACAAATGAACGAAACTCTTTCTAAAATTAAATTGAATTCTTTCTCTTGCTCTTCCTGCATTCGAATCGCTGCCGAAAAATGCAATCGCCGCAACCAACAGTGAATCTTCATGGAATTTTATGTTTCAAATCGATAAGATTTCTTGTTGCTTTTGTTGTTGTTGATTCACACATTTGTTTACATTGACTCACATCCGCGATTGATTGCACGTCAAATCGTTCATTTCAATTGAAGTGCGAGTATTTGAGCACTCACATATCCATGAGATTAAATTTCAGCTTCGGTTTTTACAGTTCGATTGCAACGCAATACAAGAACGATGATGTGAAAAAATCAAAGAGTCAAACATATATACAAGCGGTTCCTTTCGTTTATTTGTTTGCTTTTTCGTCGGACAAAACGTTTCCCTGTTGATAAATTTTCAAACATATTTGTTTGTATGTTCCTCACACATGTTCACATTGTATATCGACTTTTCTGTCTCTGTTTCTCTCCCAATCTCTCTCTCTCTCTTGTACGACGTGATGTTGTTTTTCTCCACGACCGAAAAATCAACGAGGAGCGCATTTGATCAAAACACATGTAATTTAATACGAAGCATCCATACGCGCTCTGCTCTGATCCCGCATGTATGCGTAACACCTTATACGAACAGTTTATTCTCTCTCGCTTTGTCTCTATCTCGCACAAACCGAGGCGATTGCGGCTGTCGATTCGATAGACGCGTGCTTATTCACAACGATTATTTCAAAACCGAATCCAAACCGTTTAGTCGCTCTTATTTGCTCGTATGATGCACATTACATTTTTTCTTCGGCATCGTCGTCATCGTCGTCAGACGCATTAATTCATTCAATGTGCGCATTGTGTTTTGATTGGACAGTTCCAAACCCATATAAAACAGAACGGAATTGACAAAATCGTGTTGCAATTGTGAACAAAGAAAGAATTCTAGTGTGAAAATTGGGAAAAACTTGTCTAGTTACGCAAGAAATCAAGAAAAAACGAAGAAAAGAAGAAGGAAAGCGACTTGGCATTGAGGTGTCCGTCCCAGTGGACCGTTTTGCATACGTGCAACTGAGAAGTGTCGTCAAATGTGTTGAAATGTCAAAGTTTGATTGGTCACTTCGAAACGCAATTTCAGTTTTGCCAAGGGAAATATTCTCTAAGATACAACGAAAAACAGACGTTATGAGTGTGCGAAAAAGAGAGTAAAACGAATGAACATAAATATATTTTGAAATGTGAGATAAGGCAGTTCAAACCGACGAACGGGATAACTGAAGGAAAACCAAACTGTGCGTTGTAAAGTTCACGACAACCAAATGCGATAAGACTGAATAATAAGAAGAAAAAATAATGACTGAGATTATGTGAATTCAATGAACAAGCAACATTTATTCATAATTCAAACGCAATCCAAAGCAGACCTGCCCCTCTGTCTGTGGGCACGATATTTTAGAACAATTTAAGTTTTCGATTGAACGAATGTTTATAAAACAACGGAATATTCGAATAAAAGAAATAGAAGCAGTTCTGTGCAATTAAATTACGCTATAAAACGCCGGGATTAGAAAAAATCGTCGATATTTCAGCTAATTAAATGAACTGGCTGGTGTATTTGTGCATGTGTATGTGGTGATGTGTTTTTTGGACGAAAACAAAACAGAAGCTTATTTGTTGCGCGTGTTAATCGAAGTTGGCCGACGAGTGAATACGCACCCAACGCGAAGTGTACGTATAGTTAATTTTTCCTTCGGGCATTTGCAATGTATTCCAACCAAAAATCATGATTAATTCAGTTACTTTGAAACCCATTATCTTGTTAATACAGAACACTTCTAATTGAAACTTTTAAAAAACGATTCGACGGTCACTATAAATAGAATGAACGCGATTCTGATAAGCACACCACAGTTCGTGTTTCATTCTTCTTTTTATGGGTCGTCGCATATGTTGATTAGTCATTGGTGACGCTTTTAAAAAACATGGATTTGTGGAAGAACGAAAAACGTTGAAACGATTTGAAACTCCTTTCAAATTTCAAGTGCCTCTTAAGGGCATCAATTATACGAAATGATTATGATAATGACTTCACATGCGCTAACATCAACATTAGTTTATTAGTCATTTGTTGAGCGAAAAAAAGATTGCAAGATGTCGTTGAAACCAACTACACGCTTTATGAAGCCAAATTTTAATGATGCATGCCGCCGAAATGTTGTTAATCCTGGATGGTTTACGCAACATCAGCTAAAAACTCTTGTGTCGCTACATTCTTACATCACTATAATAACCAAGAAACTTCACTTGCCTTTCGCGCCCAATTCGCTGCTTTTTATTTTTGATTTCATTCTTTTCAGGTCCCCTCGCTATATGAATACATATGCATTCAAGCAGGGAACAACATTTGCACTCCTCTCAAATGAACACTCGAAAAAGTTTCTCAAAAGAGACTCTTCCAAATGTATGCGTCAAAGGAACAGAGTAAAAGCAACATTTTGAATACAAAATCGCTGAATTTCTCACCGAGAACACAGTTGATTTCATGACACGTCCATTTAAAAGAGTCTCTTTTGAGCAACTCTTTCGAGTGTTCATTTGAGAAGAGTGCAAATGTTGTTCCCTGAATTGAACGAAACACATGCATTCATTCTCCCATTTCACGACTCTTTCTCTCATTCTCTCGAATCGGGCATAAATCTTTCCGAAAACGCAATGGAATGTTTACATAAGGCAAATTTTAGAAACAATTTCGATTAAAACTTCAGCATGTTTACATAACGCTGTGATGTCTACTACATTTTTTGGCTTTTTATGATATTTTTCGTATTTTTTGGTGGATTTTGTTTAAGAATGTTTTTGTTTGCTCTCTTTTTCGTTCGAAAGACTCTTTTAGCCGAACCAATCTCGGATGAATCACGTTGGCCACCCGAGCTGATACTTCTTCGTGAGAAATTCACCGCTAAAAGTCAATTAGAAATCGCTCAACTTCAAATAAAGCATGAAGAAGAAGTAAGTATTGTAGCGATCACATGTTCTCGTTGATTTTTCAGCATATTTTCGTTCAGTTTTTTTTTTCGCATTTTCTTTCGAATTCATTCAATTTGTCTTTGAATTCCTTCTATTAGATGTCTCGCCTGAAAAATGATCACCAAAAGCAGTTGGATCGAAAACTCAAGAGGAACACGGACTTTGACAATTCACGAGGCTTGGAGAAATGTGAATCGGAACGGTGAGAAAAACCGCAACTCAAATTCAATCAACTGACAATTTTTTCAATCGAATTTCCTTCGTTTTTTCGAAACAGTGACAGCCTTCGAGAGCTATGCAACACGTTCCGACATTTGCTGTATGAGTTGGCAAAGTGTGTGTCGGTTTGTGAAAACGATCTAAACGCATCTCTAGTCGATGAGTTGAATAAGTATGGCATTTTGCAGCCATCGCTTATGTCACCATCAAAAACGCGATCGGAATCGCCAACCAATGAAAATGATTTGAATCAGTCGATGTGTTCATCGATTGGTAATCGTTCAATGCGTCTGTCCCTTGTACCTGATGTCAGTGGTATTTTGTCGTTAATCGAAGACCCTTCGCTTTTGAACTTTGTCACTGAAAAAGGTGACAATGAAGACAGTTTCAGTTCGAGCGTGTCGAAGAAGTTCGATCTGAATGAATGCCTTGAAAAACTTAAACACGAAGCCGATTCATTGTTACATTTATCGGAGAAAATGATACAAAAACGGAATGCGGACAACAGAGAATTGGACAAAACACAGAAATCACTGGAAGAAGAAGATGGTTTGAAAATAGCGAAGGATGACTTCAATGTAGAAAGTTCACAACAGAAACCACGATTTAGTCTACCTGCAATCTTTCCATCCGACAAACATGAGCGAAAGACATTGTCGCATTCCGACTTAAATGACCTGAAAAATCGATTGCTGTTAAGCGAATCACGGAACCAAGAGCTGGAGAAGAAATTGGCTGAATCGCAGGCACAACAACGTGAACTGACACAGAAACTAAATAGTTATGTGGATAGTCAGAGTGAAGAGCTTAGCGAAGGGTTGGTATTTGGAATATTTGCTTAAATTTTTCAACGATGTCACCTCAATTCTGAATTGATTCGAATTCTTGACGAGTCACACTTCTTATTAGACTGTTTGAGGCTGTGAGAATGAAAATGGCAATACAGAAATAAACATTCTGAAACGCATCAAGAAAAAAAATTCGCAAAAGTGAATCATGAGTTCTGAATACGCAAAAGTGAACCATAAACCTCCTATGCTGCCCATGTAAATTCATGTTTCACTTTTGCATATTCAGAACTCATGATTCATTTTTGCGAATTTTTTTCCTTGATGCGTTTCAGAATGTTTATTCCTGTATTGCCATTTTCATTCTCACAGCCTCATTTAATATGTCTTTTCTATGCTAAAATTAACTAATGAACCGATTGAATCAATTTCTTGTTCTTCGGACAGATATGGAATCAGCCAGTTGCGATCCCCACAAAGGCATCCAGCCAATAAAGCAGCTACTTCGTTCACTGCTCTGCAAGAACGTGCCAAACAGTATTTCAATGATACAAACACATCAGATGTGTCACAACTGCTCGAAGACTTCTGCCGTGAGTGTGATCGACACGTGGAAGAAGAGAAAGATAAAATGAAAGATCTTCAAGAACAGGTAAGAGTTTGATTCAATTGGAATGGCTTCATACTGTTCTTTTTTTTCGATATTCCCTTAATGAATTCATCAATGCTATTGTCATTGCATGAGCATTTCATTATGAACAAACACATTTTTCATATTGCCTGGAATGGTGATTATGTAATCTATCGATACGTTCGATACCTTTCCCAACTCTCTATTCCCGACTCATCGACATTCCCAACTCTCTCTCTCTCTCTTTATCTGAATCTGAATCACATCAATTGAAACGGTTCAGGGTGAAAAATCGGTCCAATTCAACTCCATTTCAAGAAAGCAATCTCAATCGATAGGGTTCATAGCATGAATTTACGCATTTTATCAGGGAATATTCTGCTTGTTTTAATCATTTTGCACGAAACCAAGCAAATCATTTGCTTAACTCATAACTGCATCACACATTTTCTATCAAAATGTGCTGTCCAAAACCTAGGAATAGATCAATTGAAAATAAAACCCACCTCAAAACCAAAAACAAAACCAATTGCCTTTAGATTGATGCCGCCTATAATCAACGGAAACAAGACTTAGAATTTTTGGAAAAACAAGCTGCCGAACGGGAAACGGAACGCGATGAATTTTGTAAAAAGATCGAAATGCTCGAATCAAAATTGCGTGACGTAGATAAGGAGCGCCTTAAATACGATAATATTGCCAAGGAGGTATGTGTAATCAACACTAAGCCTGTTGGATTGCTGTGTCTTAGAAAAAAATAGAAAAACAATGTGGATTGATTTGAAAAAAATGGCAGAAAAACACAACTAAAATCTATCACTCTTACTAGCTGCCTAGAGCACTTCTTTACTGCCTTACACCCCCACTGTAGATATGGTTTGAGTGCACAAAACACAGAAATTAGCTAATTTTCTCCATTATCAAAAACTAAACCCAAACTTTTGACTCATTCTAAACACTCGAAACTAGATTTGAATCCAAAATTTAACTATTGATTTAACGTAGAGTTAGACCCTTTTCTGTACTTTTTTGACCAAAATAATCTATAGCACAAACTTATGACCAAACGTAATTCTTTACAGCTTTTGCTTTGCATGGTTTTTAACCAAAAAACTGCATTTTTCAATGCTCCACTCACATTTTGACAAATTGAACAAAAAAAAATTCGTTTTTCCCCTAGAGCGATATACTGCGGCAGCAAGTTCAAGAGTTGGAAGTGACATTGAATGCGAGTAAAAAGAAGAACACCACGTTGGAAACGGATCTCAAAGAATCGATCGAAAAGATCTACGAGCTTCGAGAAATTATTGTTGATCTAGAGACACGAATAAAGGAGAAAGACAATGAAGTCGAATCACTTGAAAGCGAAATTGATCGTAAAAATCGAACAAATGAATCGCTTCAAACGGAGATGAAGAGTTTGTTGTCGCAATCGGAAATCGCGCCAGCATACCAAGAAAGGATTCAACAGCTCGAAGAGCAGCTGGAGAGTCTGCAACCGAATGCTGACCAGAGTATAGCCATCGAACGGATTGCATCGCATTTACGAGAGATTGAAGATAATCTCGATCGTAAGATCAATCTATTGGAATCAGTGCATGTTGGCACTGGCACGGTGACAACGTGCAGTAGCCCATCGGAGGATGTGTCAGTCAGAGGTAGTGGACACAATCTCGATGCAGCCATATCGCCGCGATACTTCAAGTACTTAGCCAAAGATCCATCATTCCCAGTCGATCAAATCATGCGAATCATCGAAAAGATGCAGAAGCACTCAAGGGTCGAAGAGGCGGCCATTAAATTAGTGCGAGACTTGGAAATGCAAATCAAAGCATTGCACACGAGCTACATGGTGAGTTCAGAGATAGAATTTAAATGTGCAAATCAAAAACATAGCATTCAATCTATTTCATATGGTATTTTAATTGCAAACTCTTTTTTTTTCATCGCATATTGGGTGAATAGACTCGAAGCGATACAATTAATCGGTTAAAGTGTCAGTTTGAACTCTGCACTGTTTACCAGCTGCTCATTACACACACATTGAACGACGCGAAGTCGAACTGTTATATATTTAAAGATCAAATGATTGCAACACAAAGTTCACACAGTAGCTAAAAACTTTTCGAATGGCTCTATTCAATTGCAATGATCGTGTACGCTCGTTTACACACATAAACAGTGTATTCACAAGCTCAACTAGTTGAAAAGAACAGAGAAAAGATAGCGCATAGTAGCACAAATGCAAGGCATTTAAAACAAATTTGTACGTTATAATTCAGGCTATTTTTGTTCATTGATTAAATTAGTGTGTGACATCTTCTACCGGTTCAAATATTTATTTCATTCTCTTTCGTTTTCTTTCATTCTTTTATTTCTTCGTTTCTTTAGCTCATTCTTTCGCTCATTTGTTAGTTTTTGTCAAAATTCAGGAGATCATTTTAGAATTGGCTTTGTTGTACATACGAAAGGCATTTGAAGCACGTTTTTACTTAGTTCAGTCAACGACTCTTGTTTTAATTTATTTGTACGCAAATCTCCGACGCACACCACATCATAGCACATCAAACGATGTCCAATGCATATCATAAAACATCAATTGAGATATACGCGAGAAGGTCATGACAAAAGAAGCAATTCTTTCGACTTTATTTCCCCCTTTTGCTCTGCGTCAATACTCTCTTTCACGCTCAACAAGTGAAAATATAAAGTACGTTTTCAACACGTGATAAAATACGTAGTTTCAAAGTGAAAGAAGGAAAAGCAAGCGTTTCAAAAATCAAATCAGTGCTATCTTTCAAGTTTTGACAACAAAAAATCCTATTTAAATTATATCTCCATCGAAGTTTGAGTCATAAAAATCACGATGACTTAAGTCAGCGATACCACACTCCATACCCAATTGAAATTGTTATTGGTAACAAACGAGAAAAATAAAAATTTTATTCGAAATTTCGTATGAATCACATGTAATATATTGAATTAACGACGATAAATTGGACGCAAATTGAAAAATGGCCGCACATAAAATGCTGATTGATCAATTTTCAAGTGAAACGCATTTCGATATGGAATGGTGCGAGCATTGACATAAACTCACAGCCGAGTGATACAGTTTTTTGTTGTTGTCGTGTGTGCTTGTGCATATGTGTATGTCGTCTGGACCATATTCGTTTGAATGAATTTCATTAGAGATTTCCGCGGGCGCACTGTGTTCTCGTTGCTGTCGTTCATCATTTTGCCTCAATGCTATTCGAAGCGAAATGAATGAGCGCCTCGGTCGCACTCTACGTACTGTATGAACACACACATTTGTTGTTGTTTTTGAGTCGAGTCTAAATGATGCTAAAATTATACGATGAACATGTGTGCGGCGCAAAATGAAACGGTACGAATTCCGTCCAATTCGATATGATTCAGTCAATACGATATGAGAGAGAGCTCTGATATACAAACTTGGCAGAAATAAATAAATAATGAAGATGTTGTTCTTGACGCATTTCGTTCAGTTCAGGGCAAAACAGACAGTGAATAACAACGTTGTTGTGCGCTCACAAAGCTAGAATTTATTTTTTTCTGGTTTGCCCTTACTGTCAAAATCAGAGATTTCGCGTTGAATGAACATTCATTTGAAATAGTTTGCGTTTAGTTTTGCTGCTGAGTGCAGGCAAAAGTGTTGAGTGCAACGTAGAAAACCCATTGATTTTCATGCGAATATTTCGATTGAATTGATTTTATCAACACAATCTTCAGTGTGTGTGTGTGTGTGTGTTTTTGTGGCTGTGATGACGTCGTGTGTGGGTATTTCAATTGGAATGAGAAGAATTTTGGAAATCTCACTGACCAAAATATATAGTTTTGAAATATGCTAGATTGAAGTTAGAAAGATAAATTGAAAAAACTATTTTATTTTTAATTGGTTGTGTTTGTTTCTTCCTCGTTTCGAACGGCAGGAATTACAAAATGAACGGGATTTGTTGCGAGAGAAAATGGATGAGCAGCTAATGCGAATAACAACCATTCAATCGAGGTTGGACGAACAACGCCAACGGGCCGAGGAGCTTCAACGAGCGGGCACATCCGATCTAAATCTCAAAGTGTACGACTTGCAAGCGGAAGTGAACGCACTGAAAGAGACGGTATCATCACGCGATAAACAAATTGGCGTACTGAAGAGTCATTTGGCGCAAAGCAAGGAGATTATCGATCGGCAAGAAGCCGAGATCGCTTCATACAATTGCGTCACCGATGGAAATGACACATACAGCAAAGTATTCGTCGAAAAATTGGAGGCACGCATCGCATCCAAAGACTTGGAAAATAAGAGTTTGAGGGAAAAAATCCGAACGGAAATGATAACGAAAGTGGCACTGCCGGATTTGATGGAAACCGTACTGGCCGATAAGACGGACGAAATCGATTATCTGAAAGAGCAGTTAGTGTCAAAGGAGAAGGAATTAGAGTCGAAGGGAAAGGAATTGAAACATTTACGTGATAGTCAGATATTCGCCAAGGCCGAAGAGAAGCTCAGTGAATACTTCACAAAAAACCATGGCAGCGATTACTTCGATAACGATTACATTCGAAAGATGTCCGAATCTGGCACGCGATCGAGTTTGGTGAGTCAGAATTCACTTGAATTCAATTACTTCATCCATTATTCACACGCTGAAATAATGTTTTTTTCTTTCTGTTTTCGATTCAGCCCATCATTCAATCGTCGATTTTTGGCAACAATGAAAATACACCGCCGCTGAAACCGCGACAAATTTACTTCACGTCAAAGTCAACGAATGACACCAATTTAATGCAAACTCCGCTGCTATTGGATCAATTTTCGAGCGTCGTCAGAAACGATTCGCTCGCCGACAATGATGACTCAAGCACACAGCTGAGAGAAGAAATTGAGTACTTGAAATTATCACTTGAAGACAAAACGAAATTGGTGGATGATGTCACCGCGGAAAGTAAGAAGTTGAAAGAGGAATTTGACAGCGAAAAAGTTAAATTGGCTACGGAGATCGATCGGTTGCGTGGCCAAATCGATGAATTGCAATTGAAGGTAGAAACCATCGAAGCGGAATTGGTGGTATCCACCAAAAACTATGATAAAAAGTGCACTGAATTAGCGGCAATGAGCGGTCAATTGAATGAAGAACATGCTAATCATGGCGTGATCAAACATCAATTGAATTCCATGGGAAACACAATCAAACACAAAGACGAGCTCATTTCAAAGCTGCAAAAAGACATCGAGAATTACAATGAAATCGAAAAGGTCAATCTGGATATGATCAATCGGCTGAAGCGTGAAAACTTCGACTTGACCAAAATGAAATCCGTCAAAGATGAAACCGATGGTTCGGAAGCCATTCTGCGACAAGAGCTTGAAATGGTCAAGGACATGCTTCAAGACACGGAACAAGAGTTATCCGAAAAAATGATCGCCTACGAAAAGTGCTTGCTCGATCTAAAAGAACAAGAGAAAAAGATTTTCCACTTGACCGACATTGTGACTGATTCGAAAAGCGCACGCAGTGTTGAGGAAATGCGAATCGAAATGCGAATTCAACAAGAAGAAAATGAACGGCTTAAGAAGGAAATCGAAGAACTGAAAAATAAGCGAATTGTCGAGCGATCAACGAGTCCGATCAAGTCAATCAACATCGATGAGCTAACGAGCAAAGTCGAAGAAGAATTGAACTACTCCAGACATCTTGACAACAGCATTTTGAAAGCCATCGATGAAAAGGATGAAATTGTCTCGAACGAAGAAAACGAAGACGAGCTCGATGCACTTCGAGCAGAGAAGGAGGAATTGATCAAAGCCATTGAGAAGTTGCAAGAATCGTTGGAATGCGAACGAGAGAAGTTCTCCTACATTCATCAACAGGATGCGAAATGCATTGACGTGATGTCGAAACGACTGGAAGCAGCCATCGACACCGAAAATGATTTGAATAAGCTGCTCGAAGAGGAACGTAGCAAAACATCGAAATTGTCGACGAAGATGCTAGAGCATCAATTCGAACGGGCCAAATTGAGCTCGAGTAACATGTCACTGAACGAATCGCCGATTGCAAGTCCAAGACGATTGACAAAAGGCGGTGAATCTGATCAAGAGCTACTTAAGTGTCAAAATGATGAGATTAAGCTGCTCAAGTCACAGTTGGAACGGGAAAAAGAGCGAGCGGTCGATGTTGAGAAATCGCTAGGCCGAGAGAAAAACCGATTCGAGAAGGAGTTGAGTGAACAAAAAGCGTACGGTGAACGAATGAAGGACGAATTGGAACGAATCATTCGGGAAAACAAGACATTACAAGAGGAGTTAGATGATGCGCAAGAAAAGTAAGTCCGAATTGAATTTTTTCGAGGATTCGTCAATTTCTCAATATTTTCCTCATTTTTCTTGTTCATTTCCAGAGTCACCCTTTCAACGCATGACATCGAGAATATGCAGGCGCGAATAAAGCAGCTGCAAGATGCCGAAACCCATCAAAGTGCTCGCAGTGAAAAAGACCGAAACGAATTGACGCAAAGCATCGCGACTTGCCGAGAGCTAAAGAACAAACTGATCAACTTGGAAAGAGAACGGGACGTATTACAAGAGCGAGTGTCCATCTTACAAGCTGATATTGATCGGGGTGCACAGCGCGAGGCACGCCTAACCGAATCATTGGTAGCTGGATATCAACAGAGCAACGTCTTAACTGGTGGCATAATTCCCCAGCAACTTTTGGCCAAATTGAAAGAGATGAATGACAATTTGAGCGAAAATGTTCGCGAGAATCGACAACTATCTGAAACGCTACAGATGTTAACCGAAGAGCGGCATGTGCTTCAGAAGAAAGTGCATGATTTGGAAATAATCTGTGTTGACCGTGATGAGCTAGAAGAGCGTGCCAATCATTTGTTCAGCAAATACTTGCGAACCGAAAGCTTCCGACGAGCATTGATTCATCAAAAGCGATATCTGATGATTGTGCTCAGCACGTACGAGTCCAATGAGACAAAAGTATTAGCTGCATTGAATGGAAATGCACCGGTGCAACGGCAACGAAAAGTACCATCATTCAAGTCGGTTGTTCTGGTCGCCATCGCAATCGAACGTATGAAATTCATTCACCGACGTTGGCAGACGGGCAAACGAGTGTGTGCCAAGAACCCAATCTTTCCACACAACACCCCGCTGCGGCGCAATCATTCAGCATCCACAATAAATTGGACGAGAAATGGACACGACACACAAATCCCAAACCAATTGCATCACCCACAATCACCACCGATGCGTGAGCGACCAATGACCAGCGTATTGAAGGGACGTCGTTGTACCAACAATGATTTTACTACCACACAAATTTGATACCGCATTCAAATGACACAGTTTCAATTGAGAATCCTGAATTGAACCCATGACAATTGTAAAATGATCTCTGTTGACTATCAAATTGTTTCATAAAATCAAACGTAAATCTTGGCGATAAGAGAAGAGTTCAGAAAATTTGAATCAGAATCATCTGAACTCGTCTCATTTCGCACGCGCGCCATATCATTAGCAAAACAGTAAATTCAAAATGTAAATAGCTAAGAATAAAAGCACGTTTGCCATAGTTTAGGGATAGTGGTAGAGTTTAATCAGAGTAAGTGTATCAATTTAATTGCATTTAATGGCTTGCAATGCACATACCTTAATGACAAAAAGAAAAAACACCACAAAGTGAACGGAGTAAATACAAAGGGCTGCCTTTTTTGTAGTGTGCCTTTCACCAATTCTGATCATACTCAACGATTAATTCACATTGAAAATTTTTAATTGAATCCGGTTTGTTTGGATTGGCCATAAACATCTTCTTTGTGAAGCTGTACCATCGAAGTGAGCTTCAATCCAAACTGACTTCTTGGTCAAAATCGATCATTTGTAGAGGAAAAACCAAACCACAAGAGTGACTTTTTTGCATGAAATTTTCCGAAACAAACACAAATTGATTGTTATTGTTATTGCATAGATGCGTACAAAAACCAAACGTTGTATTGAGTTTTATTTAGAAAAAAATAGACAAAGAAAAAGAATATGAAAATGAAACGAGACAAAAATTATATAAATAAAGATGATTTACTTTTAGAGCCGAAATTAAATTGAAAATTTGCAGTTTCATTTGAGCGACATTAAATAAGATGTTGTTAATGGTCTCTGAAATTAACCCATAATGTACGGTTGATATGGTTTGTAGCGAATGGAAGGGGGAAAAAGGAGTAAGTAGAGTAAAATATATACAATGCATATAATATCGTCTAAAAATAATAAGCCCTTCCACGCTCTCTTAATCGAAGAATTCAACTCTAATATGCGGAGGCATGGTATGAGCATAGCATCACTAGAAAATAGAAAAGAGAAACATGAATATGAACGGGACGTGATGCGAAAACAAATGAAGAAAAAAACACACAGGGAAAATGCATACATGCGCTTCAAAAACTGAGATCAATCTCAGCTGAGCCAAATAAAAACAACAGCAAGTAAGCAAAAAGAAAGGCTTGCGACGACGACGACGACGTTGAGATGAAAAATTCATATTTCACTCTGATTGCAAGGAAATTTCGTTGTCGAATTGAAATAAAGTGAAACAAAAATAATGAGAACTAATCCAATCTGTTTTCTTTGCTCTCTCTCTCTCTCTTTGTATGTCGTTCATTCGAATGGATACTCTGATCTCTCTCATTTCTTGTTTATTTAAGTGTATCTCTTTGTCTGTTTGCAAGCATGTCACACAGCTTACTAGCTACATTTACATTTACGCTAGCAATCGCTATGCCTACTTTTTCCTCGTCTTTTTTTCTCATCTCTCTGTTCTCGTTGTGAAAACATCACTTTATTTTTTTTTCGTTCGCTTGTCTTATGTTTTGCCGTTTATTTCAATTTGTTTTTCTTTCGTGACATTTTTCCGATTTTCCTATCTACAACATACACACACACACACTCTCTCTCGTGTACTCGTCGAGTGCGGGGCATTTATTATAATATCATGCGACATATATTATTTTGCAGTTTGTTGTCAAAAATAGATTTTTGTATCATTAGCTTCTAAGAAGATTTTTGCCGTTGATTTTTCGTGTTTCTTCTGCTCTGTCTTCTTTTTTATTTGTCAGAAAAATATGGTTATGATGATGCTGCTGCTTTGGCTTCGGCTTTGGCTTCGGCTTCTATGATCTGCCACTCTATGAATATATGGATTTGCGAGCAAAGTGATTAATTTTATTGAGGCGTCGGTTACAGCAATGCTTGCGGTTGGTTTGAAGATGACATTGGTGTGGTCGAATTGATGCTTTGAACAATTAAATTTAAATACTCTAGACTGGCGGTGCCGTTTCCATCATTCGTATGTATCGATGACGATGATAAACCTGTCACAAAGGAATTTAGACAAATTGCACAAAAAAACAATTTTAATTTTCGGTCAAACAAACACATTCCCATCAAATGGGTAAAACGAATATATGTAGTAGTAGATTTTGAATTTACCAGTAATTGGCAATAGTTTATAGCTCTCTCTTTGCTTTTGTGATCGGTCTTTGAAAACGGGCGATCGTTGCCAAAACTCCTATGTACGTTACATATTCAGTGGACGAGAAAAAGAAAAATGAACATTAGGTCTTTGCTTTTGTTACATTCTTCACTAGTGCCAAACTTACCGAATATTTGTAAGGTTCTGAGTTACTATTTGAACTTTGCTTATATGTATTACATTGATTACTGTTATTTATCGATAGGCTTTGGGTTTCAGTGATCGTTTGCTGCACATCGCTTTCATGCTGCTGGAAATAAACACAAGGATTAAGTTTGAATTCAATTTACAAAGTTGAGTCGATTGCATACATGTTCGTTCATTTCATGTTTCGATTGACCTGTGGTTAGAATGGTCATTTTTTTGTGTTCATCAAATAAACACATAAGACATAAATCTTCATTGAACTTTACATTGAGGTAAATTGTTATTTTTTCATTAAAAAAAATTCTTCAGATCATTTAAGCTGGACAATGCAAATTAAAGAAGCATTCGAAATGCAAATTAAAAATGAAAAACAAGATCAAACAACGGAAAACGAGAAAAACCAGAGCCAAAAAAATCGGCTTCCAATCAAAAGTTCTGATTCCGCTACAAAAGAACTTACATGCAGCAAATCCTCTAGGTTTTCTATGTATTCGATGGCGTTGCGAAGAATTTCTACTTTTGGCAGTCGTTGATTTGAATTCGTTGCACTTGTACAGCGTTTTAACAATTCGAAAGCTTCGTTTACCTAAGAAGTGAGAAGCGGGATCGTGAGTGTGAGTGAGAGAGATGAGCGTTGAAAGAGTCAAATACAACAGAAAATGAATATAAATAATTATGTCCAATTAGTGTGAACTAATTAACAGTTATTCAATTAAAAAAGGCGCATCGGTCGAATTGTTAATTTCGCCCAATTAAAATTATGTACGTAGTTCAGAAATAGACCTGATTTTAGTTCGTGTGCACAAAAAAAACTGCACAACAATAATAAATAAATAATTCGTACTAACTTTTCGTAATCGTCGTCGTTCTCGGAGCGTTGCGGCTTTTCGACGATCCACTGTAACGGTTTTCTTTTTACATGCTTTGCATGCCCATGTCAAGCATGGTCTTTTTGTCACTTGAATGCCATTCACAGTGTGCGAGATCGGTTCTAAAACATGCTGTTCAAAGTGATCAATTTGATCAACGGACGACGATGCCGATGATGGCAAATGTGGTACATCTTCTTCATTGCTGTAACTCGATGTGGATGTCGTGGCGGGTGATAGAATCCCCATCGAAACATAATTTGTACTACAATTATCACTGATCGTTAATTGTCGGTTCATAAATCCAATTAAATGACAACGTTTACTGAAAATCACCGGAAAATCACCCAAACGTTTGGTCGCACACAATTTCAATCGATCTGTCAGTAAATGCAATTTGTATCGCTTAGTATGGCTACTCGGCACTGATTTACGATAGAATGTTTTTACACGCTTTGACACTACACAATTGTTCACTAACTTTGTCATAATAACACACGGAAATTTCGTCTTTGTTTTCTAGCTTTGTTAAACTTACAGTTGAATTATTATGGATCCCATTACTGGTGGAATCACATCCAAAATCATTTTGCACTCAATAAAAATCACGTAATTTTATCACCGTACCACATCATATATTTTTCAATCTTGGCAGAATTACTCAGTGATCATTTTTATCGAACGTCGTTTGTTGCGGGAATAAAATGTGTTTGCAACTCGAGATGTTGTGAAGCGACGAGGCCAAAAGATAAATGGCAATTGAACGAAGTGCGCACATAATAATCCTCGTTGCTTGGAGTGAGAGCCTGAGCCGCGCGCGAGAGAGAGAGAGAGAGAAAAGCGCGAGCTCGGATGCGATTCGCTACAAGACAATCCGTCGACGTCTTTACGATAATCCATTCAAACCTCGTGCTGTCATACGCACGCGACAAAACACTTTCCCTCCTTTCGTTGTTTTTCTCTCTGTCGCGCTTTCTGTTTTCGTTTGTGTGTTTGCGATCGGCTCGATGCGCAATGAAAATGGAAATGAAAAAAAAAATCGATTTACGCAAGAAGATAGATATATTTCTAAAATATCCCTATTAAACACAGTCACTCCGATGTGTGTTCGGATCAAGTGGAAAATTACGCATAACTGAATTCGAGATGAGGAAAAGCCACTCCGGATTTTGTTTTCTGTTGTTGATTTTTATATAAATGACAGTTTTTTCATTTCTTTTTCTCCGACCATTTTATTAGAGAGAACATTAAGTGCCTTTGCGATTCGAGTATTAGCCGGATCATGTAAGCGAGATCGAGAAATTGTTCATGTGTGTTCGGTTTGGCATGCGCTCACTCTCTCTATCTCTCGCCCTGCTCTCGAGCACGATCATTTTCATGTTTTCAGTTGACAGCGTCGAGTGTAACGAGAAATATGAGAAAGGCAACAAAAAAAAAAACAGTGTGATGTGTAAAATGTGACAGAGGCAGAGAAAAACACTGCACAACCAGAAAAACAAGACATAGCAATTAATGAAAATATAAAAATAAAAGAGAAGGATGAATGAAGAGCGACATCAAACTAATACCTCGGACAGAGAAAAGCGTCGAAAAATTGAATGCGGTCGCTTGTTGGCTGGCTGACTGGCGCGTTGCTCTGTTACCAATATCCCGACTTTAATAGTTCCTCCGAAGTGATAATAATAAAAATGTGCAGATGGTTTAGATTTAGTTGGTGATCGTAAAATGAACGAGCACAACAGCAATATTACACTTTCAATTAAAATAGTGACGACAATTTGTTGATAGTAAACAGATAAAAAGAAGAGCTATGCCAAAATGAAATGCGGCTGTCTAAATTGAATGCGACTTTTACTTTACACCGATCTGTGATTTCCTGTGACAAATTCTCTCTCTCTCTCCATGTCTCTCTTCTCCAAATAGCAACTGACGAACTTGGTTCTTTTTCTTTCCTTTTTGTGTGAACGAAACTTCTTCTTTACGGCGCATAAATTGATTCTCATTATCACCCATGTTTTACGATCGTTCAAAGCAGTTAGCCGAATTTTTCAAGCAATATAACATCAATGTTTACGATTTCGGCTTCAGTTTTTGTTACATTTTTTTTTTGTTGGTTTGGTGTCCGACGTCGATTCTGTTGTTATTTTTACCGATTTGCTGGCAATTTCACAAAAATTACATTGTTCGCATAAATTTATGCCGTTTTGCTAAATGTGCGCGGTTGAGCGTGCAAACGAATCTATATAAAACGTGTGACACGAGTTATTAACAATAAAATATGCAGAGTTAATGTGGTGTAATTTGAATGGGTGAATGAAAAGTATGAAAAAGTATCAGGGCACAAGCACTTAATAAAAAAAAAAAACGAAGGAGGAAACAAGAACGCGCATCTTCATATAATTGCATCACTTTCACGGACCGCACAAAAGGCTCTTAATTTGATTTGTATGTTCATTCTTACACCAAGAAGATTGACTCCATTTTTCATATGCCTGGCTGAACAGTCGATTTGTCGTTCGCCCTGTACAAAAACAAACTACAACAACTATTCCTACTGACATGACGATTTTATTTTCCTTTTTTTCACGTAACACTGACAAGTACAAAACTGTATGTCGTTGCTTTTATTTTTCATTTACTCTCACTCATTTTTCTTTTCGCTGCTGCTCTTCCTTCTTCTGCTTCCATTCGATTCCGTTCACATTTTCTCTATTTATTAAATACTTGAATGCAGGAAAAATAAATATAGACAAAAATGTTCAAACATTCGGTTTTCATTTTGCCTGCGCGCCGCGTATACACCACTTGCGTACCGTTTTTATTGGCCTTTTTTTTTATAGCTTAATCAACTTTTACATCAGCAAAACAAACAACCGAACGAAGAAAAATTGTAATGAAAAATTTTGCTCGGAAGAAGCAACGCGCCGGGAAAAGGAACGATCGCACACACATCGCAAGCAAAGTGGAAATAAAAACCGAATGACAATAATTTTAGAATGGAATTAAACGGCCATTAAATTCAAAGTATCACACAGAAAAATCGAATTAGCGCGCTCTATTTCGGATAGAGGAAAAAAAAGTCCAATTGAGAGAGAAAGTAGTTTTATTCTCCTGTTTTTTTTTTTTTCAGTGGGAACAAATTGTTCGAATAACTTATATTGGCTGATTGCTTCACTCGCTGCATTGGATTATGGATTGAGTCACGAAGACAAAATTAAATTGTAGAAAATATTTTATTCATTTTTGTCACTAGTTTCCGTTGAAACCATAAAGTCGACTTCGTCAAAGCTAAGGATTAAAAAATGAAGAAAAATTGTCATATTTGACATTTCTATTTTGTGGCAGTTAAAATCAAATTAAAATTAAATTTATTCCTTTTGCAATCTAGATTATGAATATGAACGCAAAAAAGGTCATTGTTCGACAGTAGCTCATTATGTCCAACACGAAACTGTGGTGAATATCCATTATTAGTCATGAATCGAGTTTTTGTTAATAATAACTACTGATCGTATGCATCAATTGTCTCGGATCACAGTTAAAAAATGTTAAATGGAAAATGTCACAGTTTCACATATTGAACATTTTCGGATTTCCGAGAGATTTTTTTTGAATATTTTCACATATTTCTCTGAAAATGCTTTGAAAATATGTCCAAATGTATCAAAACATTTTGTTCAAACTTTTCAGCTGCAGAATATTTATGCCTATCTGATTTGAATAAACTGTATTCAGTTAAAAAACATTTTGATGGAATTGAAATCTAATGAAGACGTACTTTGCATGTAAAACACTACCAATTTTTAGTTACGGAGGTGACCTAACCAAGAATCGGATTTTCCAAAATCAAACGTCGCTCACTTATACATGGAACACCATGTATTAACAAAATAAAATTTTCTCCGATATTTGACTAATGCAGATTTTGACCTTGGGATTATCTTTTGGGCGATGCAAAAGTTATTCGTCTATGCAGTTTGAATGGTTTCAAATCCATGAAAAAGCAGTAAAATCAAAAGACATAGAAATCACTTTCTCTTTTTTGTGTGTCCTTTTTGGCATTTTTGCTTACCTGCAGCACAATGAGAAACCAAATGTCGGCGACGACCAATAGGAACGTAGGAATATTCAACAGCTCATTGTTTGTGAATGTGTGATAAAACATAAACAGTATCAGTACAAGTTTGAATATAGTTTAAACCTGGAGAAAATTCAACATAAAATTGGTGGTTGAATATTGAAGTGAGTTTAGATTTCATATAAATTACAATTTTCCCTCTCAAATAGATATCATCATGAAACTCACCAAATTGAATATTGATTGTATCGAAGGAATATTGGAACACTTGGATGTCAGTGATCTTCTTAATGCAGCCGATTCAGGAGTAGCTGCTTTATAAAGCTGCTACATAAAAAATCTTAATTACTCTTTTTGCTAGTTTTCTTTATGTTGTGGTAAATAATAATCATTAGTCATAAACAGAATATTTGATAAAATCATTACCAGTTTTATAATATCTATGGAATGAGCAATTGAACATTTCGCCGAAGACGAGCGAGCCGCATTTCACGCAGTAGCAACCGTACAGTCGTTCAAAAATAATTTCAGACAAACTGGAAAATATGGTAATCACGCCTTCATTCCTTGCTAGCACATAATTTATACAATCCGCACTTTCAAATTAAAAAAGAAGATGTGACAGCAAAAAAAGACACATGATTAAATGCGACAAGATTAAGTTTGAACAGCTTCAGTTCACAAAAGTGACAACGACATTGAAAAAGCGACGAACAAAAAGCAAAAAGCAAAAAGCAATCTAGACTCATTTGGAAAGTGGGTTGCGTATGGGATTCATAGAGGCGGGATCTATCGCTGCGCTTTTGAACTCTTATGTATTCCATTGACTTCAATGATATATTTGGGAAAGATAGTGGCGCCACGCTCTATTCTCATGCTTCATTTGTGAAGTTTTAGAAGAAAGTCCATACGCTGACATCAATGTATTTACATTGGCTGTATGGTCCCATTGGCAAAAAGCGAAAAAAAAAAATAAAAACTGAGAATAAAAAAATTCACCAGATTTCCGTATTCATGATCCATTTGTTTTATTTTTTTTTCTTTATTTATCTAATATTGGTTCAAACATACATTAAGAGATAAAATTAGAATGGAAATGTAACGAAATAACATGGCAAATGTCTAAACACTGGCTTCAGATTATTTATCAAAGTTAATCTTATTTTTGCTGACAAAAAGTGTACATTTTTGTGGTTGAAAAATTGGACGCGGTTTCAAGGAGACATCGTTTGAAGTGTGAAACTATTATGAATGAAACGTATGTGAATCGATAACCCTTTTCAACGGAAATATGAAAAATTCACTCCACTCGCAAGTAGAAGCAGTGAGCTCACTATACACACAAAGGGAAAAAACCTGCTGGAAGAGCATGCGGAATTCAATGTGAGTGCAGTCAAACTGATAATAAATTACTGTTTAATCAACCATGAAATGAGAATTTTATTGGCGTTGCTACACTCGCTCATCCCACTCGGGTTTTTCCCCTTTCTTTCGTGACGTTTTTTTTCGCGTTACGTTTACTTTGAATCTAGTTGCTGAGGCTTATCCACGGCGTCATAAAACCTCTTGTAACTCGAATTACTCGACAGCGTTGTGCTCGATGGCCATAAACGTAGGAAGAATTTATTGTTCACTTCTGGTGACTCTCTATCGTTGTAGCCCTGTATGTGAGTGCGGAAAAAGAAGAGGTAATGGTTAAAATACACTTTCATTTTTTTTTTAAAGGATAAAAGTTTTCCTAACCTCGGGCTGAAATGCGAACAGTACCGTTCGCATCAGATAAATTCCATAGCAAATATTGGCTAATCCGATGACAGACATCAACCACGAGAAACCAATGTACTGTGAAATCTCGCCACCCAACAACGGTCCCAAAAAGTACGCCATACTCACGCTAGGCAATAGAAAAATGATGGAAAATAAGTTAAAAAATCGATTTAATTAGGAATAAATCATTTGATTCTAACCTGATTTGTTGGATCGCATATATTCCGCCGTATGAAGAGCCAAAACTTGTCTCCGATGCTACTTCATCATCATACATGTACTTGGTGTCAACAATCGATGCTAAGAGTGGCACTAATGCCACATCAAGTGTTCCTATTCCTGAAAATACGACCATTTTTATTAGCTATTTTCTTAAGCTTGGTTAATCGTTTCTATGTGTCGATACAATGTTTTAGAAGTGGAAAAAGTGTTACCCATCCCAAGAGCAAAATGTGGTAGAACGAGCGACGCGATTGAACTAGCATGTGGAATCTATTAATTTAATTTAATCCCATGAATCGAATATAAATTGACGTTAATTTGACATTAATTAATGAGACAAACAGTCAAATACCATTAGACAGGAGAAACCAACAACGGTCAACGCAACGATAGCTGTTGGCATGCCGCCGGCTTGATGTGCGATCACTGCCAAGAAATTCGTGCTAATAAAATATCCAATCGAATCAGGAATGAACACCGTTCCGATTTGCCACTTCTGCGATAATAAAGCATAAAATTGGGTGTTAGTGTTATTCAGTGTAGAACTCAGGCTGTTCACTTTTTTGCTACTGTTTGGACTTTTTGCTTCAATGTTCTGAAGCGTTCGACGAAATTCAATACGTTGTGTCTTTTTACATACACACATGGGTTTTTCTTTGGATAAATAACGATTATATGCTTCTTTTGTCATAGAAAAGTATAATTTTCACTTAGAAGTCACATTGGCAAACGTTCACTTTAAGCCGTTCACCTCTGGTTTTAACGTTGCCATCAGCCATATTGGCAAACATGGTTCGAGAGTAGCCATTGCTATTGTTGAAATCAATATCGCTATGAAAATCTTTGCGATTATCGGATCAGCCAATAAGTATATGTAGTTTCCATCCTTTGTAGTCAATTCACTTTCGCAACTGTGCAAATCCATGTAGGCCAGTTGAAGAGCTGCAAGTATTCACATTAGATCTTAAAATGACGGCTCACTATAATAATTATAATTGTTACTTGGGTAAATAATCCGGAACTCACCTAGAATAATAAAAGTCGCGGCGGCGATGATAAAAAATGGTGCTGATTTCCCACTGAATGCATATAAAATTCCGCCAAATGGATAGCCCAACAGGACACCCAAAGCCATACTGCCTAAAATCATTCCAATGATTTGGGATCGCATCTTCTCTTCAGGATAAGTCTATTGATGACAGAAAATTTCATTTAATTTGGATATTCTTAAACTGTTCACTCGAAACGTTTGGAATTGAGAGTCAAATTTCACAAAGTGGTTTTCTTTTTAATCATTTATCATTCACTTTTTGTTCAACTTGACTACTTTTGAAATTCCATCTGTTTATCTTCTTTCGAAATAATTAACGAAACTGTCTATTTTCTGAGGCAATTCGTTTGTCTGTTTTCAACTGAAAAAACTGTCCTTTTGTTGAAAAAAAAAATGGTTCAAATGATTGGAATCAAATTGAATTACCTGTGCAATAATGCTCATACCACAGATACTAATGCATGCTGAGGCAAATCCTTGCATGGCTCGAGCGAGAAGCAACAAAAAGTAAGTTTGTCCCATGGCAAATGCTGTAATTAACTCGTTAGTATTTGTTCAATGTAATTGAAATTCAACAACGCTATACGATACATACTCAACGAGGCTAAAAATAAAATGAATGTTCCAATCACGGTTGGAATGCGATATCCAAAGGAGTTGCTCATCGATTTGACGATTGGAGTTGAAACCAATTGAATCAAGGCTTTAGTCGCCAGCAGAATTCCCACTGCACCGTTTTCTTTATTTAAGTTATTGTCGTTCCAAAGTTTATCTCGAACGACGTCAAACTGAAAATTCTCTGGCATTGTAACATTTTCTACCGGGGCATTTTTGCCAAACATCGTCGACACATAATGTAAGTATAAATTTTTGTATTTTAAACTCTCCTGAAGACTGTTGAACGATTCGCGATCGATTTGCGACAGGTAATCCGGTAAGATTGGCACTAAAGAATGAATGAAACTTTTTAAATTACACTTTGAAAATGGTTACTTCAGTCATATTTACCGATGACAGTTAGTAGGATGTTGTCGAGCTAACAAAAAAAAGTGGATTATTAGTTTTGTTATAGACAAATATGTTTTTGGGATTTTTTTTTTGCGATTTGATTTTAAAACTAACCAATGTTGCCATATAAACGACGAATGTGAGAAACTTTCGACTACATTCACCTTGTGACAAAAACATTGCCACAAAACTCTTTATCACATCCATTCTCACTCAGTGAATTGGCGCTTAATTAATTAATAAAACTTTTCAATGAACGGCGACACACTTGTGAAGATAGTTTCTAACACAACACGTACCTTCGTGCTGAAGGAATATTCAAGGAGCGACACCACAAACATATGCGAACATTACGCAACTTGGCAGCATACTGAGACCAAACACCGTACTCCAATGCATTTATAAATTGATATTGAACCCACATAGATAATGAAAAATGTTCGCAACCACTGCAAACCAACTGTGGAACATAATCTATTGAACAACAACAATGGCATACGATGCGTGCGAATCGGTTTCTCTCACACCATCGCTCATGATTGTCTTTGTGTGCATGCGAACAACAAACTGGATTGAATGAGGGGACTTCCACGAACTGTGTGTCGTCGTCTATCAATATAGTTTTAGTCTACATGTTGAGATTTCCTTTTTCTATTTGATTGCTCATCACACGCATGCCGTTCATTTTTTCTTCTCGCATGTGGCGATATGCCGTTGATAACCAATTTAAATAGATTTGTTTCTATTTTAAGCAACGGCTTAAAGGATTGTCAAAGGATTGCACTGGAAGAAAAAAGATTTATTCTTGTTTTTGTTTTAGTGTTTGAATGAAGTAAATGTTTATCGATTGATACATAGATAGTTGGAAATGCATTGTGGAACTTTGAATGGAGTAGTTTCTATTCACAGCTATTTCGTGGAAATCTATTGAAAAATTGAATGTCAATCATTTGTTGCTTTTAATGACCATGCTTTGATGATAATCTCATTATTGTATTTATCCAACGATATTGAATGGAAAATGTCCTACAGAATTAATACAAACAAATATTCGTACACAAAGCCACTCCACTGATTCGCGATATAATTATGAAAAAGTCTGAATTCATATTAATGAAAGAATTAATTCCGTTGGCTTCAATCGGAAGAACTATTGATATCTTTATAACAAAAATGCATACCGCATGCAAGTGCTCGATTTAATATTCTCATTATCGTGTTGGACTTCATAACGAAATACCGCTAATAATATCACGCTATCTGAACATATCGTATGAGAGTCTCGTAACGTAACGATGTTTTGATGAACTATGTTTTTGCACAAATGAATAGAAAACGTTAGAATTGCTCTGAAATTTCATTTTTTTCTTCAATTTTTCATTGATATACAAATTTATCAATTAAATTTTTTTTGAAAACTATTTGAAAACGTTCAAAATTAACAAATACAAAAAAACCACTATGAAGTTGGTTGTTAATAAGTGTGACAAACAGTTTGACAATCATATCAGTGCGAAGAGTCGACCTTACTTTCAATCTAACCTCTGAATTTGTTCTAAGCTGTGAGATTTCCGTGACAAATTCCTGCAATATGTTACGAAAATTGATTGTATCAACTGGTTTTGTGTAGGTTTTGAATAAAAAATGAATCAATGTTTTGAGATTTTATCAAGTCAATTCTGTTTTTCCCATAGAAAATCGCACGCATTGAATGCGAGATGGATGTCAGTATACCCACCTTATTATATTGAACCGATTGTGAAGAAAGAGGACCAAGAGCGTTTAAAAGAGGAGAATACATTCAAAGAACTAGCGCATAAGAAAATCAAGGCAGCCAAAACGAATGTCACGTCATCATCACTTCAAGATCCAGTTGTAAGCAAGTTCATCAACTATATCATGGAAGGTGGCAAAAAGGAACTGGCGCGTGAAGTGCTTGAAAAAGGTTTCCAAAATATCAAACGCTCGCAATTGGAACGGTATGAAATTCAATGTGACATCGATTCCGCTTTATTTAACTGTATTTTCATTGCATTCAAAAGGTACAATTTGGCGAAAACGGACGAAGAACGTGAAGCAATCGAATTGAATCCACGAGTGTTGTTACATCAAGCTATTGAGAATTGTCGACCATTGATGCGACTGGTGAATGTTAAACGAGGCGGCACCAATTATAAAGTTCCAATTCCAATCACTGAAAAACGATCGTATTTTATGTCAATGAAATGGTTGGTCGAAGCCGGAAATGATAAAGCACAACCGGTACGTTTTGCAGATAAAATTGCATGGGAAATCATCGATGCGGCCAATAATACTGGTCGTGTGATCAAAAGGAAACAGGATTTACACAAAGAATGCGAAGCCAATCGAGCATACGCTCATTACAGATGGCTCAGTTAGTTCGATCGTTGTCAGTTCTTTTTTTGTTGTAAATTAATAAGATGAATAAAAAATAGCGCTTCTGTAAAAGATTTATTTTCTCATTTTTTTTTTATTGTTTATTCATTTATCTTCTTTTGTGTCATTTTTTCTGAGACTCAGAATCTGATTTCCCAAAAAAATGTTCCTTTTATCGACCAAAAGTACAGTAATTACTTTCCAAACAATCTTCGGAATAGTTTAATATCGAAAATGTCCACTCCCTTCCATGGAAGCTTCAACGATTTTTCCTCTTTGCCATCAATCGCTTGGACTGTCTTATATAAACCGAATTTAACTGGGCTTTTAGGCCATTTCGGAACGTCATCTACTGTTGTTTGAATAAATTGCTGCTTTCCCCAAAAGTCAATATAGGTAATCTGAAGATTTTTATTCTGTCCACAAATGTAAACGATTCCAATTGTATTTGCGAGAGCTTTGCTGTACGCCGATAGAATGGTACTTCCAGTCAGACCTTTGAACGAAGAAAAAAAATGTATGAGATATATTACCTTTTGAGAAAAGTATGAAAATTTACGGGAAATATCTACCAATCATCAAACACGGCGTGGCTGAAAAATCTGGAAAATGTTGGCTTAGCTCAACTAAATAGGTAATTGGAGTGAGCAAAACGGTTGAAAGATACGGATAAATCTTCAGCCTCGTAACGATTGCATGGTATTTTATGTCTTTAAAGTAATATAATTTCGTCCATCTCATGTCCTTATCTTTTCGTTTTTTCTCCGCCAATTCCTCGGCTTTTGATCTGTTCAACTGCACATATGAATTCACACATACTGTCCTAACACTATGAAATGTGTGATTCGGATGGGAATTAATTTTATAAAGTTGAGCGCCGGCTATTCGAATCATTTTGTTTTGATTTTCTCTGGAGCCGAATTATAACCAAAGAAGAAAATGTTATCATTCACTTTACGGCTCATTCACAATGGAACTGAATTCCGAAACGTCACTTGTCAAAGCCGGAGTTCAGCAAGACGAAAACGTCGCTTTGACATTCGCACGTGGTGTTCTTTTGAGTTTGAGCAGTGTACGGTAAACATTCTCACAATTCAACGAATAAATCGACAAAAAAATTGGCTGCGATAATCATGGCTAGCAAGCATAAGCTCAAAGAAGCGTATGTTTTATTGAATAAAATCAAAATTCGTTAAATATTTCAATGAAAATAACGAGAATTTTTGCTTTTTATCAGGTTTGAGGTGGAATCAGAGTATGGTGCAATTTACACGGGTGGTTTGGTCAAATGGACATCAGATGCGGAGAAAATCTACTGTCAAGATCAAGAGAAAATCAACATAATTTCCGTTGCCGATAACAAAGTGATTCAATCGATAGGCGAGCAAATCAATGAAGGTGCTGTTGTGGAAGATGCGATTTACACATTTGCCTTGAGCGATGACGATGAGCAACTTTGCACCGCCCATCGAAGCAGTTTGATTAAATTGTGGCAGACCAACGATGGAACGTTGGTAAAAATGTGGAAGTCCACACACAATGGACCGATTCCACAGCTTGAATTCAGTACGAATTCATCACTGATTGCCAGCGGTGGTGCTGATTCTTCGGTTCGGATTTGGGATCATCAACGCAAGACTTGCATCGGCAGTCTGAGAGGATGCGTCGGTGTTTTGAGCGTATTGAAATTCAACCCACAGCCAACGAATCGAACAGTTTTCGCTGCTGGTAATGACAATAAAATCAACGGATGGAATTATGACACACGAGAATCAGTTTGCACATTAATTGGGCACATGACAAAAGTGACGTCGCTGTCATTCAGTGCAGATGGCAAGTTTTTGGTGTCGGGAAGTCGAGATAAAGTGTTAATTTTGTGGGATTTGCAGAAATACGAACAAGTTCGCGTTGTGCCAGTTTACGAAACCATCGAGAGTGCCATCGTACTGCCGAATAATATCAAATTGCCCGCTGCCATCAAATTGGCCGATGACAAAATCTACGCCGCTTCAGCCGGTGAGGATGGAGCGATTAAGATATGGGAGATGAACACAGCACGTTTAGTCTATAAACAAGAGAATAGTTTGGTGTCGAAAGCAAGCGAAACAGAAGGATTGGCCATCACACAAATGCTGTACAATAAAAAGGTGTCACAATTTGCCGTTGTCAGCGCCGATCACAACATAATGATACATAATTCGAGCACATTCTACTGTACAAAGCAATTCATTGGATTCAGCGCAGAGATTCTGGATGTAGTGTTTGTTGGCAAAAAAGATCGATATTTGGCCGTGGCCACAAACAGCGCCGATATCAAAATCTACGACACACTTGACATGAATTGTAAAATAGTCAAAGGGCATACGGACATTGTATTGTCGTTGGCTTCGCTAAGAAATTTCCTACTCTCCGCTGGAAAAGACAATACGATTCGCTTGTGGGAGATTAATCCGAGTGATTTTACGGTTCGCTGTATCGGTATCGGTACCAAACACACAAAAGCCGTTGGTTCAGTTGCATTCGGTAAAATTTCACATCAAACATTCGCATCGGTGAGTCAAGACACATGCATCAAAGTTTGGAAACTACCCAAAGAACTCGATCCAAATGCCACAATCAATTTGAATTGTGTAGCCACGGAAATTGCTCACAAAGAAGACGTGAATTGTATCACAATTTCACCGAATGACAAAATGATTGCGACAACGTCACAAGATAAAACCGCCAAACTGTGGAGCCTCAGCAATTTGTCACTGTTGGGTGTATTGCGTGGTCATCGACGTGGAATTTGGTGTGCACGTTTCTCACCCGTTGATCAAGTATTAATGACCACTTCCGGAGATTGCACAATTAAACTTTGGTCACTAGCCGATATGTCATGTTTGAAGTCCTTCGAAGGGCATGACAGTTCGGTGATGAGAGCTGAATTTTTGTGTCAAGGAATGCAAATTTTGTCCGCTGGATCAGACGGTTTGATTAAATTGTGGAGTATCAAGAGTTCGGAATGTGTGACAACGCTTGAGAAACACGACGGTAGAATTTGGACAATGGCCGTAGCGACTGATGAATCGAATTTCGTAAGCGGTGGTGCTGATTCGTTGTTAGTCAAGTGGAAAGATGTAACCGAAGATCAAAAATTGGCCAAACAAAAGGAACAACAAGAATTTGCCCTTGAGGAACAAGAGCTCGCCAATTTGCTACGGGAAAAGAAACATCTCAAAGCATTGAAATATGCACTTCGGCTGTCGAAACCGAAATTGTCTCTCAACATCATAACAGAAGTAATTAAATTGCAAGAAGACGGTCTGGATGAAACCATCGCAAAATTGAACGAAACCGAAAAAGAAAAACTTTTGAATCATACACTGTCATGGAATACAAACAGTCGAAACACACGCACCGCCCAATTGGTATTGAATCTTTTGCTGAAGGATGTGCTGAGCGGAAAATTCAAACCAGCCAGTCGAATCAAGTTAGTCGAAGATGCATTGCCATACACAGAAAGACATTTTAAACGAATGACAGAGCATTTAACAGCCATCAAAGCACTGGAATTTACATTAAAATGCATGCAACCACATGCAAATTTGGATATTGAAATGAAATCCGACAATGAAGATTAAGTTTTTGATTTAGTAAACAATACATTTATTTTGTTTAAGGAAAATGTTTTAAATAAAACTTTAATTTTTGAATAAAATCCACCAAATTTATTCGGTAGAATGTTTTGTTTATGGTTTGAAGTCTCGTTGATTCATTGTTTGTGTAGAAAATTGAACGTTTTGTACAAATTGGTAAGTAGCGCCATCTACACATTTTTGACATTTCGAGCGATGATTTGATGCCGGTGACATATGCACTATATGTACATACAAACAAACCTCAATCCAATCTAGGCGATATGTTATGATTTTCTGTGTTTATTTGCGAATAATTTGATGGTTCCGAAGCAAAAATGGAGGATTACAATCACAAAACGGTATTCGTACTAGATCACACGCAATATTTTGGTAAGGACAGGCAATCTATTTCAATAAATATACAATTGAGAAGCAACGAATAGTGACGGATATTTGTGATGTATTTGACAGGTATTTCTGGTGATAACACATTTCAATTGGAGTTTGTGAATAGCAAAGGAATTGAATCGATTGTTCCAGTATCAAAGGTATTTTATTCCATTTAAATCTCGTGCTCAACTAGTAATTACAGACGATAATCAACTAATTTAATTCTGCAGAGTCTATGGACAACATCCGTCGAAACAGCAGCAGAATACTGTCGCATTGTTTGGGACTTATTTCCGTCGGGAAAATATGTAAGTTTTGGATTCATCAAAGCCAATGCTAAGCAAAATGAATCTATATCGTTCAGCTGGTCGCTTTCCAAGAGAAAACTGATCGTGTTTTTCATTACGAGGAATCACGATTCAAAGAAAATTGAGACAAGCTCCATAAAACCAGAACCTAATACCAAAAAAAAAATGAACGAAAAACACTGTGCTATAAACTATTCCATGTCATTTTTTCAGATCCGATTCATTGTAAGCGATGCGAATGCGCATATTGTTAACACATGGTCGCCAACGACACAGAATTTGACGCATGTAATGAATGCGATGGCAATGGTTGGTGTGCCGCCACCGTTGCCACATTCAGCTGAATTCACAGTGATCCATGGTCTGCGAGCGGCCGTCGAAGCACTGGCCGAACCAACTGAGCAACAGAAAGAGAAGCTGAAAACGGGTGCGAAAATTGTCAATCGAGCCCGAGTGATATGCATCACTTCAGCCCGAGACGATTCGAGTATGAAAAGTTTGGAGGAAATTTTCTACACAGTGTTGGCACAACAGAATATGTTGCCGGCACAAGGTGCATCTGACTTTCTAAAAATCGACCAATGTCACTTGGTCGTGATAAACTTGCACCCGACCGGATTGGATTCGATGGTCACGAATCGACCGTTACGCGACTTGAATGGAACAGTCAAAGCAGAGGTGCATTCGGTGAAGGCGCGTGATTTTGGTAACAAATTGACTCATTTGATTCTGCCGCATTATGATTTGGCAAGCACAACGGTCACGGGCATTCCGATGAAAGAAGAACAAAATGCGAGCTCCAGTGCAAATTATGATGTGGAAATTTTCCATTCACGGAAATCACATTCGATTATTTGTGGGAATGAACAAGAGCTACCGACGAGTATCAAAGATAATGCCGAATATGAAACGGTCACATTGAAATGGTGTACGCCGAGAGGTGTCGGCGCTGCCGAGCTTCAACCGTGCTTGGCTCAGTATCGAATTACACCAGTTGATGTTACATCGCGACCAAGCTCGTGTCTGATCAATTTCCTTCTAAATGGCAGATCTGTGTTGCTCGAAATGCCAAGGTAAGGGTTATGATGCGATCAGTATCGAATTGGATATGTTTTTCGGTAAATTTGATGGAATTTTTTATTCACTTCCAGAGAAACGGGCGGCAAAATAACCAGCCACATGTTATCAGCGCACGGCGGAGAGATTTTTATGCATACACTACATACATCACGCAGTTGCCTAGAGGATTTGCCATCAGTTCTAGATAGCAATAGTGGAAAAGTGACCGACTATCGAATCAATGACTATGCAGCAATAATTCATAATTACAAACTGATTCCGTTGAAACAGTTTTCGGATCGATTACCAGATCGAAACCTAGTACGACTCAGGGCAAAATTTTGCAAGAGCACCAAATATTTCCCACTGACAGCTGGCTCGACCATTGTTTACAATGTGCGACAGGTAAAATCACATCTAATTCAAGTATAATCATGCACGATTCAAATCGAATCGTGCAAAATTCATTGCACCAAACAAATTGTTCAAGATTTACTGAATGAAGATGTTTTCTTTTCACAAATTTTCACTCGATTTTAGTTTTTGGAGCCAATGCTCACATTGATTGGAAAAGAGGAAATAACTGAAGAGGAAGTGCTCAAGTGTCAGCAGATAATATACAATCTGATTGCATTCGAAGCTCGACATGAACCACTTACACTGCCGGTTGGGCAGAACAGGTATGTAACAGGCAACTCATTGTCAAATTCAATCGAGAGGTTTTGAAAAGAGAAATTCAAATGAATGAATATTCCATAAATATGTTTTCAGACTAAAAGGCCCCAAGAAAGATGACCAATACAAATTGCTGTGGGCTGAATTGATTCATTTGCTACAAATCGGACCACAGTCACCGAACCATAAGAAACTTTTGACATTCATTAAGAATGAACATGTTACGGATGTAAACAAGGACTCGAAACATCTCACTACACAAATAACCAATTCACCGATGTCGCCACCGGGCTCAAGTGACCACACATTGACTAAAAAGAAGACACAACATCTGTTGTCATCAGCAGGAAATCGGTGAGTTGAGAAGAGAGGAGTGTTTCTGTGAAATTCATGATCTGTTCTATGATACGAAATAGTTCAGTAGATTTAATAGACTGTTGTTACTGTTCCCGCATAAAAAAATGGTCGATTATTTAATCTAATGTCCTCTTTTTTTGCAGATCTTTGTACGAAATTCAAGTGGCCGCTGACAAAGCATTGAGCAAAAAACGGCTAGACTTGGCGGGGCGCCTGTCGACACCGTCTGGGAAAATTGCAAAACTGTATCCCAACCTGAAAATCAACGAAGTATATCAAGATCAAGATGCACCACAATTTTCGCCTTAGTTAAGAAATAAAAACACACCAACTTTTCATGTTCACAACATTGATTTTAATAAAATTGTTCGTCATAAATGAAGCGCAAGATTGCTGCAAATAAATAATCGAAATAAATGTAAATTATTTTAATGGCTCAGTGAATTGTATCCAGAGTCCATCAATTGTTCTGATTCATTATGCTTGCGAGATGCAGACATAGAAATTTGCGTCATGGGTTGGACTGTATCAACCATCGAGTTGATTGGTGTTGTCAGTAGATCTGAGTGTCTTCTCTTCTTATGTGCCTTCAGCCCTTCTTTGGTGGACCTTTTTGCTTCGCAAATATTACAACAAAAATCTTTTCGCTCCTGATGTATTGCCGCCATGTGATCTTGTAAATTTCGTTTCGATTTCAGCTTTTTTGAGCACACTTTACATTCCCAATCTTTATGCCTTCGTTGTTTGTGCCGATAGCGTGCAGCTTCCGTCAGGAACGGTTCTTCGCATTCATCGCACTTACATGTTGCTTTACTTGGATCATGTTTTACCATGTGTTCGTTTAGTCCGTTCTGGTTGGAATAGCCCTTGTTGCATACCACACATTTCAAAACCTCTTGGTTGTGACATTGTCGAATGTGTTGCTTCAGAGCTGTCTCAGTACCGAACGTCCTATTGCACAAATGACATCTGAACGTTTTGATTTGGTGCATTCTCGCGATATGATCCCTCAAATTATACACGCTTGAAAGGGATTTTTTACAAATCTTACATGTGGTACTATTCTGCTGCCTTGACACATCCAACACGTTCGACTGATTAATCTGAACCTTCTGTCTGTAACAATAGATAGCAAATGCAAATGTAATCACCGTAAATAATCTGCTAGATAACAAATGTCACTTACCTATGCACATTTTTGGACTGGAGATGTTTTTTCAAGTGGACTTTTTTTGCAAATCGTTTTCCACAGTTGAGATGAGGACATTCGTGTATCTCGTTTTCGTAGCATTTGTGTGATTTCCTACGTATGAACAGTTTCCCACATAGCTCACATGGCTGCTTCTTTTTTTCGTCTTTCATCATTGTGCTGTTTCCAGTTGTTTCGCCATGAGTGTCGCAGCTAAAATCATATGTTCCGCAGCTAAAGTCTGTGGCTTCCATCGAATCTTAAAGAAAAATGTTTGAAAACACCACTTTTCAATAGCAATCCGTGAAATTGACATCGAAGTAACCGTCAAGTACTGATTTTTGGCGATACATTCACCACTTACCCATTTTGTTGTCCATTTTTTCCCTCCAAAAACAGTGTCTAAACAAAAAGTGTAACTTTTTTTCTCGCTCGCACAAACAAATACTATGAAGGTTATATCGAACTGTCATATCAATCATACCGCTATTGGATATAGATGTCACTGTGTTTATCCGTAACCCATCAATATTTTGAATCAAAACAAAGAGAAAACACTTGGATTTGTGTTGCAAATATTTATTTGAAGAAAAAAGATGATTATTTTATTGATTCACAACTAAAGTAAAAATAGGTAGAATTTTTGATCAAAAATAGCGAATAAATTTGTTCATGCATTGTAAATCAACGATGACTTTGAATAGAAATATGTGGGTATACATAAAAACTTAAAAATGATAAATGTAGTTGATACGCTGCTTCTGAGATTAAAATAAAAGCGTTAAAATAAGCGAAAAAAAGGAAAAAAAATATCTCTCGTATACAATGTCTATTGCATGTCTCTCAATTAATTTCACAAAAAGAGAGGGGAAAAAAAGAGCGCAAAAGCGAAAAAAAAATCGGTTTATAGGAAATGCAATTGTGTTGGATAACCTAAATCTAACAATTGTGCTGGTTGATGTTGTTTAATGGATGCTGGGCTGAGAATTTGCCTTCTGGATTGTGCTGTTTCGACCATAGCTGCCGGTGGAACACCGCTCGAAATACCAGTTCCGATGAGATTTGTGTTTAACGGAGGTGGATAGCCATGCTTCTTTTTCTGATGCTGCTTCAATCGTTCATTGTCATAGTATCGGCGTTCACACATGTTGCACGCAATTTCCGGGTTTCCACTGTGACGACGCACATGTCGTTCGTATGTGTATTTGGATTTTAACACTTTTTGGCACTCGGGACACTTCCAAACGGTGCTATGTCTTTGCAAGTGCTGATGATAAATGGATTGCTTGAAAAACTCTTTTCCACAGAAGCTGCACTCGAAATGGGCTTTGCTTTGATCATGCACAATGCTGTGCTCGTTCAATTTGTCGAGGCTGGAATAGGCCTTGTCGCATAGTTTGCATTTGAACGCTTTCTTGTTCTGGTGCTTTTGAATGTGCTGCTTTAGGTCTCGTTCGAGACCAAATGCCTTACCGCATAATGTGCATCCGTACCGCTTGTTTTCGTGATAGCGCAAATTGTGATTGTTCAAATTCACTTTGTTCGCAAATGTTTTTTTGCATTGCCAGCAAAAATGCTTCTTTCTGCGAGATTTTTTGGACGCATTCGACTGTACATCCTCTCTGTGGCAATAGGCAGCAAAGGCAAATGTATTCATTACGTCTAAAATATTGGCGGTGGGAAAAAAATCACATTTTAATTAGCAAATGCTGATATTTATGATGCAAAGGCAGTAGAAAACACAAATTTTACTGGAAATTTATTTAGTTACCGTTTACAGAGTCCATTTTTTCTCCAAATACGACATCCAAACTGGAATTTTTGTGCTTTTCTTTCTTGTATAAACAAACTTTGAACTGTCACATTTGTGAGCATTACAATGACGTTGGCTGCAGATGTCATTTGCACTCATCATACATGAATGTGGTTTTGAATTTAAGCGGGAAACGGTTATTTTTGCCACTATAAATTAAAATATTGCAATGAAAAAATGTATTTATTATTCTTTTAGTTTATGAATTAATTATTAAAGGTGATTTGAATTAATTTAATTGACATTTTTTTGTTTAATGTCACCATAAATAAATGAGCTTTCCCTCTCTACTATGGTCACTGCTTTGTTCCTATCATGAGAATATCAAACCATGCATTTCTTCTTGTTCAGAAATGCATGTTGACATAGTTGAGTATGCATAACACATGAAAATTGAGTAAAACCATGGAGCAATTAAAATTAACTTTAAATTAATCATCAACAATAGTTACTTCAACATATTTGCAAAGTTTTCAATGCAAGCAAAGATCCACGTTGTTATAAATATGTAAAAATATAATTATCTTCTATACCAAGTTGGATTTCTGCTAAAAATGAAAATGTTGTGGGTGGAATATAACGGATTAAGTCATCGGTTATGAACCAATAAACGAAAATGATCAAACGACTGGAATTTCAACAGTGATCATTGAAATAAATATCCAACTGAATCAATTGACTCGTTCAGCGCCTCACAAACCTTGACCTAGTCATCAGCATTGGCAGCATTGTCGGTCTGTTTTTCGGTGCATCGCCTCTGAGTTTTGTCGAAATTATTCATCTTTTGTGATTTTGCATCGATTTTCATAATATCCCCTCAAAATACATGTTGAACAGTAAATAATTAGTAGAACCGCGGTCTTGAGGCAAGCTTGCAAATGGCACTTATCAAAAAAAATCATGGTCGTTCAAAGTTGAAAAATGAAATGAAAAATCGTAAAAAAATGACTAAAAGTATTTTTTTGGCGAAAATGCAAACGATATGGAAAAAAATCAATTTCGCATTGATAGTAATGAAATTTATTAATATGCCAGCCCTTCGTCAAGTCTTTTTTATATTTTACTAGCGGCCTTGCTTTACTCGGCTTCGGCGCTAGGTCGCTTCGCGACTACCCGAAATTGATACATTTACTCCATCTCTGGGCGGAATCAACGAAGAGATATTTAAATTAAAAAGCCATATACTCCAAAAAGAAGCTCGTAATATCGATGAAAAAATTCTTAGGCCCAAGTGGACGCTGAACTCCTTTCCACTCTCTTTCTACTCCATTTACACTACTTTGTGTATAATAAATAGGGAAAGGAGTAACGACTCCCTTTTTGTCTCATCTTCTTCTTCTGTTTCTTCTTTTTCTGCTTCTTCCTATATTCTGATTATTATGCGCTGTGAGCACACAACATCTGAAAGGCACACAACATCTAAAAAGAAGAAGAAGAAGATGAGACAAAAAGGGAGTCGTTACTCCTTTCCCTATTTTTTATACACAAAGGTGTGTAAATGGAGTAGAAAGAGAGTGGAAAGGAGTTCAGCGTCCACTTGGGGGATGATGATAAAAAGCGATTGTTTTTCGTTTTGTCAATGGCAGCGTTGTTTGATCTGAAATGAATTATTTTTATTTCCTTCAAGTCTCGACAGTAATAACAACTATACGCTAACGAGACAGCTTTTATCAGAATGATTAATTGTCTTCGAATGCTAAACAATGCATTTATCGTGTGACAAAATAAGTACTCTGTCTCGTAAAAATCTGTTGCTTCTTTTTCAATCGAAGCATGACGTCAAATGTATTATCTTTTCTATCCTATTTTCTATCGTTAAGCATAAAAACGCCTTGAAAATACTATTGACGCAATCGCACCAGCAAAATGGTCTGCAAAATGGGATATAAATTCAGAACGCTCCACATGACGCGTCCATTCAAATTTCGAGCACAGTCTCAAATAGTTAAAATATATCCAACATAGACTCAATTGACAATAGTTGCACAGTTGAAATTGTTGCTGAATTTTTCGAAAGTAGAAAATTCAGCTTGAAATATAACTTGTTTGTATTCATTTTCTTCGTTCAAATTTTATAATATTACCAAAATGAAAACCACTTCGTGCACTACGTTAATTCTTCTAATTGGATTCACTTTTTGTTGTGGTGCAATGTCTATTGATTTGAATAAGGTGTGTGAAAAATATTTAAAACAAATTCGAACCATCAGCCAAAATACATTTTTCTTATTTTTATTTCAAAGGAAACTCCAAATACTGGAACTACTGCAGAGTTAAATCGGAAGTGAGTTTTGTGATTACATTATTTACAATTCGAACAAATGCATAAAAAACTTTTTTCCAGAATTAAACGGTCAACCGACGAACTTGATAATCTTTTGAATGAAATTGTTTCGGATGAAGAGCTACTGAATTTAGCCATTCACGGGGTCGACAAGGAAAAAGTGCAAAATTCAGCATTGTTGCAGTATCTTCTATTGCGTAAACCAAGTTTGTTTTGATGATAATTGAAACATATATGATAAAATTATGGTTCGAAATGGAATCATCCATTAATTGGGGATTTTTCCTAGATTTAGTTCACATTTTACAAGAAAAACGGAGCCTTGACTACAGACCGCGCTTAGGCAGAAGATCGAATGAGGATACTGAACAACCAAAACCATACGACGTTTTCTTTACTCCAAGAATGGGCAAACGTGCAGATTTTACTAACTACACACCTCGACTTGGTCGCTCAACCTATTCAGGTGATATTTTGCAGAACATGAATTTTAATTCCATTATTGATCCCGTTATTACTAGAAATTGAAGCTTATTAACATAATTACTTTTGCAGAATAAGATTTTTTGGAACCAGAAACCTACAACGATCTATTGATGATGACTTCACACGAGCCACAAAATTAACTAAATAGACATGAAATGGGATTAAATGTCTACAAATTCAATTTGAACTACTGTAGTTCAACTACGATTGGATACAATTATTATAAAAAAATGTCTGTTTTACTTATTTTGAACTAATATACTTAACTGTAATCTCGACGGCTTGTGAAAATTGTTAAACAATACTTTTTATACTTGAATGAATAAATGGGATGCACAAAGAAAAACCGAATTCCAACCAAAAATTGTTTTAACTTATTTATGATTCGTGGTATTCTTTCTTACGAATTGGTAAAAAGATAATCGTTTGAAATGGAAATCCACCGAAAATATTATTCAACTCAATTGATTCCACTGCAAATCAGGAACATGCAACATATGTTTGCAGACCAAATAACGAGACCATTGCTTTTGTACACGGATTGAATATTTTGCAAAAAATTCAATCTTTTTATTGTCTTTTCGACAAATTTTCATCGAGAAAAAATGCCAACAATTTGTAAAATGTATTCACGTGGAAATATATAATATTTTAGAATGATCCATGTTTTCATTCAAAAAATATTCAAATTTCTATCGATTACAGTCAAATATCCATAGGTCTATCCGGTCATAGACAATCTTAACAGTAAAATTTCAAATCGAAAAACAAATTGGGACCATTTGACTCCACTATCGATACATTTGGCTTCTAATTTTTTTTTCTAACCTTAATACTAACCTTTTAGCACTAAAATTATTCTTTGTATGCGCGTAAAAATATTTTCAGCCAACAATTTTCGTGATACTTTTTAGCGATTTGTGTACAAAAGCATACCAAAGGTTGAGATTGTCGTGAGGTATGACTGAAAAAGTAACGCAAAATAATCGATTTCCAAGATTTGTTTTCATCAATTTAAATATCGAAGTGTCAAAAACCTCGTATAATATCGATTCGATTTAAAATGATTATTAACGATTTCAATGAATGTTCTAAACCTGGCACAGCAGTGGGTGGAATTATTCAATGGAAACCTCCGATCATTAATCATCATTAAGTTTATATTACGGTATTTGACATTGGATTGAATCTGCATGTGCACGACAGTCCATGCCAAAGACAAGTTCATTTTGTAAATTCACGTGCTATTTCGATGATTTCATCTTGTTTTGAATGCGGAAAATTCAACGAAGAGAATGACTTCAGCGTGAAAATTTCCGTAATCTCCTGAAGGTTACATTCTGTTATCGGGCAATTAAAATCAAGAAGAACACATGACGCAGTGTTTGTTCTGATTAAATTTAAAATTTACTTAGGCTGTAATGCTGAGCCTGCGCCTCGCCCACATACATGCCAAACAAAATTGTTATATATAAGTCAAATATTCACGTTCCAATCGTAGTCAAATATCAACCTTTTAACGATTATATCATCACGAAAATGATGAATACAATTCGATATTTTGGTGTTATTTTGAGTTTAACTTTGTTTGTGACTTCACTCGTAAATGGAGACATGGAATGTGAATTGTTGCTCGAGGTGAATATCGGTGTTTCTTAAACAAAAATCAAATGACCATTTTAATTGGTTGTAAATTGAATAAATGTGTTCTACGTGATGTTTGTTCCACTTTTGCAGAACGGTGAAAATAACTATTTAGCACATTCGAAGCTTGGAAATGTATTTGCTGGTTTCAACCAAATATTTGAAACCGTTCATCGCTCGGAAACCATTCAGAAAAGTTTGGACACGAAAACATTGAACTTTGTTGAACTGTAAGTATTTTGACAGTCAATGACATGCGATTCCCAATACTTGAAGCAAATTTTTGAAATCACAAAGAAAACACCATTGTTCCATTAACCAAACACCATTCCAGATTGTTGGCTGCTAAGAAGATTGAATTGGAATTGAAGTCATTGGACGAAAATAAATTCAATCGGACTATGGAAGAACTCTGTCGCGAACCATCAACAGATAATCTATGGCTCGAAAGTACACATGGTAGATAAATGACATTTGTCATTATTGACATTAACCGATTTTATTGTGGTTCCAGTGATTTTAAGAACGGCCATCGAATTGAAGACATTATTAACACCACTTATGACCACAAATGATCTCGAATTCAGCACTCGACCACGACTTGGCTGATTGTTTCTGATGGAAGAACTCTGTGAACCCAAATAACTTTTAAAGAACAAATATGTCAAAAATCATAGAAATAAATGTATTTTTTAGTTGGCATCAAGGCATTTTCAATTTGAATTTGAATAATGAAGGTATTTGCAATCGATCGTTGTGATAGAGCGTTGATATCAATTAGTTGTGCTGAATCGTATGTGTACATGTGAAATCGTTCAAATAGAGATGACGTCTGTACATTTTGTTTTGGCTGGACGGAAAACTCAATCGTCTTTCCAGTCTCGAAATAAAATCTTTCTCTTCAATCTTACTGAGCACTTCAACAAATCAATACATCGAAGAATCCTCTGGCATTATTTCAAGAAAATGTTATTTGTTACAGATTTAGCCACTAACATTACCAATGAACTGCCATGCATTCAAATAATCATGAAAAACTCGCAAAAATTGATGACTTTCTTAAAACAAAATAAATATTTTGTGTATATTCGTGAAAATGGAATTTACGAAATATTTATTTTCATAGACTTACTCCGTCGTTTTTTTTTCTTTCGTTTGTTAATTTGTTTTGAAGTATGCTTTACCTGGACGTATTCTACATAACAAGCTGTAAATCTAGGATTTGTTTTTGTTCCTTTTTAGCACGTGAACTGGTGCCGTAAAGTCATGTTTTAATTACTTAAGGGTTTTTTTTTTGATGATGCTACTTTTTGACTCTACAATGTTTAGAATCGCAAATTGCTTTAATTTGCTTAATTCGCCAAGCGAATACTACGAGCAAATACTCAGTGAAAATTCCGAAACGTATCGTATGGAGTAAATGCCAATTTTTTCTCCCTTTTAACACTCATTCGAAGTCTGTGTAGCTCAATGGATAGAGTATCTGACCGGCAATCAGAAGGTCCGTGGTTCGACTCCCGGCATAGGAAAGATGCAAATTTTTCCTCTTCTTCTTCGCTTCGAATGAGTGTTAAAAGAGAGAAAAAATTGGCATTTACTCCATACGATACGTTTCGGAATTTTCACTGAGTATTTGCTCGTAGTATTCGCTTTGCGAATTAAGCAAATTAAAGCAATTTGAATCGTTGCGATTCTAAACATTGTAGAGTCAAAAAGTAGCATCATCAAAAAAAAAAAACCTTAAGTAATTAAGCTGTAAATCGTAGTAAAACCCAATCTTTTCGTGTATTTTTCATCTTTATTAAAAAGGAATCCACACGGTGAAACAATATTTGTCAAAAAGAAATATACAAACTAAAAAAATACCTTAACATAAACATTTACAAAAAAGAAATCAAATTGGGAAGCAGTGTCCAAAAAAAAATTATTATTAAATTAATAAAAAATGCCAATCTATATATTAAAAAAAGTAGGAAAATTTAGAAAATTAGAAACGAAATCACTTAGTGTAAAACAAGTTTATTTCGAGAAAGAAAGGGTCTTATTTTTTTTTTATTTCGGTACATTAAATACGATGATTTGCTTTATTTAAATTTGTATTGACAGAATTGGATGGTACATCAGATGCTATTTTTGTTGTTGTTGTTGTCTCATAGCTGAAGGTAAAAATAATTTGCGACTATTTGGTTGTCTCTTCATTTTTAAAAAATATGCCATTTGAACAGATCCTCATTTCAATTTGTAATAGTTTGCGTAACATGTACTCATATCAACTAAATTGTCTATTCATTGTTTTTAAATGTTTATCATTTCATTTTTTTGGTTTTTTTTCTTGTAGAATTTGGATTGATAGGCATTAAAAACGACTTGTCGACATATACACAATTTGTTTTTTTGTTTTCTTCAAGTTATTGTTTTCATTTGAACTGTGAACTATATGCCATATTCGTTTTATGTACAATGTACATAAAACGACAGTATGACAATCGGTCAAGATGTACGGCGCTCAGCGCATACCGTTCTCGACTGTGTCATACTGCACATAGGGAAAGTGCCACAATACATTTCAAATGTTAGTCATTTGACACATAGCAGTCAATGACATCTCAATTCCAACTCATTGAATCATTGTATTTTTCGACAACCTTTTTCAAACGCTTATGACTTTACTAGAATATAATCAACTTTACGGCGACGCTAACAGCTTCTCTGTGGGCCGATGCTACGCGTTAGCCAAAACGTATTGATGTTTCGCAATGGTTACTCGATGCATTTGCCAAAATACTATGATTTTTGTACTCTCTTCTACGATGTGTGTGCAGAGAAGCTGCTAGTGTCGCCTTAAAGTTGATTATATTCAACTCAAGCCACACACGATTGAAAAATTTGCTCGAAATATTCGATGGTTCAATAAGTTGGTTTAGAGATTTCATTGGCTGTCTTCTGGTATTCCGGCAATATATTTATGATACTGCACCCAACCCCTACAATGTTGCAGCGTGTATCTAAAAATGTTGTCTACGAATTTTTTTTCGCTTCGAATGATCAACAATTGTGTTGTGTGTGCCAAATGAAATTCGACCCATTTTGATGGTCTGTTGAAAACACGTTCTGATTCAACCAGCATTTGGTTCACACGACACCGCAGAATTGATCACCGCTTATTTTGAATACAAACAAAAAAAAAACTTCTGGAAAATATTGGTAGAAAAGATTTGTACAAAAAACGTGAATCCAATAAATTATCGTACGAATACAAAGAGAAATCATAAAAAATGGCAAGTCCGTGTGATTATTTTTGTGGTATTTTAATATTTTGTTTGTTGTTGTTGTTTTCATTCTCTTTGCATTTTTAGTCACTAGTAGTAGTAATACGTGTATGATTTAGAAAAATTTAAATGTAATCAAATTTATAAAAAAGTGTACTTTTTACTTGTATCTCATCATTTTTTGTTTTGCTATGCATCCATTTTGGTTTTGTTTGTTGCTTATTAAATTAGAATCAGATCAAAAAAGTCGTTATTCGTTCAAAAAACATTATCATTTTTTTGTAGATTTTTTTTTTCACTTGTATTTTTTGCAAACATACGATTTTGTTACGAAATAATATGAGTTTATACTCGATCTATGGGCGAGTAAGCCGAATTAAATAAGAGGTTTTCCAATATATGTATATATAATAGTGTTTTTGTTTGTATGTTATAAACGCCAATAAAAATGATTTTTTTTGTTGTTTCATTGAAATTTTTGCCTTTTACGTACGTGCGTGAATTCTTTGAATTCAATTAAACAAAACGTATGCGAATCAATTTCCGAATTCATTTAAAACTGTTTGTTACTCTCAATTTGTTGTTTGGTTCGAAACTCATCATCATTCTGGAACACAAATGGACCGAATCGAATGTACAAAAAAAACTGCCGATGCCAACACTATTTTCCACTACTAGTCATCAAATTGTCTATCAATTGTTTGATATATTTCCCGTCTGATTAAAATTGAACTTTTTGACGAGCTTATGCTTTTTGTCCCATTTTTTCCACTATTTTTGTGTTTGGTATTGTTTTGCTTATAGAGTTCATTTTTTAATTTATTCTGAAGAAAAGTTGGGTGCATTAGAATGCCATTTCTTTTCGATATCCTTTCTGTTTTTAGTATTTTTTTTAAGTTTTTTTTTTGTTGTTGTTGTCTCTAGATAGATAAAGTTTAATTTTTGTTGTTGTTTTCTATTGTGTGTGGGGGTGTATTCGTTTGTCGTTATGTTGCAAAAATATTTTTTTCGTTTTTGTTTTATTATTTGGACTAATTGTTGGGTAAAAAAACAGCGGAACAAAGAGAAAATTCTATTCTTGTCTATGTGTTTTATAATGACTATATCATATATTTTGTTGTTTTGTTTTGTTAATTTACTTGCATTTTCTTAAAGTTGATGTATTGAAATTGTCGTTTTGCTGCACCTTTAGCCATGTTTCATAGTTTTTATCTACCATTTTGTTGTTGTCTATGCACTACTAGTCCTATTTAAATGTGTGTTTTTTTTTTTATTAATTTGTTGTTGTTGTTGTTGTATTGAATGTGACCCTCTAAATGTCCATTTCCTGTGCAACCGCAATTTTTTTCTTCTAAATCGTATCGCTTTGAAAGGAAATGACCATCATGTTGAACAGTCAAAAAAATTGAGATAAAAAAATATCATTTCTCATTTCATTTCAAAATTGTTTTTTTCTCTTTACTTTTGTTTTGTTTTAGCAATTTCTTTAAATCTTTCGCTCTTTTTGCATTCACTATACATGGTTATTGTAATTTCTAGTCTACATTTCAGTGTAATTTTTGTTTGTTTTCATTGGAATTATGTCAGCTATTGGATTTTTATTATTCTTTGCTTTTTTTTTTGCATTAATTGAGTAATTTTTGAACATAATTCGATCACAGTACACCAATAAATCAGCCATGATGCATTACTGTGACCGGTAAACATCTGTACGAACACACTTCTGTGACAGAAGTTCCGTCGAAGGGTTGTTTTGTGGGAGTAATGTTCATCGCAGCAAGTGATGAATTGTATTCTTTGTATTTTGATTCTTTATCTTTGAGTTGTTATGTATTGTGTAAAACGGTAAAGCGCTTCATTGTACAAACAAGTTCATTCTAATCAGAATTGACCAATGATTTCGAAAATTAATATCGCGATGCGAACGGAAAAAGCAAAATTGATTTCTTTTCTTTCTTCTTTTATTTCAACGTCGAATTCAAAATGAAATGTATGTGTTTTCTTTATTGCGTCGAACCAATTAATATACTAGCGCATTTTTTGTAACTCAATTTGGTTGTTTCTCTTCTTTTGTTTGTCCGACGAGACACCTTACGGTTTTGTTTTTTTTTTAGTCTAATTCAATTATTACCATTCTGGCGTTTTGTATAGTAATATAAATATTTTTATCAAAAATGTTTCATCAGCTAAATTTGAATTCGACTAAAAATATACACCATGTATGAAAAAAAAGGTATGAATAAACAGTAATATAATTTTTTTTTTATCAAAAAGGAAACAAAATGAAGAAACACATCTACTACCGATTCGTTTGGTAAGATTGTTGTTTTTTTGTCTTTTATTTATATGTATTTTTGTTTTAATTTTTAAATCCATTAAAGATTAAACAACGAATCCGAGCGATTTGTTAGTCTCAGTGTAAGTGTGTCGACAATCTTGAAGGAGTATGGGGTATTAGCGCGAAACAAAAAAAAGGAAACAAAAATAATTCATATAAAAATGCTTAAAAACCACAAAAAAGGTTCGATTTACATGTCTCTACGACATTTCTTTCACTACGGGTTTTTTTTTTTACACTACAAATGTGTATTCATTCATCCTAATAATAAGTAAAATATATCTCCCATACTATGTATGCGAAACAAAATGTAAAGAATCATCGGAAATGTTTCGGTTTTGGATCAGAGCGCACTCCAAACGAAACTAACTCAATCATTTTGAAACAAAATTGACTGGCTCCTTGTTTGACAAACACAACAATGTTTGTTTGCTTGTTTTTTGCTAAGTGCTACGAAAATTTCGACATATAAAATCAAATTGCATTTATTTTGTTTGTTTTGTAGAAAAAAAAAGGAATTAAAAATTGACCCAAAAAAGAAACAAACACTATCGCTTTCTACCGTGAAAATTTCGTATAAATTCATCTCTGCTGGATAACTACGGTACTTAGATAAATTGTAATTATCGTCGATTTGATAATTTGATACAATGTTCATGCAGTTTTCTTTGTATTGTTTGCTGTAATTGTTGATGGATAGAGAACAATTACAAATTGTGTCATCAAAATGAAACGGAACTGATTCCCACGTAAAAAATAGAGCACAACAAGTGAACTGTTGAAAAAGGTATTTGTTTTTCTGTTTGTTTCTTGTGATTATATATTTTCTATGTTATACAAATTTTCAGCTACCAATACACATCATTCGGTATTTTCATCGCTTTTTTTCTTGTAGCTGCGTGTGTGTGAAAGTTTTTGTGTGTCTGTGTGAACTTTTTTTTTGTCAAATGTTTTCATTTTTAAGATTTTTGTTGTTGTTGTGAGTGATTTTTTTCTTTCATGTTTAACTACAATTATTATATAAAAAAAAATGGAGGTTCATTTTAAAAATGTATACCACAAAAATTTTGGTTTTTTTAATCAAGAATTCTAAATGTTCGCGCGCGCATTTTCAAATACATTCATAATATAGATATTTTTTTGTTTATAAAATGGGTTAATTATTTTATGTGTGTTTTTTTTTTCTTTCAGATAAAACAAACAAGACAGAAAAAATAGTACAATGCACATTTGTTTGTGTATGTTTTGGTTTTATTTGTTCTTTTCTTTTGGTATGCATTTTATCGTTTGACGTTAAATGTTTTGCTTTGTTTTGAAAAAAAAGGATTCGTTTGGCGCTAACAAAGTAATAGATTTTTTGAATTGTATCAAGCCTTGCCAGCGAATTTTTGCTTTCTTTCTTTTTTTGTTTCTTTCCTAAAATTTTTCTCTTTTAACGAAGTTTTCTTCATCTAAGTTAATCATTTTTATTCACATTTCACTGTGTCTATATGTGAAGGTGAACAATTTCATCGTCTCGAAAGAAATTGGTCTTACTTCCAAAAAGAAATTAACTTCAATTATCATACATTAAATTGGATATGAACGCGTGCACAAAATGTTTGTTTTTTTATTATTTTTGAATTCAAATATAAATGTTTGAATTGGATTCTCTTTTGTCCATCTCTTTGTGTGTTTGTTTGTGTGTGTGTGTGAAATTTCATCATGTAATATCGTAATAAATGTTTCTTTTTTGCGATTTTTGTCACATTAAAATATTCGCGTACATTTTTTTTGTGTTTTTTTTTTCTTCATAAAAACTAGTTTGAATTTTTATGATTTTTTTAATTAAATTTCTTTCATAGGAAAAAAAGGGTTGATTAGAGCGAAAAATATTCTTAAAAAGTGTATTTTCAAGTCTTTTGTTGACGACGATAACAACGAGACGACACAAAAAAGTCAAATGAAAAAAGTTTTTCTCTTTTCTCTCTATCTCTGCGCGCGTGTCCACCTGAGTGGCGGGGGAGAAAGAAAGAAAGGGAAAAATTTGTATGAACAAACAAACAAAGAGGTTACCATTGATTTGCACTTAAGTTACATTACGAATTTTGCTCTCCTAAATGAAACAAACTTCGATCAGGCGAAAAATTTCGATTTTCTTTTTTGTCTCTTTTTTTGGAATCCGATTTTTGTTCTACACAATTTATTTTTTTTGGTTTGTAATTTTTTGTCCAATTTTAATTAGATTAAATGGTATTTTATAAAATGTTTAAGCGCAAAAAATATATATATTTGAATTCATTTCGTATGTAGTTTAATCTTTCGTTGCTTCTTTTGCATGTCGCAAAATATTGATGGTCGAATTTCGTCGCGTTGAATAGAAAAAAGAAACGGATTTTTTTTTGGATATTACATCTAGAGTTGAGAAAGGAAACGAAAATTGTTTGTTTGAGCTTGTTTGCGGCAATTGTTTAGGTACATTTCATCATTTTTCATTTATTTCTTTATTTAGATTGACTGACACAAACAATCACTTGCACTTTGCCCATTTTTTTGCTTCTAGCCCATTTCGTCTCTTTAATTTTCTCTATATGCTGTGTCAGTGAATTGCGAGTGATTCAAACAAATTCATTCTATTTTTACTGCTTTTTGTTTGTTTTTTTTTGCTTGCAATTACAATCAAAAATCGTAAATATAATATCATATTTCATAAATTCAGATTTTTTGTCACTTTTTTGCATCATTTTTTTGTAGTGTGTTTTTGTTATTTTCTTTTAAATTGAAACTAGAAATTGTTGCTAATTATTTTAAAATTTGACTAATGTTTTTTTCTCTCACTTGTTTTTTTTTAACTATTTATTGATTAATTTGTGATTGGATATTCATTTATTTAAATTTGTTTGTGTTGATAGAGATTTTTTTTCTGCTGTACCATTTTTATGTTTGTTTCGAATTCTCCGGCAAAATTCGATTAAATGAAAAACACAAAAAAAAACCAAAAACTCAAGAGTTGAATGAACGAAACGTTGTCAAACCCAAAACTCAAGTCGATCAAACCCAAAGTTTTGCAAAGGTTTGTCAGCGAATTAATTTTAGTGTGGTATTTTTCGAAGAAAACCACACTCTACTATGTCGCGAGATATATTATTATAAAAAAAATCTTGGTAGAAAAATCAAAAAAAAAAGTGTGAAAAAAAACGAAACTTCTAAATTGGTTGGTATTAAAAATCAACAAATATCACATGAAAAAACTTAAATAAACAAATTCTGCACTATTGACACAAAGAAACGAATAAAATTGCATACAAAATTAAACATTTTCTTCCATCTTCTTCTTCTTCACCATTTTCTTCTTCTTTCAATTAGTCTCTATAAGTTTGATTACTTTTTTTTGTACAATATATGACTGTGACTACTATATTCTGGTTTGCATATTACAAACTCAAACAGCATTACAAAAATAATAGAAATTGTTTCGACTTTACAAGAAAATTCTCTACAAGTGAGGTTCAAAAACTATAATATGGTTTTGTTCATTCTGTTCTGTTGATGAGTTTTATGCAAATTCATCTACTATGTATGTATGTGTAAAAACGTGAAATTAGCTGAAGATTGCACAAAATTAAACGGATTTTCGATCATTTGTGTTGAAAAGAAGAGTGTGTGTGTGTGTTTTAAAATCCTAATCGTAGATTAAATAAAATTGGAACTATAGAGTTGGCGGTTGATTATGTTATTTGGATTTTAAAAGGAAACGGATGAGCGAGAAGCTGGTTTCGCATATTTATGCGATACACTGCTCGTTGCTCTAGACTTTTCGCTTCATGCATGCTGAGGCATAGTTTGAAATTCACGAATGAATATTATACCGATTCCGTGTTCGATCTCAACGTCAAAGACACAAATTCGATGAATGAATCAGAGTCACAACACAAAAAAAAGAATTTCTAAACGCAAATGCTCTAGTTTTAAAGGGTAAGAATAAAGTAAAAAAAGAGAACAAAAAAAAAAAAACAACAAGATGTAAACAACAATGTATATACTGCGTTTTTTTATATAAACAAGAATCATTTAGATGCAGTGGATATTAACAATAACTAAACTATGCAGTTTGCGGTTTAATCAATTAAAAATGATGCATAAAACAAATAAAAAATTCATTCTAAAAAAAGGTAAGAAGAATAGGTTCAGTTCTACTGGAATTGATCTAATTATACAATTGGGTTAGGATTATTGGTAGAAATATACAGTTTGGTTATAAATTGGTTTCAGTAGTAAAATTCGGGGAGGTCGATTTACGACAAGTTTTTCGAAATCGGATACATGCAAATCGAAAACTGTGTCCCTTACACTCTTTGCCGACGGCATTATACTACTATTCTTGACCGTGAACCTAGTTTGACTTTTAAAAAACTGGTTTCGTTTTTTTTTTCGCCAAAATATCCATTATCCAATACCGACAAAAATCATAAAAATTGATCTAAATGTATTTAATCGTTTATATATATTTGTTTCCTTGATTTTCTTTTTCTTCATTCATTTTTTTTTAAACTTCTAATGGCTGTTACTACACTTACAAACGAAATAAAAACAAAAATAATAAAACAACGTGAGAGTCGAAGAAAAATACGTGATCTCCTTTCTGTCTGTGTCTGTGTGTATATATAAATATATAGATGTAAAAAAAAAAAGAAAATTACACGAATTGTGGTAGTGTGTAATCTTGCGACAAAATAATTTGTTTATCTTTGCAATGAAATTGTTTTTTTTTTTACTAGAAAAAGGTTTAAAGTTTCTGTGGTGTGTAGCTGTTCTTGCTGCTGCTTGCTTGCTGGCTGGCTGAATAAGTATATTTTTTTGCTTTGCTTTGCATTCATTCTTTTTTTATCAGTTTGGTTCGTTTGTTTTTTTTTCTATTTTCTGTTGCAACTTTTTTTTAGATTGCTTTTCGTTTTTTTTTTTGGTTTTACTTGCGAGAAATAGCGACGGCAACGATGTTCTACGAATTCAACGACGATCGACTTTGTTAACACCAGCGAAATGGTACGGCGCGTGGTCGATCAGCACCTTCCTTTACCAGTGGCTTGTGATATTCACGACCTGGTCGCGAGTGAATTGTTGTCCAACAATGCTCACAATAGTACTGTTGACAGGGAATGAAAAATGGAATCGATTAAAATTGATTCAACACAGTGTGTGTGTGTGTGCGAAAGCGAAATTCATTCAATTGCATCATTAATCATGATGAAAAAAAAAATTCTTATCGACCTATTAATTACCTGTAAGCATGTAACGTTTGCACAAAAGAACGGTGCAAATTTGCCACCGCAACGAGATCCCTGGCATTCGTCACACATTTGATCGTCCAGTACGTATGGTTTTACCTCGACCCGTTTATCGATGTCACCGTGTTGCAATTGCACGAATCGAGCCGATATGGCGGCTATGTAACTCTGCTGATTCGAAAATGCCACTCTTCCAGCACCCTATTGCAATGTGGACAAGAAATTCAATTGAATTATTGACATTCAGTTTCTTGTTTTGGAACATTTTCGATAAATGTTGAAATGGAAATCTTCATCAATGATCCATGAATCATTGTGTTTTTCTTTCAATTTGCATTCGCTCACCTTTGGGTATTTGAGCTCCGGGTCAGTGTCGATTCCAGCATAACAAACTCCACCGTACAAACGATCCATTATCATAGCCAACTCAACTGTTGAATAGAATGTCATTGAATTAGCAACAAAAGGGATTCAATTATTGTTGAATGAAAAAAATGTCGATTTTTCTTACCAGCTTTCAATGGTCGTGGCACACCACCAACGAATACCGTTTTTCGTGGATCAAGTGGCATCGATGCGTCCAACACGAAATCAGCATCCGATAATCGCCATGGTCGAATTTGTACGGGTTTATCTTTAATCGTTGGCGATGACACACAAAGATACAGCTTATCCTCATCCGTTATACACGCTTCGATTAACTGTTGAACACTGCTCTCATCCTTAGATTCAACACATAGAAAATTTTAATAGTTTTATCTTCCAAATATTTCGTTTTTTTTTTTTCTCTATTCTTTCACATGTGAAATATGTGAATATGTATTTCCTGCTTTAAACACTTGAAAACCTGTGAATATTTGTGTTTTACGCATGATACATACTTGAAATAGCAAAAATGCATATCCTTTTGGTGGAAAATATGATTTTGATTCTGCTTTATGTGGCCAGTCGACAACCAGCGGTCCGAAGCGTCGGAACGATGATGTTATCTCGTCTGGAATGAACGAAATTGATAATAATTGTGATATAAATAACATTTGCATTGCATTTACCTTCATCGATATCAGGTGGCAAACCGCCGACGAAAACTTTCCGTGAGAAACGTTCATTCATGTCCGAGTTTTGTGATTGAGGCGAAGAACGTGCTGGCGATCCGATTGGCAGCGTCAAACCGTCATAGCCGCCGGATTCTTCGACAATATGATCCTCGATACGTGGATAGTATGGTTTTCCCTTGAAATCATGGTGCCCTCCGTCGTTGACACCCTTCATAATATCGTTCAAACAGTGTTCCAATGAGCGCATTTCATAGCCGTTTCCAAGTCGTTCCTACGGTAATTTAATCGATTCAATAATTTTTAATGCAAATGAAAATCTCTCCCTCTCCATCACAAGAATAAAATTCCAACTAAAAAAAAATAAAGGGTTACGCACTTGATATTGCATGAATTGATCACGAGGATCGTCCAATGCATTCATATCGATTGGGCCGCCGCCACCACCACCTTGCGAGAGATTGTTCGGTCCTTGTCCACTGATATCAACCACATTGGCGTGATGTGAATTTTGACCTTGTACTTTGCCAGGAAACGACGTGCTGCGTCTGTATTTCATCGGTGACGTAATGCCGCATTGTTGTGACGCTGCAAATGCGGACATCGACATGCCTGGATTCGGAGACGTTGGCTTTCGATTTGGTAGATTATTCGACATCGGATTCAAATTTGGAACCGAACGGCCGCGATTCCATGGCTGCTGATGTGTTTGTTGCTGCTGCAAGTAGAAGAAGGAGAAGAAAAAACAAACGCGTAGAAGAAAATGTGTAATGAGTAAGAAAAATCGAAATTGTCAAGGCCAACTTTGCCGCTGGCAAATGTGATTCATACCGGAATGGAGTTATTAATGGCGGCTTGTTGCTGTTGTGCTTGCCAAGGCATTGATGAAGAAGGATTCGACCATACGGGATAGTTTGAGTTGTACATGTTCGGTTTTTGTGGATGTCGATGTTGTTCGTGCATCGGATCGCGGTCGATTGTGTTGGGCGTTTGATGAAAGTTCAAATTTTGCTGATGTGGGTGCTGTTGCTGTTGTTGGTGCTGTTGCATAGCCAAATGATGAGATTGATGGTCTTGTGGGTTTGATTTATGCATATTGTGTGGGTGATGGTTTCCGTGCTGTTGAATCGAAGGAGGTGGCATCATGTTACGTGGTGCGCAGTTGTTTGTCGGAAGACCTGGCTGAAAACCTCCATGCGATGCAGTTATTGCCCGACGATTCTGGTGGTGCTGCTGTTGTTGTTGTTGTTGCTGTTGCTGCTGCTGCTGCATGTTCGACATATTCGTATTGTTCATTAACGTTGTGACCAGCGAATTGGAGTAGCTGGAGTTGCTTTTAAACCCATTCGAAACGGCATTATGATTGCTGCCATCGTCAATATTCGACCACATTGCAGCCACCGATGAATTTTCGTCCGTGATTTTCGTTGTAAAATCATATTGAGGCTGAGCGGCGCTCATTGACGGTGATACCGATGCAACACTGCTGCCGCCACCGGTTTGTGATGTGAGCACGGTCAACATATTCGTGCTGCCTTGCAATTCAACGCTTTCAACGTGTTTCTTCAGGTCTTTCGCATCGACCGTATTATTATTCACAATGGGATTTAACAGTGTACTCAATGATGATGATTCGTTTGATTCGTCCTTTAACGATTGGATGCTGGTGTGAATGATGCCCGACGATGCCGACGACGACGATGTCTCACCTGAACTGCTTACATTAAATGATAACGATGCCAATGACGGCAAAAGATCATCGGGTTGCTGTGTTATACTAGTTGCATGAACATTTGATGTTAACGCCGAATTCGTAGACGTATTTATTACATTAGTCATTGTTTACTTCGTTTTGTCGTCACAAAAGGATTTTCTTTCTCTCTTGTTTTTTTTCTGTATTTCTATCGTATGTGTGTTTGTGGATTTACTTTTTTTTACTTTACTTGTTGTTGTATTTTGTTTCCGTTGCGATTAATTTCAAATAAATACGAAGTTGGAAGAGAGATGTGAGATTTTTCTTTGTTTTTTTTATTAACTTTTTTTGTGTGTTCTCCTTCTATATTGCTGATATTGCACTAATATTCAAATCGAAACGATTTCACGTTGCTTAAATTAACTTGGTAACTTGGTTGTTTAGTTGACTTGAATTTGATTTAGATTTAGACTTAGCAGAAAAAAAATTATCATCATTCATATATAACACGATAAGAGAGAATAAATATATCGTCGTCGTCGTCGTCGTCGTTCTGCGCATAAGAGATTGATGTGTGAATATTTGTTTTTTTCTCGCCGTTGCTGCTTTTTTTGTTGTGTTGTTTATGCAGCCAAGCAAATGTAGCCAGTAATTTGCTTGATTTTCATAACGATTCTACGATTTGTTTTTCTTGTTATTTTCAATTGTGATTTGCATATATGTTATTATTGCACTAATTTTAATTGTGTTTCGGTTGTTTCGTTATGACATATTTTCACACATACAAGTCTTTGAATCGATCGGTTTCAGCTGTCTGTCGAGTCGCTAGGAACATCTAAGCTGAAAATGGAGAAGAGAAGAGAAAAAAATAAAATTTTTATTGTCGTTGATTTTGATCGAAACCACTTTTGGGTCATTGTCATACACCGGGTGATTAGCGAGGCTAGTTCAATTGAAAGAATCTTACAAAAGACGGCGCAGCGTTGTTTTTTTTTGTTGTGTACACTCAAAAATTAAAATCAATACTATATCTGCATTTCAACCGCACACGGTTCGTTTGTAATAAATCGGAAATTTGTGTGCGTTTTCCGCGTTTTGCTTTGCCAACGAGAATTAGAAATCATTCATCCAGTCAGTCAGTCAATACACACACACCAGTTAAGCGCGAAATAACCCGTTTGCTAACACACAATGCAAGTCAAAACCATAGATCAAGTTCCCTAATGAAGGTCGAACCTCTTTGAAAATAACACTCACGTTAAGGTTACGTTTTAACACAAACCCATCGAAATTGTACTGTTTTTCATCATCTCTCAATAAAGTTCACTTACTCAAGATAATAACTAGCAAGCAGAAAAAACACGAAGAAGAAAAAATAAATGAGTTCAAAAGTAACGTAAATTGCCTAATGCCGCCGACCCAAAATTTATAGTACACATCACTGTGTATATGTGTCATATGGCATATGATTCATGTCGAAAAATGTGTCAAAGGCAAAAAAAAAAAAAAAGAAATCGTCGCGAGAAATGAACTTGCATAATGTAAAGTGCGATACAGCAGCAACAAATCAGAGCTGTAATAGCCGACAGAATTAGCGAAAAAATTACATGAAAAAGAGATATGATAAATTCAAGAAATTCAAGTAAATACACCTGCTTCCATGTTATATGCTCACCGTTTTGAGAGGAGAGGCGCACAAAAAAATTACCAGTTAAAACAAAATAGATACATTTGAAACAAACGAAATATTCCGAATAACAACAGCAACAGTAGCAACAATGAAGAAAAAAATAACGTACAATTTCACAATGTGTGATTTCTAATACATGGCCGAGAGAGTCGTCCGTGTCTTGCGTGCGCTCTTTTATTATGGCATCTGATTAGTGTTTCAATTTGATATTATCTGCCGTTTATATTCTTTTTCTCTCTCTCTCTCGCCTCTCCTCATAACTTCTGACATCGTTTTTATCGCACATACAACTCGCAAAATATGCCCAACAACAAGACGTCGTCGAAGACAAGAGAAGAAGATTTTGTGTCCGTTTCGTGAGTTTTTCTCGATTTTTTGGTTTTTCAAAGGTGCTAATTTGCTGCTACCGTCGTCTTCGACCGAAACACGATTACTGCTCAATTTTTTCAGTTGTGCATTTCGAACGCTCGCACATATCGTATAATCATTTGTGATGTATCTATATGTATGTTCTCTTACACAATTATGTGGCGGTCCGTTTCGATGTGTTACTTATATTTATTCTACGTGTGTTTTTTCTCTCTCTTTCTCTGCAGATTTGCACACTAATCTTCATAATTTTTATCGTAATAATTTTTGCACACTCGTATAACCGCACCATACACACATTACCTCTTCACTGTTTTTTTTTTTTTGCATACGATAAAACCATTATCGGTATTGGTTGTCGTTTGGAATTCCAATGAGCGTTTCAATGTTTTTTTCGGGGGAATTTAGTGTGTTTTCAATATGTTCAACGACAATACGAACACACTCGCACTCACAAAAGGTAAATAAAAGCGGTAATTAATATTTATCGACAATTGGCAACGGCCACGACAAAATATAGCCTATATTCTTTTTGTTCGTTCGTTTTTTATCATCAAAACGACGCGCAAACTACAACAATCGAACGACTATTGTTTTCATTGTGCTTTTGATATTGTGTTTGTTGGCTTTTGGATTTCAACTATTATGCTGAATTATTTCGACGATTTTTTTTTTCTTGTTGCCATTTCTTCCTGTGCAAAAAAAAAAAAACGAAAAACCCAAAAATGTCTCCGGGGAAAAAAAGGGGGCAACGTGATTTAAATCGGAAAGAAACAAATAAAAAAAACATTGTACTTTACGCTCCGTACACAGTCGGCAGTTCATACGAATACTGCGCGAAACTATGAACCAAATGTATAAAGTGTATGCAAGTATGTGTATTGTTCGAACAATTGGTCATAACAAATGTGTGACACATATATGAAAACAAATGTGTGAAAAGCAAACGAATAAAGCGAAGAAAACCGCAACGACGAAAAATTGATGTTGTTTTTGTTGTAGTTACTGGTATGCGTACAACGGTGTCGAGTGAGAGCTAGAGAAAAAGAAATAGAGACACATACGGCATTACACGACCAAAAATATCATATTAAAATCACCACGTCAATCGGAATATGTACTGAATATTAGTCATTATAGAGAAAGAGACGTGGGCCATATCACATTTTGCCGAAAACAAATTTTCTTCAGAAGAACCGCTTTTCTGAGGTTTTAATGAATTCATCTTTTCTTACGAAAATCCCGTGTACACATGTACAAGGGGAAAACGGTCGACCAATGGCAAATAATAATGTAAACGAAAAATATGAAACGAGGAAATAAAAAATCACCAGCAGAGGACGAGAAAAAAACAGAACACACTGTGAACGAAAGAAGAGAGAAAAAAGTCGAGCGAGTGCATTGTATGCACAAGTTCACAATCTGGCACACATAATATATATAAATGTGTATGATTATGGATTTTATGTGCAGTGCAGTACAAACAATACGAAAACCAAACCGAACTGCGCTATCTCGATAGAACATAATTTGAAAATGGGCGTCCGTCCTATTTTTCGTTACCGTCGCCATACATTTTCGCCAATGCTTCGGCATTCTATCTCTTCTTCGGTTCATTTTTTTCCCTATAATTCTGTTCTGTTTGGTATAATCTCCACAATTTCGTGTGCTAGAACTAAATTCTCAGTGTGTCTCTCTCTCTGTGTGTGATGTTTCTAGTTCATTCTTCCCCATTTTTATGCCAGTTTTCCAAGCTTCGATATACCAGTATGCCGTTTTTTATGCCATAATTTGTGCACAATGCGCACGCTCTGATATAGAATATACATATGTGTATATTATATTATTGGTTTCTCTAGCGTATTCCTTTGACCAATCTATTTTGTTATTTTGTTGACAACAGCAGCATGTTACTACTAAACGTAATTCAAACGAAATGGTTCTGGTTTTTTTTTCTCTCTCTATCTCTTTGTCGTTGCGGAATCGATATCATATGATTAACACTCATCGAACAAATAAAGGTTTCTGGAATAATTGGAACGGCTCGGTGGAAATAAATAAAAACTCACTGGGATATCAACTCTCGCTTGCAAAATGCACATCACACTCATTGAAAAATGGAAAAACTATCACAGTAACATGGATGATTCGTTAAAAGTTGTGAATGAATTGTTCGACCTTTGTTTTGTTTGTTGAATGAAAAAATAAAGCACACAGATACACACTTCATTGTCGTCATACACCGAGAACTGTTTGCAGTCGAGCGAGATACAAAAATACAACAATGCACTCGCATCCGCACTTGAATGAAATAATGACCGAATGCAAATCAATTTTACCTTAAACCAAATAGAGACTGAAAAACTTAGCACTCATTAAAAGCGAAACGAACAAACGAAAAAAACATCAGTAATGATCAATCACTGTGCGAGTTGGATGTCGGTCGGTCGGTCGGTTGGTCGACGTAATCGTCGTTGTCGACGAAAAATCACATTTCAAATATGCACGAGGGCCAAATAGAGGCGTAAACATTCATATACACCGTGAACACGATAACTAGATATCAGAAAAGACTGAACAAAAATTATGAATATGAACACGAAATCAAAAAAAAACCAACGAACAACAACTAATATAATAAATGCAATTCGATGCGATTGAGAGATTTAGTTACTTCAGTTCAATTCACATGATCATGCAAGTAAATTTACTTTTAACATACTGCCAAATAAACCGAGAATGAAAATGAAATTTGACGGCGAGTGCGAGCGTGCGCGCACGCGTGAGCGGTGGCGAATGAAGACGAAACGACCGAAGAAGATTACGATAAAAACCTAACCGTGCAATATAGTAGCGCCGAACTAAAGTGTAGGCTCTTTCGCGCGATCTCTCTGGCTGTACACACCGACAAAGTGCGGCTAATAATGAGTTATGCAAATGTGCAAATGAGACAGAATGAAATCCAAATTCACTCGCAAAGAGCCACAGAATAAGGAATGAAATGAAAATAAATAAATAAACAAAACAGCACAAAATTTTTACGTTTATTCGTTGCGCTGTCTGTTTTTTTTTTTCTTTCTTTTTTCGGCAGAGTTGTATTTTTGTACGAAAAAATTGCGTGTAATTTTTCAAGGTTTGATCGGTCCGTTTGTCGTGTTGTATTTTTCCGTGTGTTTGAAATCTTCACATTGCCAACTAATAATAATGTTGGTTTGTGTGCATTGCGCACACTACTACTTCAGACAACATTCAACGCTATTGTTGTTCGGAAATTTGTGTAGTGAAAAAATAGAATTTATTATTTGTGTGATTGCTCGGTTTGGTTGTCGGTGTGTCCATATGGTTGTTCCATTTTTTCCTTCTCTCTCTCTCTCTCTCTCTCTCATTGCCTTGTTTACTCATTCTCTGTTACTTGCTGATTATTGCTTTTGGATCCGTGCCTATGTATCGAGTGATATCGTTATGGCGATATGCTGAGCCGATTCGATTGTCCATAGAGTGGCACATGGAGTCGTTAGAATGACTAAAATGCCAACCAACACATACACATACACGGGACCCGAACGTATGACAGAGACAATGAATGACCAAAAGACAGAGCAAAACACACAAATCAAACATACAAAATACTCTCTGTTCATGATATGATAACAACAAATTACTCGCTTCTTTTTTACAGTTTGTGATCTTCAATTGTTGTACATCATGACAACGATGATGACAATACATGCGCGCGCCCGCTCGTCAGCTCACTGAGTCGAGAAAACGAAACACACGTTTCGAGCGGCGGCGACTCTTTATTCACTCGGTGCGCTGGTTGTGTGTACTGAGTGTAATCGGATAGCATCGAAGCAACACACTAAATGCTTCTTTTTACACGCATTTCAAAGCTACTTGCATCACCAACGAACAGCATCCACACTGTGTGTCAGCACTGTCGTTCGTATCATAGAGAGGAAGATCTAATTGACAATTTTGTCGCCGAAATTAATTCGCTTATTTCACATTTCGACACGATCTATTTCGATTCGATTTGTTTTTTTTTTTTGCTGTTGAGCAAGCACATCAAACGCTTTTTTCGGTTTTGTGTTTTTGTTGATTGCAATTAAAACCGTGTACAGAGAAAAACAAAGTTAATGACAGTCGTTTCATACATAAATGATGCGACAAACAACTCTGCCGCTCTCAAAACGGCGCAACAAAGAACAGTAAACGGTTAAATTGGCGTTAGCATATTTGAGTAGATGAACGTGTCATGTGTACATTTATTGAAGCTAAAATTCAGTTTAATGCTGCTACTTTCTGTTCTCTCCTCTTCTAAATGCCATTAGAGTTTAGCATTGGATTTCAGTTATTATTTTTCCTCTGCTCCGGCTAGTGCTCGACTTTGTTTCTGGTGATCTGGTAAACCATTTCCTATCCGCCCCCTGATCAAGTCATTGTATTATTACACGTCAAAGCCACTTGGTTTTTTCTTTCTCGCATGTATTTGTCTAACTAATTGTGAGTTTTTCTCTTTCACCACGTTTCCAATTCGAAACGAATCGAAATTCTGACAATCAACAAGACTCTTCTCAAACTAAAACATTTATCGACGTAATTCTAGCGTAAAGCGTTCATTCGCAATACGCGCAAAAAATAGAAACAACAAAAACATCGCAGCAGCAGCAGTAGTAACACAATAACAACGGAATTCTCCGTCGCAATGTAATGTGGCACTAACATGTAAATGTAATTTTGTAACAAGTTTTTGTTTCTGCTTTAATGTCATGTTCAGAATTGAGTGTTGTCTTCTTCGTGGGGATTTTTATAGGCCATCACATAGAAATGAAAATGTTCTAATCTGCAGTGCACACAGTGTATTTCGTCATCACTAACGTCGTTGTCGTCGTCATCATCCGAACGGAACACAGTATCAATTGCTCATTGTTTTATAAACAGTTAATAATTGATAAATTGAAAAGTGCGCTCAGTTATAGCTCACGATTTGATTTACTCTCTTTCTCTCTCTCTCTCTCTCTCTCTCTCTCTCTCTCCCACTAATTCTGTGTCGACACTCATATTTTATTCATTTTGAAATGTTCTGATTGCGCTCTCGGCGTGTGTGTGTGTTTTGTCCACCGACAGGCTGCTGAGCGAATCGGCGAATCGAAAATGATCTGTTTTTATTTCGTTGTTGTTGTTTTGATTCTTTTTTGGCCCATTGTACATTGTTTACTATTCGGATTTTTCATCGTTCAATACGGTTTTCGTTCAAACAGCTATTTTACATTGTTGTTGTTGATGAAGCGAATAGAGCTCGACCTCTATTAACTTTGAATAGCGTAAAAATTCAGCAACAACAGTAGGAACGGCAGCAGTGGCAATAGAAATCTATAATACAAACAGAATGTTCTTTTTCTCTCGTCGCCAGTTGTTGTGTTTTTTTATAAATATCTAATTGATTGCTCTGATTGAAAGCATTACTATTCACCGTTAGGATTGAAAACGCGACCGTTTGTCGATTAAAACCGCAATCGATCGCACTGGAAAATAAAATTATTGGAAATTTCAATAACATCGCAACGAATAAAAAAAATCGTGTGGGTACTGTGAAAATTCCAAAAAAAAAACGAACATTTTGAAATTTTTGTTCAATGTATTTTGTGTATGTTTTTTTTTTTTGCTCTGGCGCGAGCCGATTTTTTACGGGCATCACCATTTACATGCAAATCGACAAATTGACGTGCATGCCACACGTCGCTGTGGAAATGCAGTATGGAAGCAATGGATTACTGCAAACAAACAACCGTATTTGAGAATATTTTATGTCGATCCGGAGCTATTTTCGTTACAAACGCGAGCGCTCAATACACGAAATGGAATCGCTTGATTGGATTTTCAATGCATAAGCTCCATGCAAATGGATAACGATGTTCAACTGATTTTGGTCGCTTTTTTCGCTCTCTCTCTCTCTCTATTCTTTTTTTTCTTTCTTTCTCTCTCTGGCTTCCTTGCATACGAATGGAACGTATAATACGGTTTAAGGAGCGAAATGTTTCAGAGATGGAATCATGTCATTGATGCGATTATATACGACCATTGTCTTTCTCTCTCTTTCTTTTCTTCTCTCTCTCTTTTTTTGCGGATCATATTTGTACGCCATGCACTACATACTCCACACGATGTGCGCCTTTACGCCTTGCCGTAATCGCACTATTGATTTTCTGTTTGTGAAATTTTGTACATTTGGCCCTCATTTGCTTTTTTCTACTGGTGCTACTGCTACTGCTTCTGATACAATCGTTGTTGCTTTTCACATACTCCACATTTCGTTGATGCGGTCTGAACTATGTAATCGAGCGATTCATTTTTTTTTCTGTTAAGTTCACCTCGCTTGTGGTGGGCGGAATTTTAATGGCATCATGCTATTCAATGAATTTTTGTGTGCACCTTGTCCCTTCATCTATTTTTACTAAGCGCGATGTAACACAAAGAGAGACGATTGAAAATGATTATGTTTTTGTTCTAATTTTGATGGGTTACCTAAACAAATAGCACAAAAGTTATGTACAATCCCGTGCATATATCGGGTGGGTAATGGAATGTGAGTGTGTGTGTGCGTGTGAGAGAGAGAGAGAGAGAAAGAGGGAGAGTGGTTTATGCTTTTAGTCGAGAGATTTTCGTTCGTGAGCCGAAAAATAACACAGAGAGACGAAAATGAAAGAGAGTGAGAGACACTTAGTTATTATACGCATGCATACGCCATCGATGATATTCGGTGCATGATATATATATATATATATATATGTATGTATAATTGATGAAAAAGAAATTAGGCCAATAGCAAATTTGTGGCACAAACTCCGAGCGCACACAAACTCATTCCGAGGAAAATCGTCACAACCGACGAGTGTTGTGCGTCAGCGATGTGCCGTTTTTCGCTATACACACATATCCAAGTTTTCGTTTCGTTTATGTTATATTTTATGATAGGTATGTGCGTGTGGAAAATCTGTCTCCGTTGTGTGTGCTCTCTTTTTCACGCGCATTTGACTTTTCCTTCACTTTGCCTGCATAGGACACGAATCTGCTTCATGATACTACCATACTCGTCGATGTCGCTTACTCACACACATACAGTCACACGCTAGTCGTTGCCGTTGTGCCTCGCATTGGTAGATATATATATATATACTTCATAAACCATATTATTGCTGCTGGTGCTTTTGGTGCTGTGCACAAATGCGGGGCGCTTTGCCGTATTCGAATAACGACGAGTGACTTTTTTTGAGGAAAATGGACTTGTTCGAAAATTTTCACGCTCATACCGACCGACAGACTAAACATTGCACAGTGCACATACTGGTTCCTACACACAGAGAGACACAGTCATTCGTTCATAAAGTAACTCATACATATACACACACATACCAAGTGAAACAAGTGCACGTACACTAAGACATCCCCAAATGACACAATTAATCCATTGATTCCATTGATATTCTTCGTTTTCTTTTTGCCCTTTTATCCGTTCATTCCTTCAGCAGGCATTTTGGTTATCGTGTATATTTTGCATTTTCCTTCACGCAACTACTAATTGTTATCATCACACTCCAAATAAAACGATAGGAAACGAGGCGAGCTTTCGTGAACTCGAAGAGCCAGAGTTTTATATCGAATCGAGACGTTTGATAATACTTTTCCTCATTTTCAATAATTTAATATCAAATCGAACATTTCTCTCTTTGTATTCCTCAATTTGAATCGACTGACTTGTGCATGAATTTTTCAAAAATGTCCGATTAGTTTTCTTTCCTCTCCTCGGTTTTCGTTTCTTTTCCAATAATAATAATAATAATAATTTTCCCGTGATATTTGGGATTAATTCCAAGTCACTTCGCTATAATCTAACTACATAAAGCACAAAATTGGAAGAGTGGTTGGAATGGCGTTTTCCTCATACCATTTCCCGTATATATATATTTTTATATATATATATATACATGTGTGTGTGTCTATGTTCGAATCGATGCCATTTTTTTGTAGGTCAACCCAAAGTCCTCTTGAAATCACACCAAAATAACGTCAAACAAACAAAGAACAATCTCGCATGACTTTCAGCACACTCACTCACTCAGCACTTGAACGAACACAGTGCGTTTTTCCCGTTGCAATGTAACTGTATTTGTCGAATCTTTGATGATATTCTATCTATCTCGTCCTTATTCTTACGTTTTTCTTTCACCCACTGTGACTTTTATATCAACTTATTTATCCTTATGATTTTTTTTCTTTTTTTCAAAAACTCCGAAAAACTCTCTTGCATCAAACTATCGCCTCTAAAATATCGAAACTTGCACTAGAGTAAAAAAAAATAATTGTTCACAAATCGAAAATTACAATGAGAAAAAAAGTGAAGAAATTAATTTACACTTGATACATACACTGACGAGAATTACACAAGACCGCGCACGAAATAAACAGGAATTTTCTCTTTTTTTCGTTCGAATTAACGAAAAAAAAACGAAACCAAAAAAAAATTCTTTTGAAAATAAATGAACTACAAGATTTTCCACTACAATCGATTTTTTTTCTACTTCGCTTTGCCGACACCAATTTTACTCGGATAAAACGAAATGTACACTTTTTTCTACGAAGTTTTTTAGTTGGACTTAAGTGTCTGCTTGCGTTTCCCGATTCAAATCGACAGCAAATTTCTTTTAAAAAAACGTTCTTTTTATGGGTTTTGTATCACAGAAATTTTCGGGTACTGTAAGCTGTATTGCGATTATCGACAGCCATTTTTTAATTCAATATTTCCTTTTTCACTGTCTTTCTCATACTGTGGCAGCTTATACACAGACGATATCACATTCGCATACGATTCGGTTGCTCGCTGCTGCTGCTACGCGTGTATCGGATATATGGTAACGTTTGGAGATCCGCACAGCGCATACCGAAACTGTAGAACTACTTGGATAGCGATTTTTCGTCGTAACGAATGCGGCCCGTTAGCAGGCATACTGCATACACTGTTTGTGTCTCACTCTATCGTTGCCTGCCGACACAACGTTAGAATATCATATGTGCACGAGTCTGCGTCAAAAAATGGTATCTATTGAGCTGTCGGTTAGACTCTCGTAACTTTCATTCAAGTGTGCCGTTTGTGCTCTCGGTTTTGCTTATATTTTTGGGGGGACAGACACAGTTGCAGAGTTGTTGTTGTCTCGCTCGAAAATTCTAATTAGAACACCGTTCGGTTCATACGGCACGGTCGCAGTGTGTGTGTGTGGCGTGCTGAAAAACGACCGATAAAGAACGATCAAACCATACGAGCACACAACGAAAATGTGGAGGAACGATAACACAACAACAAAAAAGAGATTTTCACTTTATGACATGTAAGCGGGCAGAAGATACATTTAGGTCGCAACATAACTCGAATGCGTTTGCATGGCAATCGAGTCGGTTCAAAAGGGGAAATGTTGTGTTTCGAAGATGACACGCTTTGAGTGTGTGGTGGTGAGCTTAGTTACGCTAACGGGAAATGTGTGTATGTTGTCCGTTGTACTTTGAAATCAGTTGATGAAAAGCGCAGCCTATTTCAAAATTTATCGAATAATTTTCATCATTATTCATTAAATTTTCAGTGGAAAATACATTGCCTCATTTTTCATTCAGAACGGAATTGAATCGTTGTAATTATTCAACGGATTTTTTTAAAGTCGATTGCAGAAGCTTCGACACCATTTCATATACACATACGCACACATAAAGAGAGAGAAAAAGAGCTGGAACATTTTCGAAAATCACAGCTTTAGGCTCTCGGCTGATTCTTAAGAATTTCCCCTGAACACTGTGTGAGGCAAACAATTGATTTTTTTGTTGTTTCACCTGTGTGCAGTATGCGCACACTGGCACTGGTAGCCGTTGGCAGGAATCCATCATAACCACTCACTCTTCAAACATCATTATAATGTAGTGCGTTTTTCTTAGGATGTTCCCTTGTTGTATTTATTCAACTTCTATTTCGGTTTGGATCCTATCTTGGCCATGAATCGTGTACACACGAGATGGCATAATCAACATTAGCGCCTTTTCACCGATATACGATACAGATATTGCCTTTTGAATGATCCAAGTTCACAATTTCAGTTGCTCAACGACCACTTATGATATTTTTCAACCCTTAAAATTGATGTGCTCTATAAATAGATGCATGCAATTTATTATTTATGACAACGTCTTTTTCGGCCTAGCAACCGGTTTTTTGGTACTATGAAACCCATGCATCATTTACATGCGATTGCTTCTTCACGACTACAACAAAAAATGCTCCGCTTTACCAAGAGATAGTTTTACCTTTTTTTTTTTAAAGCTCTACACCATCAACCGCCCGAAGGTAGGCAGCAACATTTCCATAGGAAAATACTACACGCAAGCATCAAATGAAATGCATCATACATAAAAAAGTCAGAGATTTTTATTTGCATTTGTACCGTTGGGTTGGCTTTTTGGTACAATATATAAATGCTCATGACATATCATCTATTATTCATGAATTTTTGATACGGAAACGGGAATTTCATTCGTCTAGCGACGGTTTTTAAAATGCACGAAAACGCTAACAATAACCAAACACATCTGTGTCTCTCTCCCTTTCACATTTTTCACGGTGATTTGTTGAACAAACGCATTTCGATGGAAAAAAAAGTGCATACATTAGATGATGGTGATGACTATGATGCTGACGATGTCACGATAACGGCGACCCAAAGGCAGGATACTGCTGACATATCCCATGGCATATCCGCAATTTTCACGATAGACACATTTATGCTTCGGTAATTTTGAGACATTGTTACAAGATTATAAATTCAGTTCGAGCCGAGAGAACCGTTTGAAATGAGGAGATAAAAGACCATTTGATATGGGAATATTATTTCACAAATTGAAATATCTTTCAAAGAAGCCAACCGATCTGAATATTTGAGGAATATTTTTCAAGAGTTTTATAAAAAACAAACAAACGTCAAACTTATTATGCAAAGGGCAACACATCACCAAAGTTTAGAATACGGTTTCACTTATTCAAATTCTTTGCGCCATAAAAGTGAGAGCAAATTTCCATTTTCACTCGGAAGATTGACTATCTATCTCCGCATTCAAAAGCATCGGTTGCAATCAACTCAGAATTATATTATTAATCATTGCAATGAAAACAATTGAGCGAACGTGAAAAAAATCGTTATAAAAAATGATCTGAGAAGCCGTGTATCGGAAAGATATATGAATGAATTGAAGGTTTTTCGATGCAAATCGGTGTGAAAAGTTTGCTATGCAAAACTTTGGGAAATGTCGATCTAATTGGCTGATTTGATGGTAAACAACAGTTTTGTTTTGTTTTCAAAAACAATGATTCGGCTCGAATTTACGCATTTTCTGATGGAAATATCGAGATCAAGCGAACGCAATGTATAATAATAAAGTGGTAAGAAATAGTAAACACGAAAGAAAATGTGTATTTTTTAATCGAATTGAACAATCAGCCGGTTCCGTTGAAAACTTTCCCTCGATTCATTTTATCGTCTTCGTCGTCGACGTCGTCATTTTTTATAAAATGGAAATGATTAATAATTACGTCTACATGTTTATTGTTACAATTATTTTCATTTATCCGTTTGGCGCTAAAAGTGAGCACAAGCATTCAGCCCGCAGTAGTTTCATTCCAACGCACGATAGATTTTTTTGTTGTTGCGCGCAAATCAAAATTTCTAAAATATCTAATTTTTTCCGATTTGTTTCTGTTCCTCTTCAAGTTTTTGATCACTTCCACCGGCGATTCCAGACGCATTAGCATTCGCCTGGCTATTCGCTGGTGCTCAACTACTGTAAAATAGTTTTTTTTCGTACAAAAATGTAATAGACATGCTTCGGGTAGACGATAAACGTGATTGATAATCAATTCAATGTCGTAATATTAGCAACAGCGCTGCTTTGATTGAATGGCTGGTCACTGGACCAAATATATTCGTGAGCCACTTGTGAACCAATGATGCGTTAACGGCAAATAAAATTTCTCCGCACGTCACCAGGTTAAAAGCCTTATTACATTAGCCAATGATATCATCGAAAGTGCCGTTGATTTTTCACTTTGTCTCGTAGTTGTTGCGTTTTTTTTTTGCTTCCAATTTGTCTACCTTCGGCAATTAAGATTTAAGAGCCGTGACAATGGCAATTTGAACGTAATTGAAGGGAAGACGGCTCGAACTGCCGATGAACTTTCCAGCATATTCGATTGGATAATCAGTTCAAAAGCCGATGAATGAAACTGATAGCTGTAAACCATTTCGTATGAGTTAAAATTTCAAAATACCCAAAAAATTACGATTCAATCATTAAATAACGAATCTCATTTTTTGGCAACCGAAAGTGCAATTAAAATAATCAACAGTTCCGTCATAGGGGTATGGCAACGACCATAAAATATATGTATTTCATTAAGTTTATTAAGCTCTTTCCAAGTTTATGCATAGTGTCGAACTTGTGTTCAAGCTCTACCATCTAAATGTACAGTAAAATAATTTACGGGCACGACGTAAGATGGCGTTTTTTCTGGTCAAAAAAGTTGCAATATCCCTTTGAGTTCCGTGAATTTAACTCGCTGCTAATTGATTTTGGTGACATTTTTAGATGTTATACGGGCAAACTCAATGTATTTGTCCCACATGTCACGGGCCAAGCTCTTTAAAAAAAAACTCATATTGAAATGGAACATGCGACAGTGTCAAAACACCGTAAAACTCACTGTAATGGAATGTGCAGAGGATAATCGTCGCAAACAAAAAAAAACTGAACTTCAAAACATTAAACAATGTACCGGTTTCAAAATACGTTTATCATGCACGCACAAATACATTACAGCAGATAAAAGTTCTGGTTTGCAAATGACACCAACAAATACTGTAACCGAATCATTGATGCATAATCAATTTGTTCGCTAGCCCTATCTATTCGCATACAGTGGAATCTTCATTCGGATGACGCCGACTATGACGACAATAACAACGATGCCAGTGCATAGCGAACCGAGAGATTCCACACAAAGTGACTATGATCGCATTAGTTGTATAGAGCCGAGACGTTCGTTGGTATGCACCACTGTTCAACAGCATGTTGGTATCAAACCATTCACAAACTCTCTCTGACACACTCTCTCTTACTTACCGCTGATTTTCAACGAAGAAAAAAAAGCACAACAAGCATATATTGGCTGCTGCTGCTGTTACGTACAGCTAACACACGATTTTATATGTCTTTTTTTCGTTTTGACTCGATTCAGTTGAATTTTATCAGCTGGCCTGAACGGTCGCAAATATCACAACAACACACTTCCACTGTGTTCCATTACACATCATTTTTCCGTTAATTTCGTTTATAATTTTTTCCATCAAGTGAATTGGTTTGGTTGAAATTTTTACAATTTTTTCCGTTGCTTCGACTTCGATTGGATTCCTTTTTTCGGTTAAAAAAAACTATCTTTTTCGTTGTAATTTCGAAAAAACTAAAAAAATTAAAACTTCGAATTTTTGTCATTATTGGTGGACAGTTTTACCTTTGTTAAACTAATTTCCAATTGAATGTTGCAATTTCGTGTATAAAAAGTGGCATTTCTGCAGATTGTTATTGGTTGTTTTGAAACCATTCGTTTGTGGGACACAAATCTTAAAATAACACACCATCGATTTACAAATCTTTATGTATTTTTCCAAATTGAATTTATTAACATTTTGGTAAGTTTGATCGAGTGAATAAAAATAGACAACAATCATCAAGTCATAAATTTCAACTCCTTTCCAAAATTAAAAAGTTTGATGAAACGACAGATTAAGCGCGACAATTCGAAGAAATCTCCATTTGATCTACTTCTTAGACCATTTCTTCTTTTCTCTTTGTGTTTTTTTTTCTACGAAGAATTTAATCATCAGAAGTGTTTTTTTTCTGTATTTATTTTTTTATTTTTCTTCTGTCGCATAAATTAAGTGAGTTTTGAGTGTTGGAAAGTCGCAGATAACGAAATGTCAGAAGAGAATCTGTCGTCATTAAGACTAATTGATAGACAGCAAGCAGATAATTCAGAGATTTATTTCCAGCTTTTTTTTTAAATAAAAGATTATTTTTTTCTCTTAATTTGTGAAATCAAGAACTTTCCCCAAAAATTGGAATGGATTTTTTTCCATATATGAAAGAGCTATTTTGTGGAATTGCAATTAAACGTTGAAAACAATATTCAACGTTTTTTTTGTTTATAAAACTCTGCTGTGCTCTTGATAACATGTTCATGGTCACGGATAAATCATGTTTTCCGTTTGAATCCGTTTTTTTTATCAATGTTACGTGGCTGAAGATATATATGTCAATATATGCATATGTGAATGCAACAGCAGCAAAACAACGACAATGAGCAGCAGCAGCAGTGCGGCCACACATGGTACGGTGCATAGGCGATGATTCCAATGCACGAGTGAAAGAGATACATATTCTGCATTGAAATGTTGCATCCATGCCCATAAATGATGATGATGACGCGCGCGCGACTCCATATTCTATAAACATGAATACACACGAATACGAAATGAGCGCTTTGTGTTGTTGATTTTTTTTTTTCGTTCGTTCGTTCGTTCGTTTCTTTCGACAATAAGAATGCGGAACACGAGTAAATCATCTTCGTTTCACTTCACCATCGTCTCTTTTGTACGGTTGTTCTCAATCGTTTCTTCGTGCAGTTCAATAACAGCAGCAACAACAAAAATAGCTTCAACTGTGTAATGTGCCATCATTGAATCCAAGCAGCCACAACGTACGTATGGCACGCTGGCTGAGTCGCGCGCAAACCAGTCAATTCTCGGTGTATTCTTTTATAGCGCATTGTCGTAATGAAATCAAACGAGTTTCATGGCAGAAAAAAACAAACAGTACATATTAAAAATACCAGATATATTTGGGCCACTAGGTTAAGGGAGGCGGAATTTTTGTCAAACAGCCGTTTGATCGTCAATCTAATTTCATAGTTTAACTACTTACTGGCTCATATTCAGTCAATCTGATTTCAGTTTTTTTTCTTCACATTATTCTTTTACTCATCATTTCATTGAAGACAAGTCACAATTAAATCAATGTGTATTCGAGGGTCGAGCGTGTGTTTTTGTTGGATTGCTTGCGTGGCTTGTCAATTTCTGTGCTGGAATCTAATGAGACCATGTCTTTTAATCTCTTCGAAAATCTGGCACACGACAAAAAAACATACACACGTAACAAAAAGCCAAACACACACACACATACACCATACAAAGAAGAGTGAGACTTGACTTGTAAAGCTTGTGCTAATTTTTCTCTTCACATTCGATCAGTGACGGCGATACACACGTCGCAATTGTGGTAGTACCAAGTATTCATTACTCAGTGCTCACACAGTAAAATTAACACGTTTTTGTTACCACAATCACAGCCGTAAGAATATGATCATTCTGACGGAAAGAAAATACAATTAACATAATTTGCAAACGACCCAAACACACTCTCAAAATCAATCTCTGAGCCGGACCAATCATGCAGAATATCGTAAACATGATTACAAATGCAAAATGCACGCGCATCGTAATTTAATGGAGCAACTCACAATTTACCAGAGAAAAAGTTACTTCGTCTTAGTTCATTTACACGAGATACCTGAACTTGCTCTTCTTGGCAATTTAAGAATGCGTCGCAAAAAGAACTTGAATCGGGTTTTCACTGTAGGCTACATACAGTTTACATATATCTGATACAGTCTGTAGCAAAGTTGATGAACGTTTGTCATTTTCTGATTAAAATGTCAAATATAAATTGGGATTTCAGAGACGTACGACTACTCTGGGAATTCCAAATGTAAACCATTAAAGGAGATTTTTGCCATTAAATAAATTTTCACGATTGTATATCAATTGATCTGTAAATCTGGAGATCGTTTCACATGTTTTAACGAAATTGTCTCGTTTTTTACTTTGGCTCATTCGTTCGCTTGTGAACATTGCAGAGTCTTTGATGTTTGAATAACCGAATGTTTTGATGCAAAACAACAATGAAAACACTGACAATTAAATCGGTATCTGGGCCCTGACAAACCACGAGCTTTTTGCTGCTGTTTTTGCTGGTTTTTCCGTTACCATTTGTTAAATATATGTTACGCGAGTGACAAAAACAGAATAAGAGAAAGTATTTGTGTTTTGGTACGAGCAAACAGTCTAATTGAGTTGATTGTATTAAAATAACCGAAAAATCCGTTTGAAAAAATCAATTCATTGGAAAATGTTACAATCACAATGAGATAAATTGTTGCACAATTTACTCTTCTACTCGCAAAATCATTCGGTGGTTTGAACGTAAATGACTTTTTCACTGATTTTTTTAAATTTTGATTCACTCAATTCATAAAAATATAAAAATATTGACATAATGGATCATAGCTATTTGTTAACTGACCAAACACTCAACAAATTTTCTAGCGAATATAAGTTTAGAAGAAAAAAAAATAGAAAAATTACATAACATTTATCATAATATTATAAATTACATTAAGATTCTCAGCGGAAATCTCTATAATTAGCGAATTGTTTGACGATCGACTGACCTTTACATTTATTTCCATTGTTCTAGCAAATTTCTTTGTCCATTCAATGTGATATACCCATAATTTGTCGTTTCACTTTCAAAATAAAACAGAATAAATGGGAAAAAAATAAATAAATTCTGATGTATTTTTCTCGTGTGATTTCTTTTTATAGAACGATTAAAATTTGCGAGAGAAAAAATGGCATTTACGCAGTCATTTGGAACACTAGCTGCTGCAGTCACGCTATGTTTATTTGTGGTTAATCTGAATATTGAAACTTGTAGTTCACAGCAATTAAATCAACTTAATGATTATTCTGGTTCAAGACCGTACACACCTGATCCCGGTTTACTGGATTTTGTCTATCACAACCATGAAGACATGACACGCTTTTTGAGGTAAATGAACATTGAGTTGTTTATTGTTTTAAAATTTGAATTGAAACGAAAGTCACACGAGATAATCTTTCCGCAGAGCGACCAGCGCTCGTTATCCCAATCTAACTGCATTGTATTCAATCGGTAATTTTTTTCAATTTTTGACTATGATCCATTATTTTTATATTTTTATGAATTGAGTGAATCAAAATTTAAAAAAATTAGGTAAATCGGTGCAAGGACGTGATTTATGGGTAATGGTAGTTTCGGCCAGTCCATACGAGCACATGATCGGCAAACCTGATGTGAAATACATCGGAAATATTCATGGCAATGAACCGGTGGGCAAGGAAATGCTGTTGCATTTAATTCAATATTTGGTATCGAGTTACTCAACGGATCCATATATTCGCTGGTTACTTGACAACACCCGCGTTCACTTTTTACCGTCAATGAATCCAGATGGTTATGCCGTTTCGAAAGAAGGCACCTGCGATGGAGCTCAAGGAAGGTAAGCACGCCTATGAAAGTTCACTCTCATTTTTTACACAGAGTAGAAGAGTTCAGTCAAAAAAACATAAGTGTTTAATCAAGAAACATAGAGACAGCTGCAATGAATTAAAAAAAATCAATCATCTCTTCCAAATCTAGATACAATTCCCGTGGTTTCGATTTGAATCGCAATTTCCCCGACTACTTCAAGCCAAACACGAAGCGCGAGCAACCCGAAACCGATGCAGTCAAAGATTGGATATCAAAGATTCAATTCGTGTTGAGTGGTTCACTTCATGGTAACCATTTGTGTCCCCCAAATTCATTTCAAATTTTAAAATAGCTTGGTAACATTGACCCAATCTATTTTTTTCCATTTTTAAATGCAGGCGGTGCCTTGGTCGCTTCATACCCTTACGACAATACACCATCCTCTAGTAAGTATCTATTTCGTATCGAATCAATTTGTGTGGAAAAAATAAAATTCAAGGCCGAATTATTTGATTTTTCGTGAATTCCCATTTGGTTTGTTAACATTTCAATGTGCACGAGTCAGTTTACGAACGCGAGCGCGCGTCGCGAAATCGGAGCGGAGAAAGTGTACAATGTTATTTGTTCTAATTGATCGTTTTGTGTGTAATGGAAGTAGAAAAATGTGTTTTTTTTTCTTTCTCCACTTCGGAATCTCGTGTTGAATTCGAGATGGAAGTCTATAAATGGCAAATGATTTGAAATGGCAAAGAGTGTCAAGTTCAGGTTTAAGCGTAATTCTTTAGTTCCGCTTAATCGGAACACATTTTTTTCTCTTCGGCTGAAATGTTGTTGTTTTCGCCAACTCGACTCGTTCGATAGATATTCTCTCATTTTAACCAATTTTCGAAATCTTGTTATTCGTTTTACTCTTTTTTTTCGCTCCATCCGTTGATGCACATAATAATGACCGAAGTAAATCGATCTAAGTTTCGCAGAGAGAAAAAAAATCATATGTGTAACATGATATTTACAATTTACTCATTTTTCTGTTTCCATTGAACATGTCTGAACTACGTAAGGAATTTGTAGGTCGTCAGTTTTATGCAAAAGTAAGTGTATAGCTGAATCAATTTCTGTCAATTTGATCTTGGTTGGCAATATCCATAGGTTTTGACGCAGTGACGACGATACATCGCAATGATGATGCTGATAATTATTGGTTTTGGAAAATTCGTATACAAAATGCAATAACTTTTTCTATTTTCTCATTACATATTCCCTACTTGGTGCAGTGTTTCAAAACTATGCATCGCAGCCGTCGTTAACACCAGACGATGATGTATTCAAGCATCTATCGCTCACATATGCCAATAACCACGCAAAAATGTCGCGTGGCGTTGCATGCAAATCGGCTACACCTCAATTTGAGCAAGGCATCACAAACGGTGCTGCATGGTATCCACTCACAGGCGGTATGCAGGTTGGTTCACCAATAAATTTTTATTCGTTTTTACTTCTTTTACACTCGATCAACGTGTTTTTTGTTGGCAGGATTACAACTACGTCTGGCACGGTTGCATGGAAGTAACATTGGAGGTGTCATGCTGTAAATTCCCACCGGCACATGAGCTGCGCAAGTATTGGGACGACAATCAGCTATCGATGATCAAGTTCTTGGCCGAAGCTCATCGCGGTGTGCAAGGTTTTGTTACCGATGGAAACGGTTTACCAATCGAACGTGCTTCGTTGAAGATCAAGGGCCGTGATGTTGGCTTCCAAACAACACGGTACGGTGAATTCTGGAGAATTCTTTTGCCTGGTATTTACAAACTTGAAGTGTATGCTGACGGTTTTGCACCGCGAGAAATCGACTTTATGGTCGTCGAACAACATCCAACTCTATTGAATGTCACATTGCAGGGATCTAAGGTAAGCAATAAATTCAATGGAACCAATCACTTATGAATGTCTTTGTAAATAAACTGAATTCAATCCAATTTTGTAGCAAGAATATCCCAAACCCAAACAACAATACCAGCATCATACTCATAGAGTCAACAGCAAAAAAAATAAACACCAAAATGACGACGATCGTATTATTTTCCCATCTTAAATTTATTTTCTACCTCCCCAAAAAAAACCACTCCACAAGAAAACCAACTCTACACACCAAATCCACAATAAATAAATTACTTTGATATTCCTTAAGTAGAAGAAAAGCACATCCAATTTTTTTGGTTAACATAAAATTAATAATCAACTCTAGAAATTCAGTTTATTATTTCACAATATTATCTCAAAGGAAAATGGAAAACTAAAACCGCGATTGGGTATCAAAAAAGCATATCAATTGGCTAAACTCAATCCCGTCGATACTAGAATATTTGTAAGTTAAAAAACCGTGAATCCCAAATACTCAATCACTCTATCGCTCTTGCTCGCTCTCTCTCTCCCGCATGCTTTTTGTACATATAAATTGCTACTGCACGATTCACTGTCTACTGTGTTTATTTCATTGATCTAAAACGCACTTGAGTGGCGTGCAACAATTTCATTGTTTTATATTTCTGTGTGTTTATCAGTCAGTCCTTACCATTCCATTTTTGTATTCGCATGTGTATATAGCCACTGTTTTTCACTGGTCGAATTCAATTAACATATCATTCAATGTTTGTTGCCGTTTAAATTGCTTCTAATTATTTTGTATAGAATGCTCATTGGTTTGGCGATTTTGTGCGCAGTCTGCCAGCACAAAATTGCTGTTCAGTGTTTATTTCTCTTTCTTTCATCTCATTCGTGACTTTGTTTGCAGTTTCTCTTCTTCCATCTCTGTTGCTTGTTATATGTTTTTTTTTATTACTTTCAATTGATTTATGTGAATGTCAATAAAATGCTGTCTAATTGTTATTTTGCAGCGAAATGACGGTCCATACTATCGACCAATTCACGCATCGCAAAACCAAATGTACCGGCCACCACCGCAACATTTAGCCAACGATCAATCGTTCATGGGCAGCATCCAGACTGGATTTAGTACTCTTCTCAATAATTTGTTCGGCTAAGCTGATTCCATCAACATCATCATCAATAACAACAACATTCCCGATCATACGGTTCACATGCTGCTGTTTTCCATTCCAGTGTTAGAAACCGCGAGCTCCACCGCCACATCTCACATTGTTCTGTTTTTAAGTGACATTAAGTTTTTACTACGAAGACACAATTCTTTGCTTTTTTTTTGTTTTAAAATAGATTTTTTTTTTGTACATTGAAACTCACACACACACAAACTCACACTATCTTTATAATATTTAATGTTGAATAAGGCACAAGAATGTTCGATTAATTTTTTTGTGAAATTCTTTTGTTATTGTTGTCAATTTAATCAATTGTATGCGTCTTCATTAACAATTCATGGTCTGTTATGACAACATATTTTATTATTAGCTGCTGAAATGAGAGTTTAAACCTTCCGAAAAAATCAACAATAACAACCACAAGAGGAACAAAAGTTATCATTTTAGCCGAACGTGTGTTGATTGAGCATGCAGAACGAGTAGTAAAGAGTGAGGAAGACGGAAGAAGAGACAGACAACCATACGAACCAAAGTAACATTCTTCCGAAAAAAAAATACGCTCACATACACACATCAACACATAGAGAGTCAAGGAGGAAGCATTATTAACGATTCAAAGTGTATTTAGAGTATATTGTGTTTAGGCAAGCATCTTTAATCTATTGAAGAAAAAAAGAAGAAAAAGTAGCAGCAGCAAAAAGCATCCGCTCCATTTCATTCCATTCCATTCTGTAAATCGCGTGCGCGCCCGTAATTTAGAAGTATTCCTTTTGTCAAAAGAAAATCAAGAAAAATCACATTCGATTGTTTTTTGTATCACATCATCTTAGCTTATTTATTTTAGTTTATCATCAAAAAAAGAATAGAATATAAATGAATATGATTTAATCTTAATAGTGCAAACGCTGCAAACAAAAAGAAAACGTATGCGTAACGAATGAAAAACACTTCAAGTGAAATAAACGATTCCATGGAAAATAAAAACTCCAACCTCTTTTCGATTGTTTTCCTCTCTCTTTCCCTCTCTCTCTCTCTCTCTCTCTCTCTCTCTCTCTCTCTCTCTCTCGTCTTTTTTCATTGCTTTCTTTGATTTGTTTGTTTTATTGTGTGTCTATGTTTGGCGAAGATGTAGTTTCGATGTCATGCATATTTAACGGTAGTTTCATAAATATGCCCGCGTCTTTGTGATGAATTCAAAGCCAAACACCCAATGGTTCGAAATGAAATTGCATTTACTCACTCTCTCTGTGTCTGCCTGACTCATGCCACATACCTACATCATTTATGCCGGTTAATATAGCGAGGCGATAATTGGTTAAGAAAGTATCGGAGTCAAGTTGCAACGACTTTTTTCTTTCATGTTTTGAAAAACCAAATTTGACGAAGTTGAATTGAATATATGTGTGAGCGCTCGCGTCACCCTAGCCATATAACATACATCTGAGCAACGGCCGCCGTGCCGTTCGAAATCAAAACGACGTGAATCGTACGACAGTTCTATTGTAGTCACCAGTGAGTGAAGATATATTCAAGACTCTATCGATTTATTACCATTGTGTTCCACACTCTTAGCCAGTTCAGTCAGTTCAATTCGGTTCCTCACGCTTATTTTGTATGTGCCCGTGTGTATGTGTAACATAATCAGCAGTCGGTTGAATTTGATGTGCAGTTGTGAACATGCGGTGAAAAAATAAAATAACACACAGGGCCGAGATACGGAAAGAATAATAAATGTTGGATTCGGCGCAGTGTAAAATATAAATAGACCGACCGACCGTCGTTCGGTACCACGATAAAACTTCACCATAGAGCCAGTCATACAGTTAGGCTGAATGAATGGTGTTTTTGCCAGAGTAACAACAACACACACCGTGCGCGCCCGTTTCATTTTACGATAACAATGAGTGGAGTGAGCGAGACAACAAACGGATTCGCTACACACACATGCTGAACCCGAGTGTATGTTGTGCATACACACACACACATACGATAAACGTGTATCTGGCTGTTCAGTCGGAGGGGTGTGATGTGTTTTTCAGCAGCGCGAACTAACATTTTGCGATTGAAACCATTAGAAGTGAATTATATAGTTGCCGTAGATGGAAGTGAAAGAGAGTCGAGATTTGTCGTCGTTGTCCGGACTTTGTATTTGTGCATTTTCTATTAATCAATGAATCAAGAGAGAGAAAAAAAACCGAAGATACATTGAATTAATGGGAATTTTATATAAAACAGTGATAAGTATTGCAGTTATTATAAATTGATAAATGTGCGAAAAGAAAGTGAATTAAAAAATCGACTCTCATACAGCGAAGAGTAAGAGCAGTGACACAGTGAACGAGTTTGTTGTTGATTGACGAAAAACAGGGTGCGTTTTATATTCACCAAAAAAATCATTGCCAAACCATCGACATAAAAATATGGCTGGTGAGTGAAGGAATTAGATTTTCTTTCCTTTCGAATTCATTGCCGTTTTGCGTGAAACTCTTTTCTCCAGAGAGACAAATCGTTTGGCGTATTTATTTTTCATGTGTTGTGTGTGTACTTTACTGTTGTAGGCATGCGGAATAGCTACGATCGAGATTACATTGGGTTTGCCACTTTGCCCGAGCAAGTACATCGCAAATCAGTAAGAAATGTTACTTTTTATTGAGAAGAGAAACTAATTCAATCTGTGACAACAACATAATTTATTAATTCTTTTGTATTCTAGGTGAAACGTGGTTTTGATTTTACGTTGATGGTCATCGGAGAGGTTTAATTACACAACAACCACAACACAAATCTCTCAATTTCTAAATATGTGAATTTCGGTTTCAATTTCAGACTGGGCTCGGCAAATCCACGTTAATCAATTCATTGTTTTTGGGCGATTTGTACAAGAATCGTGTGGTACCATCGGTGACCGAACGCCTCGAACGCACAACGCAAATCGAAAAGAAACAAATGGAAATCGAAGAGCGAGGCGTTAAATTACGTTTAACGATTGTTGATACACCTGGCTTCGGTGACAGCATTAATTGCGAAGAAAGTTGGCGGACGGTCGTGCAATACATCGACGATCAGGTAATAAAATATAACACAAGCTTCATTGGAAATCACGATTCCGAACCCGCTCTCGATTCGATTTATTCATCATTTTTTTTCTCTCGATTATTTATTGATTTCTATTTCAGTATCGCCAATTTTTCACCGACGAAAGCGGATTGAATCGCAGAAACATTCAAGATAATCGAGTCCATTGTTGTTTGTACTTCATTCCGCCGTATGGCCACGGTCTTCGCCAAATGGATATCGATTTTCTGCGACGATTGCACAAAAAAGTCAACGTTGTACTTGTCATTGCAAAGGCAGACGCATTGACTACGAACGAACTGAAACGATTGAAGGCAAACGTGTTGGCCGATTTGGAAACACATAAGATTGACCTCTACCAATTTCCGGACTGTGATTCCGACGAAGATGAGGAGTTCAAGCAACAAGATCGAGAGCTGAAAGAAAGCATTCCATTCGCTATCGTCGCCAGTTCCAATTTGGTCGAAGTTGGCGGTCGAAAGGTAAGAATGGTGATATTGAGTTTGCAATTAAACGTGGCATCGGCTTCAATTAACTTTGATTATGGCATTAATAATGCAGTTAACCACAGTTGTCAGATTGATTAACAAATCATTTCCCAATCATCATTGATTCATAGGTCTGACTAATTTATTTGACCAATGTATTGGTTTACAGAACCGAAAAGTTCCTTAACTATTATATATATATATGACATATGAGTGGCCTAGAATATATACGATAAATATGTTTTTTAACGTAAAAAAAGTAGAACTGGGGATGAATGATGATGTCACAGCTGATTTTACAGTGATATTCAACTGTTCAAAGAAATTGAGTCCATGGCGATAGGGACAATGATTCAGGCATATTGTAGCATACGAATAAACAAAGAAAGATTAATACATCAGCTGATTGTGATTGTGTGGTTTATCAATTTTGGACCAATTTTCATGACTCGTCTCAATATCGAACGAATGGGCTGACATATTCGAAAACAGACAATTGATTTGAATTCTACAATTTATCTACAATTTTTTGGAACCATTCTTCATTCGAAAAAAAAATCGATTTGTGGAAAATACGTTTTTTGACCAAGATTTGAGTTGTTCCATTTTATAGCAGTTTTTCGATAGCCGATTACTCAAAAAAATTGTTCCTACATAAAATCTACAATTGAACTCGCCCTACCCGAAGTCATTTCGGCAAATTTTCTAAGATTTGAATATTCATCTATTTATTCGCAAAGCTATTGTTGCTATTGAAGTGCTTAATCCATCAAAATGAAACACTACTTTGTTATCAGATAAAAACAAAACCGTACTGTTTCATTCACGATAAATTTTTTTAAACATTGATTGAATCATTAAAAACGCAGTGTTTATGAAAAAGTCACGACTCAGATGCAAAAATCTTTCTTGAGTCATATGAACGATGTAATGTTTTGCTATTTTCAAACAATTTGATTTTGCTTCGATTATTTGAATGGCCTTTCGACAAGAACTGAGCATGTTGGAATCGAATTTATCTCACTGCATTCAAGTATTGAAAGAGAATTGGTCCAAGTGATTGGATGGTTAATGTCAAACTACTCTCAATTGATTAGCTTCAATACAAAATTCATTAATTGTACGTAACCTTTGGCCCCTTAATTTACACACAACAATAATTATATTTAATCTGATACTCAATCATTCTAGGTGAGATGTCGTACATATTCATGGGGATGTGTCGAAGGTAAATTGCAATTTATATCTAAACAATTTCGTCTGTCCATTTTAAATTAAACGTCTCTTGTTTTGACGTTACAGTTGAGAATCCGCAGCATTCTGATTTCATAAAATTGCGTCGGATGTTGATTTCAACGCACATGCAAGATTTAAAAGACACCACACAAGATGTTCATTACGAAAACTATCGTGCTCAGTGCATTTCACAGATATCGCAACATGCAATGCGCGATCGAAGCAAATCCAAACGCGAATCAGTATCATCGAATGATACAGTCAGTGAAACCGATCGTTTGCTACTTCAAAAAGACGAAGAGGTTTGTTTTGATTTTCTATTTCCGATATATTGCGCGGTTCGATTACACAACAACCACAAACACAAATCTCTCAATTTCTAAAAATGTGAATTACTGTTTCAATTTCAGATTCGTCGAATGCAAGATAAACTTGTACAGATGCAAGAAAAGCTAAAAACGAACACAATTTTGGAGATGAACAAGAAAAACGATAGCGTTATTGATGTTTAGTTTGTTCGTTGTTGTTTCGAGTGGAAGTGAAAAGAAATCTGCATTTCAAATTAAATACATCCCACGGTGTAATGCAATACACATGTGCGCTACACGCGAATACAATGTTTTGATTTTGTTCCATCACTCACACACTACGTGCTCGCGTACATTCTTTTTCCAGAGACACACAGACACACACACATTCAACTGCAATGAAACTGTAATTTTAATTTCGACAGAACAACCTGATTTATTATTTGTTGACTCTTTTTATAGTTAGCGTGCGTGTCACCAGTTTATTTTCGTCTAAGCATTATTTTACCAATCAGTCTAGAAGACATACATATACACACACCTACAGAACAAAAACAAAAGATCCAAACGCACAATTTGTTTGGTTGAAATGCGTATTTTTTAAATAGCAACTCACATTTAGAGAGATAGACACACAGTCTGGATGACTTTATCATTCAACACATTGCATTATTCGGGTACGAATTCGTCTCTTTTTTGTCACATACCACATATAGCATCGGTGCATCACATTACAAACATAGAGTATGCATCGTCATCGCCACGCAAAGCATCTACATCGAACAAACATCACTTGAGAAAATAAAAGCTGATTTCTTCACAAAATATTATGACAAACGAAACCATAGATCTGAATGAACCTTTTGAGCAAACACATAGGAGAATCAAAATAATGCCCTTGTCTTTCAATGAGCTACTAAAAATTACATTTATAATTTCCAAAATGAAACATTTTTATTTATTTATTTAAAATTGCTAGAGTATTTCATTCCGAGATGTTTTTTTTATTTTGTTTCGGGAGAAAGTTCATCTTGTGCAAAAATGAAAACAAAACAAAATTGAACTCGTAAAAAAATGAAAGAAAAGATATTTGAATTGACGAAATTTGACGTAGGCTGTTGTTGTAGGAGAATTTCTGTCTGAACTCTTTCAGCATATGAATAATCAGAATTGCTTCCAAACTCTTTTTTCTATGTAGTCGAATCAAAAAAAAAATTCTGTTTTAGTCAATCATTTTATTTGAATGTCAAAATCAAAAGCGAAATTACTTTTTCGTTCCACCAAAAATCAAATCTAAGTTTCAACAAGAACGAGAGAAGAGAGATTTTTTTCTATTTATTTTTCTATTTACAAAAAAATGTTTTTTTCTTTTTCGAATTTTAAAGGACAGAAGAAAATTATGCACAAAATTCAGTTGCAATAGAAAATAGACAGCAACGAATGCCAATTTAAAGCACAAATTATTATTATATTGGAAATCATTCCCGATTTTATTGAGACGATTTAAACAAAATAAATGAAGAAACACCCTTTTTAGGTATAATATTTACTCATTGTAATCGTTTGTATTTCTGTCAATAAATATATGTTATCGAAACCATATTTGGGGAATACATATGATAAAAACTACAAACTTTTAATTTAATATGTATAAAAACCATAAACGAGTACTTAAATAAAGAAATCAGAACCAATTAATTATGCAATAACTAAGGTATCTTCTTTGAAATGCTTGATTCTCACTTATTCGTAATAAATTCTATGCTTCTAAGCTAATTTATAGATAGAATTCAATCTTAAGCCAATTTATCGATAGTGCTTATCACAGCCGACGAAGAACTTAAGCCAATTTCACTTTTTGGTTAACATGTGCGATTTCTGAACTACTCGCAATTATCAAAATTCTTTTCATTTGGTTAACTGTTTTGAACTGCTGTCGCCGCAAATGGGTGTTACCTCAGCGTGGAACAGGCATTTAAATGCGGAAACAAGTGACAATGCAACGACCAAATTCGTGTTGGATCAATTCTTTCGCTGAATCCGTCGATTTTGACGACATTCCATGAATTATTCTCGGATGCATAGCTGTAGGAAATCTGTTGAATCAACGTAAAAACGAAAGACATTTAATTTGAAATTGTCTTTAATTGTTTGCAAACAGCAGAGAGAGTGATAGAGAGAGAGAGAGATAGAGAGAAATTGATGACAACATACTTGCTTGCGGAACGTCTGCAATGGAATTTGGTCGAGTTGCTCCAAATGTGAATGAAACTCGTCGATTACTGTCAACGGCACTTTCAGCAAATACTCTGGATTACAAAATACGAAAGTGATTACATAAATTGATAAAATGTTTGTTTCACTGTTATTGTCATACCAATTATGAAGCCAATGGATACGTCGTCCGGAAATCCAATGCGATCACTAATTGTCATTAGTTTTTCGTTTCGAATGACTGGAGCCATTTTCAGTGCAAGCGGCCGACTGATACAAAATCCAGCACCGCCAGTAGCAAACCAAAACTGAGCCTGATGACCAGCAGTCTGAAAAAAAGCAAGGAAAAAAGTTTAAAAGAATTAATAAGAATTTCATCAATTTTGATTTTCTCATTTCGTTTTCATAACTTCGTTTCGGAAGTTGCCGATTTTGAAGAATTGAAATTCTTGATTTCAGTTTGAAATTGTCTTCAATTTCCTTTCGAATGGTCTTCGTTTGAACTGAACTCACCTCGCTTAGTTTAATTTCCAATGGTGATGCCACACTCGGTTTGCCCAGATACCACAGTGACGATGAATCGTATTCGCTGAGCAACAGCTGAAGCTGTGCCACATTCACGTAATTGTCGTCGTCAAAATGACAAAACCATCTAAAACAAATAATCATTAAATGCTTCATTAGATTCAATCGTTTTTAATCGTCAATGGTTCGCCTCACTTGCTACCATATCTCCTTGGTAACGAATGGTAGAATAATTATTCAGACATGCTATGTCAATCAAATCATTATTTTAATCATAAGTCATCTATTGTCGTAATCGTTCGTCTCATTGTCGTAATCGTCGAATGGATTAAGTCATTTACCCCACTGAAATCGACGAAATTAAAAGTTTCGAATTGATTTTGTTTTTACGAAACATAAAAATTATTACATGATAATTATTCAACTTTTAGAAACAACTTTCAAACAAACTTCACGGAAAGATTGCTCAGAAACATCAAACATTTACCATGGTTTCTGAAACTTCCTTGCTGCTAGTAACATTACTACACGACAAACAACTGTTTTGATAACAATTTATAAATTACGCGACTAACTGAAATATGTTACCCGATTAAGTAAGTGTACGTGTTGTTGTGTGTGTGTTCGTTGATGCAATTAGAAGTGAAGCGTAAAAACGAAAGTATTTTGATTTGAAATTGCGGCCGGATGCGTCAATTGTTTTGATTTGTATCCGTGATGTGATACTTTCTGAAAGGCAGAAAAGTGGTTTCAATTTGGCCACGCACCATCGCAATGTACGGTGGTCATGCACGAGCACGGAATTAAACTCATATAACGAAATAAAAAAAAGTCGAATCACGTCGGTCGGTGGTTTGATACACGCAGCAGCTGGATATAATAAGAATATCAAGCCAAAAAAAAGTAATCATGATGGATGATTGAGAAGATTGAGAAGAATACGGATAAATCGAAAATCTAATTTAATTATTTTTCAGACGTAAACACTGATGTACAGAGTAAAACGCGTTTAAGGCGTGCCTCTAGCACAAACAACTCTGTGCAGTATGAAACTTTGTTTCGTAGACGTCGGAGATATGGGCTGCAAATGGCGTTAATATAATTCAAAAAGCCGAACTCTATGGCACATTATCTGATCTTGAATAATAGAAGCGCGATGTTTTGAAGCAATCGTGTTTTTTTTCCACTGCACTTTCTTTAAGATCGTACGAGGCATACGAACGATTTGACCCGTATATGTGCTAATGCTGCGGCTAATGAAAAATATTATCGGAACGCCACGATCAATTAGCATTTTTTACCGTTTTCAAAAATGAGTTTTGTTCAAATCGTTTTGCCATAATCTACAGTGGAGTTTCCATTTACGCTGTGTGTGCGCTGGCAAAATCGATTTGTACACAATGTTAAAGTGCTTTGAAATCCGTGAGCTATAGCAACGATCATAAATTAAATAGAATTTTTTTTCCGTTAATTAATCATTGCCGAGCGTCGACACTTCTTTAAACTCGCAAGAGTTTTTCGATAATTCCATCCTTCGGTTTGAAAACGAAAAAAAAAGAAAGCGTTTGTCTTGTTTTCTTCTCTTATCGTTGTTGCTTCGGTGAAACAATGGTAATTTATGGTTTCGTGAAATAGACTGAATTTATGCCTAACAGCTGCGTGTGCACTGAGCTGTGCCGAGAAGTGCACGTCGACTTCGTCGGTGGGGTGATGTTCAGAACATTTTTTCCAGTGTTACTTTTTTCGATGTGGTTTTTTTCCTTCGTTTTTTTTTCTGTTGGTGACTTACTTTTTTCGATGTTCGAGGAATGTAATAAGCTCTGCGGCCATTTTGCAGCATAATGCACGCCTTGAATGGCCTTTTGGGCATTTTGTGTTGATCAAATGTTTGTTCAATCGCTTATTGTAGAAATCGTCGTTGGTATCCGTGAAAAACCATGTCTGTAAAAGGACAATGAATGACGAGTTAAAAAAAAACGTTTAAAAATGTTCAATTTATTCCAGAGTTTTTTCTTCGGTTGTTTCTGGTCAACCAAAAGTAGAGAGAAAAAAAGATGTGTAAATTTATTGCAAATAATTTCGTTCTTGGTAACATTTTGTACTCAATCGAAAAAGGAGACAGAGAGCTGTAATTACAGCAACGACTATAATTTTAATTTCAGAACATTTTGCTGTCGGAATGTTTGTCACGCAACAAACGACCATACAGAAAATGTGATGGCAATGTTGGGCCGCCGTAATTTATTTCTCTCTCCTTAAATGCTGATATTTTCAGTTGGCCCGCTTCAATTTCGTCGTGTTTTTTTCCTTTTGTTTTAACATCGCTCGATGCGACGTACGAACGTAATGATACCCACTTGCATACTCAAATGAGTTCTGCAGGCGATTTGTTTGAGATTAAAATCAAATTGAGCAAAGGAAATGTGGTTAGCACGCTGCATGCCCTTTTTCGTCGATATTGATTGAAAATTTGTCTTCGACGATGCACACTGTTTCGGTTTCGTTTCGATATATCATCAATATTCGGTTTTGTAGAAGATGATGCGCCAAACGGTTGAGTATGTGCGCGTAATCAAATAATTAAATCAAGCGATTGCAATGACCAACCGCCGCGTGCACTGATGAGGAGGCGAAGGAGGAGGAGGAGGACGGCCATCGAAAGAGAGCGAGAAAATAAGGAACGGACAACTGATGATGCTATAACAGATTGTTTTCTTGCATTCACTTCAAAAATGAAACACTTTAAATTTGGTGTTCAGTATTTTCACTTGCGGGCATTTGTTCAATGGTTAATGGCACTCTCAATCCCAACACTAAAATCAGAATGCGAACGAAAAGTAACGTATAAATGCATTTGTGGCTAGCAAGAACACATGAACGAGAAAAAAAAAATAAAAATCAGCAACGATCTTACAGAAAATACGGGTTAATTGCAGCAATTATGTAAATTTTCGGCTTTTTTCCTCACTATTCTCTTGTTGTTCTGGATATTGCCCATGATTGGTGGGCATTTTTGAGAGATGCAAGTGCATTGCATCGTCCAAATGCACATTTTCGGGTTGTGCAAGTGATTGCACTTGATGATTTCTGGTTAAAACAAGTTTTATGCATTTCTCGATCTCCTTTGATCTCTTTCTCCGTGGTGCACCAAACGATATTCCAGTTTATAGCCCACAGATTTTTTTTCGACTGGCAAAAAAGGCGAACAAGTGGCAATTGAACTCATAAATCGGTGAATTTATTTGTTTTTCTTCTACTCTCCATGTTCGCCATTCGACAGTTAAAAAGAAGAATGATCATTTCATCATAATAGGTTTGTTCGCCACAAAACGACTCATTTTACTGTTTTGATTGATGCTTTTCGTAGCCAAGCATCTGTTTTGTTTATGCGTGCGGCACTCAAGAGTCCATTTTGTCCGTTTCAAGTTGTTTCATTTTTTCTCACTCTCGCGTCATTCCAGCGTCAAATTGATGGACAAGAGCTAAAACAAATGACATTGTTCTTTTTTTCTCTCTTGCATTCATTTAAATTCAATTAATGGTTAAACGGGGAGAAAATAACGAAGTGATTTCCTAGAAATTGGCTGTTTGCCTTATCTGCATTTTATCTCCTCCAACTGCAGCGAATACATTCCAAACCAACGATGACGACGACGAGATTTGTGCGTCTCTCTTTCACATTCAAATCTTCGAATTGAAATTTAAACAAGTTTATTTATCGTTTAAATATTTATGACTTTGTTTTCTTGTCTCTATCGACCGTTGTTGATGTTGTTTTTTTTCATCTGAGGTGTCTGTACACACATCATCCTATGTTTGGATGAGAGTAAATAGAGCGATAATGCAGCCACGAACACCCATCACATGAAACATTGCAGCTGAGATTAAGAAAAGAAAAACCAAATATGTGAAAACAAACGCGTTTAAACAAATCTCGAAACAAAAGGACCGCGCCGGCTGCCTACAAAGTACCTATCGTCAATCAATGCAACTGCCACTTGCATTGCTTACGCATGGCATAAATTAATACTGACGGCCAAACTGACTTTTATGGAATTTCAATTAAAATTTTAAATGGCTATTTCTTCGACCATTTTCTATCTCTTGTTGATCATTTTTTCTTGTTCACCCTTGGTTAAACAAACACATTGATGTGGTTGTGTTTTGTTGAACGTGAGGATCATTTAACACTGAATACATTTACTTAAGTTGAAATGGTTCGAAGTTCGAACTTCGAACGAACAAAGATTGAGATAAACAATCCATTTGCTTAGGCCGAAAAAAAGGAGCGAATCAACCGATGATTGAGTATAGGTCCTAAATAAACAGAAATCGTTTTTGCAGCAAAATTGCGTGCAGTAGTTCGAGGCTCAAGTATCGAGTCTGATCTTCCATAACAAATGGTTATTTACTCGGTGAAGGAGGGAGTAGGCACAGTAAAAACTAATCAAAACAAATACCAAAGAACCGTTTCGTCAGGCCTGTTTCTGCCTCACCATCAACGGACACTTGTCTTCACTTCAATTTTTTCAGATAGTCTCTTCGGGATCTTTTTTTTTGTTTTTCAAAAAGTTATGCAGCATAATAAAACATTTAATGGATTTCGAGTTCTGAAAATCCACACTCGAATTTCATGGTTGCATTTTGATTAAAACAGTTTCAAGTTCCCCCTACGCACACGGAATCAACAAACAACATAATTATTCATTTTTTTCTCTGTGTGTGTGAGTCGTTTCATTTCATGTCATTGCTTTGCAACTGATCGAGTTATGACAAACTTAGTGTTTACCAAGAATTTGAATGCGACAACAGAATAATGAAATGTTCGTTGAATGAAGAGTGTGACTGCCGCAGAAGCAAACATACATGCGTTGAATACATTGCGGTTAAAAGTTCATGCACACCGAACAGATGATAAAAACGACGAATTGAAAACATGTTTCGTATAAACCAAGTGGCTTGTGTAGCGACCCACTGGCTCGTAACTTTGTTCCTTTTTCCCTCTTCCACATGCAATCTTTATTTTCAACTTTTTTTTCCACTCTTTTTTTCGCTTCTCTATATGTCTCTGTGAAACGAGAACCAAGTGAGTTATGTTTAATTTGCGTCAATTGTAAAATGTCATATTCGAACCCCATTTTTTCTCTCCATTACGCTCTAGTTGTTGAAAATAAGTGTGTGTGGGAACTAAATTATAACTCTTCTTCCACACAAATGGAAGCGACAACATAAAAAATTGTGTTTCATTATTAATTGCCGCTTAATTCCTGTATTCCACTTTGACACCCAGCATTATTTCTGGTTTCAGTGTGCTGTTGCTTTTTATCTTACCACCAAGAGCATTGAAACCGGTTGTTGAGCTCCAATTTTCTCAATTCACTGGTGTTAAGTTAGATCAATTTACACATAGTTCGAAGCCACTTATTCAAATGCGGATGAAGAGAAACACGGAATGGCTTAAGTAAGTGCTTCTCGGATTTTAGTGGCGCAAAAATCCTAGTGTTATAAACACCTAGATGATAACGCATCATTATCATTTCTACGGTTCATAAATTACATATCAAATTATCGGCAACTTTTGTATGCGGTCACAATGTTTTCGTGAATGGAGATGGCAATTAGTGCGAAAGAGGATCTCGCACTCACATCTCGAAAGAGATAGAGGGAACTTGAGAGAAAGAGCGAAATGATGAGTATTGTTAAGTAAGTTAACTTTCAGCTGCCGATCGCGAAGCTGCTGGTTTTTGAACGGCTCTTTAATTCTCTATACAATTTTTTTCTTTCCTCTGGTTTCAGATTGTGGGAAAAATGATCGCGCTGAATCGTTTAGCGCGCAACATCCAATTGCGTGCAATGACATTTTTATCACAATGTTGTGGCTGTTATTTTGTTGTCACAGACGCGTTTTTCTTCTCTCTTCAGAGATTAGAATTGCTGTTATAAAAGAGAGAGAGAGAGAGAGAGAGAGAGAGGGAGAAGAAAAAACCGCGCCAACCCAAATGGTTATGTTATTCGTATGCGGCAAATGTCGACAATTACTTCGAATAAAGTCATAACAATATTGTGCATACAAAACACATACACACAGAGGCCCGTTCTCATGGCAGCGACGAAATCGTCGTTGACAACTCAGATGAAGAAACAAAACGAGAAAAAGAGAAAAAAACAAACGAAAAATACACACGAAATCGTTTCGAAGAAAAGTCAGTAGAGTGACGAATGGAAAATGCTTTCTACTGTGTGTACAAATGCTGTCATTAACGTTCATTCCGTTGACATTAAACTGTTTTTTTGTGACAAGCACATATTCTCATCTCTGTAGATCATGTTCCATGTTTGCCAAGTCAGTTTATGGTTTGAATTATACGACGAATGAAAGAAAGAAAAAAACCGAAACCATTTGGAATAAAACATGTGTATCAAAAAGCGGTTAGTTTGCTGCCGATTGTAATTGAATTATAATAAAAAACGAGACCAAACACACGATTTGGAAATGGATTTTATATCTTTGTTTTTTTTTTTGCCTTGCCGATCGGCAGCGCATAACGGTGTGTGCCAATGCATTGATGTGTGTTCGTTCGTTGGGTCGTTCTGAGATTGATGTGGATGCAAATGCAAAATGTGTTGCTTTTATTTCATCTTCTCAGTTTTTTGCTTCACTTCGAATATACAATTAGATAAATGCCAGTGATGATGGCCTTAGATACGACTTCGGCAAAATGAATGTGTTCACTGTTACACTGTGTGCCTTCAGAGTTGATGTGCATAAAATTGCTTTACGCTAATAAATTGTAGTGTGCTCTGTGTACCACCACACATCTTTCTTGCGAGAAGCGAAAAGCAGAGAAAAGAAGACAGAAAATTGCATGTCCCATTCATCGCATTTGTTCATGCTAAACGGTCCGTTTTCATCGTCTTATAAATAATCCTTCCGGTTTATTTGCCAGCCATTTAGAATACATTACGGCTGTTATTTGTGTGTGACGTTGACGATGACGACGATGACGACGAATGGTGGATAAAGAAAGAGAGAGAGAGAGAGAGACCCAACAAAATGCATTAAAATAATCAAGATGAAGTGGATTGCAACCGTGAGGCGCACTAGCAAATAGCGTAATGTAGCAACATTGTGATTTTCTGTGCGCTCTCTCGATCGTTCGTTCGTTGCGATGCGTAGCATCTGGATCAAGCCGATTTTTAATGAAACATTTCATTGAGATGAGGCAAAAAATGTATGAGTAAAAAACCGAAGCACTGACAACTAATTTATGTGCAATGCACTCTTTTGTTTTCGTTTTATTTTCTGCCCGGCAGATTGGTTTCAAGTGCAATGCTAAGCCAAAGCCGAAGCCGAAGCGCTTCGAGTGCGACTGCAGGGAAACCGGGAAAGAGAAAGAGAAAAAAAGCGCAAGCGGCACAGAAAGGAAATAATATGTTATGTTATGGCTTTCGGAGTAGTAGCAGAAATATAGTATGTAATGTACGGTGATCCGTTTGATTAGATGTGAACGGGAGAGTTGAGTGCAAGAAAATCCATGTTTGAAGCCACAGAAAAGCAACCGAGCTTCTCAAGCAAAACGACCGTTCAAATGTTAATTGTTGGGTTAAATTGTCGGCAAATGAATAACAACCCAAAAAATGAGATCAGTTTTTCTTGAGCGACTGTCGTCGGAAGAGAGAAAGAGAGAGAGAGACAGAGAGAAAGAGAGAGGAAAAATAAAATGGAGAACGAAAAAGAAATAAGAGCGAGAGAGAGAGGCAGAAATCTAACCAGAATTACCTGTTCACGGGCCATTTGAAACCATGTTTTTGCTATAATATTCAAACGTTTCGCATGATTCATTTGTGTTGTTTTCACTGCCAAAAAGACATCGTCCAATTGAATGGTTGTCGGTTTTGGTGTAACTGTACCCGCATCAATTGTCATTCGACTGCTATCGAATAGTTTAGTTGTGACTTCATTTAACCATGGCAATTGTGTCGGTGTCAAATTTCGATGAAATCCAAGCAAATCGCCGTCGCCAGAATGTTGTGATTTGGGTGCATCAAGAACCTACAAAAATGGGTGAGAGAACAAAAGAATACTTTGGTTACATGTTTTGTATTGACAGTGGAATCGGGCTTTTTGTTGTTGGTTACATATAGTATTGTTTCGGTTTTGTTCGATGTCAATTGAATAAGTTATGGGATTGTTGACGACGATCACATCCGCTTTAGACAAATTCGATCACTCAAATGCCGAATTATGATCATTATTTGATACACAAATTCGTTTCTATTTTATTAATGACAAGCAGGTAAGCAACACAGCAATTTTGCGTCGTCAGTTATGTGTATTAAGTGGTACCATCAATGGTCCCGCATGTCGTGTTATTCTTGTTTTTTCAAGATTTGTTCATTAATTAAGTTTTGTGCAAAATTCCGTATTGTCTTCTTGAAGGCGCATTCATTCTGATCAAAGAATTCGCTTTCCAGACGAGTACGCAATTTGTATCGAGTTCCATACGGCGCACACACCAATCGTTCGCTAAAGTACACACTTTTTTATGATCGCAACGACAATAGCATCGACTGAAGGAGATGAAAAAAATTCATGTCAACGAGCGAACGGCAGGAATATTAAACAGTTTGAATGAGGAACATGATACATGCCGCCATCACCACCGTCGTCGTCGTCGTCATCGCCGTTGCTGCTCCTATTATAAGAGTTGAATTGAATCAAAAATTATCACCACTCCTTTCACCATATTCGTCGCTTTTGAGATGTGTTTGTTTTCACATTCAATTTTGTGATGAGCAGAGAAAAAAAACTTAGTTTAGACAAACAAGATTAAATTACTGAACCTTACGTGCAGTTCTTTTTGTTTTGTGCTGATGTCATTGCAGCGTGCACTGTCCACTATCTACCCAAATGCCAATTGTTTCTTCAAAATCGCAAGAAAAAACCAACGACGCGCTAAACAATAAAGTAAAGACAATTGTGATCCGACTGGAAACGTTGCGAATGGAAACACGAAACAGATATAGTTAAAATCCAGAAGCCTTTTTGCTATGAACGATACACATTTGAACAATGATGTTTTGCTGTACGTGCATCAATGTGCGTGCCCTTATGATCGCCAGTCATACAATTTCAATTCGAAATAAAGCGAATCTTTTCTTAGAACGAGCGCAAAAACACACACACACACACACACACACACACACACACACACAGTTTCTTGCATTTAACCTATAAAAGGATCGTGGAATTGTGTCGCTTGCGGAACTGGAGAAAAAAAACGTACAACGCAGAAGAAAACCTGAAAAAACAGTCTCAAAAACCATAAATACAAACGCTAGGTTTCGGGTTGTGTTGCGATGATTTTTTTCCAATTCTTTTGTTTCAACACTTTTGTCGCTCGTGTTGATGGCTTCATGTTCATGACAACATATTTTATTGCATCTTTTAAGACCGATTTTGACAAATGTTTCAAAAAGATAAGAGACGACGAGCTTCGCGATGCATTCTTAAAAGAACAATACATTTTTGTTGCCCATTTACAATCATCCATCGCTCACGAGCCGAAATAAAAGGAAAAAGAGGCACTAATTCTATATACCTATTCGTAAAACGTGCGAAGCGATGAAAAATTGTCGTAAATTTCAGTTGACGCCAACACAAAGAATGCGATCAAGAATCGAGGCAACGAATGGTTTGCTCTAAACCGGCCCCGAATAAGAGATGCATCAGTTCAGAAAAATAACACTTCCTAAAACATTTTAATCTCATTAAAGTGAACGGTGGCCGCATTAAATATTCAACCGATATACGACACACGCTACACATTATCTCAGTTATTCGAACATCGTACACGATGTTTTTGTTGTTCTTTTTTATTTCTTTTATGTCGTTTTGCTGCGTCGTGGTTTTTCTGTTTCAGGAATAAATCGAACGAGATATTTTTTCAACAAAATTAAGATGTTAATCATTTAACATGTAAAAATGCACGAGAGAAATGTGCTCCGTTTAACGGCTCGCGCGATCGCGAGCGCCGATGGAAAGTAGTTGTAATACTTTACACTTTTGGAGATGTCGACAATGCGAGCGACGGTGAGTGTCTGTGCGCTGACTGTTGATTGGCATCGCGCACGTTGTAACCCGAAGTATGATAAACTAATCACGTTTTACGCCATTAAACACACGAGTCGCATTACATTCGCTGCGGTGTAAAAATGCTGTTGTCGCTTACATTGCATCGGTCATTTTGGGTAATGTGATCATTCATTAAAGTGAACGTTGCTGTTGCTTTTTTGCTTTTGTTTCTTCGAATCCTTATTCCTATCTTATTCCGATGGACGATTATATATTTATTTCGTCTGCTGGAATAAATTTGAATAAATTTTATTGTATTTCCTTATAAAAAATCTTTCGTTGTCCTTTTGCTCGTTGCCATTTCGAATGTGGTTTAATTTACTTAATTGAAAAGGTTTGGATTTTTCGTTAAGTCATTTTGAATGATTTAAATGCAGAATCGATTAACGAAACCAGAAATTCACGTTTTCTTTGCACGTGCATTTTGCGTTCGATCATTTTTTTTTCCCTTTCGTTGTTGCTTGAGCGCGACTTAACTGTTCATCAATATCATCAAAACGATAATAATATCAGCGGCAGATGCGAATAGCAATTACTGAAACGACTTTGCTTCATTTTCTGCAACATCCTGCGCTTAAGTCGCAAATGCGAATACACACATTTTCCGTGTAACTTGTAGCCGATCGATCTCTTGTGAAATAAACGGTGAGAGCGTGACTATGTTAATAGATTTTGTTCATGATAGTTCCAGGATTATTATCATCGCTAGAAAGGATGAGAAACAACATCAACATAAAGTTTAACCTTATTATAATTTGGGTATCCATATGAGATCCGACATAAAATCGCTGCTACGTAGATGATTATCCCGATGATTGCCATAATTTTCGTCGTCCGGTGTACGCGAAAAAAAAGGAGATCAGACACAAATCTTTGACTATCGTCACCAAATAACATAGATCACCGCTTCATATTTCATTGTTCGCTGAGTCTCTTCAGAGGCATTTCATCGGCCGTTTTTCCCACCAATATTCGGAGTTTTTTTTTTGCACGATAATCGATGTTCGTTTTCATAACAAAATTTTCCAAATTTGAAAACAAAGAATAAAAAACTGCACAAATTATTTCCCAAACAAATTCTTCCTTATTATCCGACCGTTTCGCCGTATGTCATTAAAAACCGATCCGTATTATTATTTTTTATGTAAGTTTTTATTGTGAGCGTAAACAATTTTGATCAAACATTCACTTTAGAAACCCCACCAAAATGCACTGCTTTATTGAAAACAAAAAACACATTAAGGATCTTCTGAACTGTGTTGAGTAGTGAATGTAAACAAATAACGTACGTGAAGCGCGCACACACGTACGAAGTAAAAAAAAGAGAGGCACAGCGGTTAGTAACACACTCCTGCGTTGTTCCGTGGTTTATCAACGACTGACTGCACAAACACTCGCAACCATCACATCAAAGTGCTCGTTTTGTTTTGATACCTTTGGTCATGTCATATGTTGTCATATCGCTTTCAACTTGAGCATCACCCTGTACTAGGCAAGTTTCAAAGTCCCAAAGCTCTGTAAAGCACGAAATGGAAAAATGGATAGAAAATTTTCCCTTGCCGTCTCCATCGAAAAAATTCCACTCGTTTCGAAGAATTTTTCGACCGTTTACGGTTTAAAATTGTGTTGAACTTTGAAAACAAAAAAAGTTCTTGTTGGTCTTTTCAACGACATCTGCATGAGGAATGTGGAAATGCAGACGGAATGTGCTCACATTTTTGTGTTTCATTCATTCTTTTTGCTCCGTTCGAGCGTCAGCTTGCAGTACTGTGCTGAAATCACAGCAGTGATTTCACTTTCAAAGCTGCAGTGGACTTTTTCACATGTATGCAAAGCTATTGCCAATTGCCATGAATTGAGCCTTAAAACCATATTAACACAGTGACTCGTCGATCCTGATCATGGCTCACCTACTACTCATCTACTCGGTTTCTAACCACAGCGAGTCAAAAGCCATAAAATCCCAGCACGTCACACTATTTATGAATTTACTTAGAATTTCAGCGGAAACATTGTTTCGTATCGCTCGTTTATGATGTCAATTGAATTGATAATATAATAATTGCTTATGACTCAAAACTGGCTCTCCCTAATCCAATAATTGATTTTATGAACATGGAAATGATCCTTTAACTATTTTCATTGATATTATTTGTTTCATTTTGTGTTTGTTGTTCTTCAGAAATGGGTGCATGTTTTCACTTGAACGAAAATAAAGTCGAGACACCAAAACGATGCGATATTTATGTTCTTGCGCCTGTTTCTGTGTGTATATTACTCATATCGTGCCTTGGAATTTTTGCGTACTGTGCGCTTAATGTTTTTATGGTCAATTCTGGTTTTATTTCTTTTTTTCTGTTTCGTTCATTTGTCCATCGCCGATTGGTGCGCGGTGTTTGCGAAAAGAAATACGTTGTATGAGAAGGTTGTGAGATGAATCAAAACAGAAATTGAATTGGAATCGAGTTTGCTGTTTTTATTATCAATGTTATTTAAAAATCTACTAACGAACAAGCATCGGGGAAGGTGTTTCTTCACAGTGGTGGCGACAACGGCAGCAGCAGCAGCGACGACAGCAGAAATGATTCAATGGACGCGGCCCTAACGCATATATATGTGCCATGTTCATATACATATGAGCACGCATATACGAAATATATTTTCAGCTCGGGTTCACGATTAATAATAATCGCAATATCTTGATTAACATCAAAATGTTCAACGGGCAATGAAGCAATATTGTATGGTATGGTTCCAAGTGAATTCAGTTCGTACTATTGTCTCGCGAGCAGATTGAAGGATCGAAAATTGTGTGTAATTGCCGGAAAAGGCATTGTGTTTTATTTTCATCTTCGTTTCAGCAGCAGCAGCATAGTGTCGATCGTTCCCAAAAAAAATAACTAGCCTCAAAATTTTACATCCGACCGAAAGGCGTTACAAACGAAGAAGATGAGGAGAAAAAAGAATCCTGCATGCAGAAATTTTCGACAATAAACAAGAATTTATATTAGGTGACAGCAAATATGAAGTTTTATTAATGCGAATGCCACGCATGAATGAATGAAAAAATTACAACGATCAACATGATTCTTTTCAAGGGAATCGTCGCCGCCACCGTCGTTGTCACTAGTTGTGCGTCGTTAAGGAATTTCATAGTTTTGTGCGTACAAAAAACCGCACATTTCATACCATATATATTTTGCATGTTTCACACAGACATTTGCTTGATTTATTCCAAACACACACAATTTTTGTGGCAAAGACAAAACTGAGCACAGTGTTCAACAATTCGAATGCGGTGGTTTTATGCCATTTATTTTGGGACTGATCTATATGAATGCAGTGAGCATTCGGTGTTTATACTGTTTTGCAGATGTTTTGATCATTTTGTGTTTACAAATTTTTCGTTTCGTATCAATCTCTCGGTCGTTGCAATTGTAATATTGTGGTCTAACAAATTTTCGAAGCCGCCTTGAATACGTCAAACTACAGCTTGAGTGAATTCTGTGGAAAGCTGGAGCTGAAACGAACACACAGATACACACACACAGAGAGAGAGAGAGAGAGAGAGCGATCTGGTATGTGCTGCGAATCAAACCAAAGAAAACCAATACCGTCGCTATAATTTTTGCCCATTATTTTTGGGCTTCATCTCACGTATCTTGTTGTCATTCATTATCATCCGTTTGCGGCAAAAATTCTTTAGCTGGAAAAGCAAGTTCGCGCGCGCGCCTTCGAGCGCGCTCACATCGTTGAACGATAACACAAAACAAAGGAACTGGATGATTGAGCTGCGATCGAAATAAATTAGTGTAAATAATTTATTAAATATTTGTTGATGTTTCTTATAGCCATTTTCTCTTTCTTTCTCCCTGCGTTCGTTCGCATCTTCTTTATTTCTCTTTCATTACTTCTCCCTTCAAATTTGCCGATTTAGTCTCTGTGTTTTGCGCTGCATACTACTTACTATCGGGACTGAAACAGAGAGTGTGTGTGTGTGTGTGTTTGTGTGAGAGAGAGAGAGAGCGAACGAAAGGAAAATATAATTTAATCGATCGATGCCGTGTCGTAAGACGTTATCATCAAAGCACACTCGCGAGATTGAATTATTGACAACATTGGCCGAAATATTTGAAAAATTGCCATTCGAAGCGAAAATCTGAAATACGAGAAACGAAGAAAAAGCCGAAAAATCACTTTTCCCCGAACTATAAATTCGCCCAAAGGTGTCTAATTACACGAAAATGTTAATACGTCCGCAAATTTTCAGTTTCATTGTTGGTTCGAGACTTCTTTCAAACGAAGAATCTTGTTGTTCCTTTGTCTTCTGCTTCTTCTTTTGCGCATCGCAACTCGACGACCCCCAAAATTGACGGCGCACTGAGCCGTTTAGGTGACACAATATTAACATAACTTTTCCGCCAATTACTTCAGAGCCGCGATTTTTCATATTTTATAAGCATTTTTTCTTGAATTATTCGCAAAGAACGTGGAGCTGTTAAGTGCTTTTGAGCGCAATTAAGTCGACAAATTATGTTTGAATTTTGATAAGAAGCCACCGAAACTGCTGCGATTTTCAACATTGATTGGATTTTCCCCGGTTGCCCATTGATTATTATGATCTGATTATTATCTGATTACTTTTCTGTTGGGTTCTTGGTTTTTGGCAATGAGAAACAGCGGTGAAAATTAATTGAAATATGCTCCGGTCCAGCTACATGTGTTCGATCATATGTAAAGAAGAGAAAAAAAAAATTCGCTTGTCGTGGAAATGACAAAAGACAATGCACATATTTCAGCATCATTATCATGGGTTGAGAAAGCGTTTGATGCATTTCAAATGTGCACTCGCGAATATGATGCACACGCGCAGCCAGCCAGCCAGTCATTGGAATGCCAAACTCCAAACCGAAACCGGTATGCAGTTCGATGAGCGGCTTAAATTGCATTTTACGCGCCAAAATGTGAAATTCCTTTGGCCAACTACATGCATACTGGTTTCGGTGCATCGTGCGCACACAACAATTGCAGTGATGCTGATGCTGCTGCTGGCTGCTGTTGCAAGGATATATTCAAACGCGCTCGCTTCGTTTCGCTTTCATCATTATTCCTCGAAATACCACAGACACTGACGATTCGTGTGTGCAAAGTCCAATGCAAGAATCTTTATTATTCTTTAATCTGATATTTAATCATACCGCTGAGTGGTTGTGAAGTCAATATGGATTTTGAGCCGCATTTTAATTTTTCCAATTAAACTGCGACGATTAAATCTGTAATTTTTATCACTTTCGATTTGCCGGTGCAACAAAAAAGCGAAATGAGCCTGTGGAATGACTTGACCAACCGGATGACCATGCATTCTGGGAGTTCGGAACGCCACTTGCATCGTTTGCACCGGCAAAAAATCACACTTTTGTATTCCCTTTTTAAATAGAGATTGAACGATGATAAAAATTGTTGTTGTTCTTATTCTGGTACACGGGTAACACCACATGATTCAAAAGTATATTTGATTTAATCGCCAAATGAGAATATTTTTCGGCTTCGTTTTACATCATTTTTCCACTCTCTAATTCTCAATTAAATTAATAATCCAATTTCTCTTGTCGGGCAACCACAAAAAAAAAACACTTGGAGTTGTTTCAGTTCTTGTGCCAAAAATTGAATACACTGCATTTGGCGAATGCAAGTTGAAAGTCCGTGGTTTGACGAAGCTAAAAGAAGCGCGAAAGTGATGATTGAAGTTATTTCAAAATAATAATAATAATGATGGGGTACTTAATAAGGTAGATCGACTCATAATTACGTGATGCAATAAGAGGTTTTCCGAATCGTAAATTGTGCTCGGTTAATGTAATCACTGAGCAATATACTCGACGAAATTGAGAAACATGCAGTGGAGGATTTGGCGCTTTTTTCGAATGAATTTCATGAAATTACGTTGAGTCTTTTTTTTTGTTTTAGAATATAATTTTATGACGGCGCTTGAGTTTTGTTATAGAATGAAAAAAATGATATGATGTTATAAAAAATACAATTCAAATATATACACAAAGTTAGTCGAATCGATACAAATTTGACGAACTGGGCCATCCTTTAATATTTTTTGCATGTTTTTCCCAGAACAAACTCTACTAAGAGAAAACACACATATTTCATTGATTAATCCGAGTCTATTGTTGAGGTTAAATCAATATATATAAAAATCATTGTGTGTGTGTGTGCGTTTGTCCTATTTTTTTTTATTTTCATGATTTTTTAATTCTTGGTTTTAATGGTGAATATGTCGTTAGAATTCTCGCTGCTTAAATAGAAGATTCACATATCAGTTTTGATTTTCGAATTAAATTTTCAAAAGTTTGAAGAAACAATTTTTTTAATTGTTTTTCGATACAACGTACATTAATGTGGATTGATGGCAATGAAATATTGGTTTTGGAACAGAGATGAACATGGACACCATCTCGGTCCATCATGGTCATCTTAACACGACTTAACAGCAATTCACGTATGAAAAAAATGCGTGTAAAATCAACTCCAGAAAAAGGAGCAACTTTCCCAGAAAATCGTCTTTGCTTTGAAAAAACAAGTATGGAACATACGAAATGATACAGACTAACGTTCATAACTGAGTTTTGCTTTTTACGTCAAATTGTATCGTCATCTCACTGAAATGCTTAGTTTTCTTATTCATCTTTCTTGATTAAAAAAAAAAACTAACTGAACGGAAGAGAAACCGAACTAGCGCCCAAGCCGAGCGAAGCGAGGCGAGGAAGCTATTGACAATAATTTCATATTATGTTTAAATTGTCGACCATTTTTTCTTTGAATGTTCAATTTTGCCTAGCTCAAACTAGATCATATTGGGCCTAAGTTAAACATTCCAAAAACAATTTACCGACCTAAACTCATTTTTGTTTGTGACTTCGAAACAGATAGCACCTATGAAGAGCGGCTATTGTGAGGAACTCTAGCTTGAAAATAAATGTATTTTCAATGGTGAAACAAATACAATTTCTAGGGTGAATCAATTTCAATATTTCTTTTGTGGAATTATTTTCATGCTCATTTTCATCAATATTTCCATCTCTTATTCAAGGTGACCTTTAATCGATGCCAAAATTAAATTACAAACAGATGAATTGATATCCATTTCCATAATCCATATTACAAGCTTAGTCAAATTTTCGCTGTATTCCTGAATATCCATTATTTCTGATACACTGATTGTTTGCGGTTAAATACCATCCGTTTCAAAGCTGGTAGTCCTTTGATTAATTTAACGATCGTGCTAGCAGATATAATATGCTTGTAATCTACTCTATACTTCAAATATTTGTGATGCTGTAATCCAAACAATCCCAGCACCGTTTCTTCAAAATCGTGATCAAACCATCAAGATGTAGCGCCTCAATTCTGGGTACATTTGCAACAAGCAAACCGATTAAAATTTTCGCTGGATATGAGTGGTGAACACTTATTTCAAGATCTCTCAATTCTTGTAATTGGCTCAAATCTATCACCAATTCAGTGTACTCTGACATGGTCATGGGGTTTTCGTAGGCAACAGATTATTTTGTAAGATTTGATAAGCGATTGCTGATTCCAATTTAAGGTAAATGTGTCACATTTTCGCAACTTGTTCGCTTAGATTATAAATTTTATAGAATTTTCTTTATTTATGCTATTTTCAATTTTAGGAATTTCTTCGTGATGCACTGAAAATCTTTTTGACATTTCTACTTTTTCATTTCTATTATCTGTTGCTTGCAATTCAATTATATTTTTCTTCAATGTATTTTTTAAAATGATTATTTATATTGCGAAAAAATCCTAATTCAACACATTTTACCATCAGACTTTTTCGATTGAAAGGTGAGAAGAAGAAACAAGAAACGACTTGAAGGAACGTGAGAATTCGTTTGACATAAAAAAAATCTATTGTTTGATCCAGATCTAGATACAGTAGAACCTCGATTATCCGTCCTCCCATTATCCGTCACCTCCGTTAACCGTCACACCTTTTCAAGGTGGAAAAGTTTTTTTTTAAGTTCATTTTTCAGTTTATTTCACTTGAACATACGAATAAAGTTGCCAACTAACTTTCATAATTAAAACCAATTATGTGCCGCTTGTACATTCGCACAAAAAGATTTGAAATCAGAGGCTTTGCGTTTTCTGTACACTTCTCGTATATACAAGATTGTCCAATATATTGGACAATGCACCAAATCTGTTCTCATATCTATCATATATTTTCTACATCACCCTGTTTTTTATCATAAACTAATTAGAAAGTATGGAAATTTTGATTACTTTGCCTTTTTTATGAGAATCTCGATTATCCGTCTTTTTCGATTATCCGTCAAGGCGCTGGTCCGGTGCCTGACGGATAATCGAGGTTCTACTGTATAGACACATTTAAATAAGAAATATACATTAAACGCATTCAAAGAAATTGCCTCGTTTGTTTGTTACTGAAAACAGAAAGTGATTGCATTTGGTTGGGAAAGATCTTTGAAAAATTATAATATTTTAATTTTTATTTTTTACATATTCATTGATCATGTATGTTCTCTTTCTCACATTCCGCCTTTAGTTCTATATATTTCCTAGAACAAGCTTCTTTTTCAACAGAACTAATTAGGTACAAAGTATTTGGAAAAAAAAAAAAAAGAATTAACTGATCAGAAATCGGCTAAAACAAAGTATGACCTGATGCATTTGAGTCGTTTTGAACTTCTACTACTGCACCGAAATTATTTCTTTTGATGGATAAAAAACAAAATTGAGCTGCTTAAACAACGATCAATCAAAATCAAAATATCATTTTAAATTCAAAACAAACACACAAAAGAAATTAGCTGGTGTTGAAATTCGTTCATAAAAATATCTAAACCATTTCAAAAATCCTCGTTGAAACCTTCTTATCAATTGCATCGCAGCATGGCACACTAATCTGGGCACAACACAGTACCAACTTCATTGGAGAGTGCACTCAAGTTGTCAAGTGCAGTGTATCAAAGTAGCGTCATTTGCTGTTGCTATCATACAAAGAAAAACATCTATGTTGGTCAAGTTCAAAGTTCAATAACAACAAAGAAATATTCAAACAAAGGACGAATATCCTTTAAAAATGGAGAACGTTTACAAGACTTTTGTTTTGGATCAGGAGGATGATTCCGATAATTTTTGCGTTTTAATTAAAACTAAGGGACTATCGAATTTCGATAGTTTCAAGGAGGCGCTCTTCAATCGTATTCCGATGCTGAAAAATATGCCACTGTACATGTTTTACAAAGGTAAGTAATATAAATTTTTGTCCATTTTTTTTCAAATTAATTTACAAAATTTTTGATATTTTTTGAACTTTTTTTCAACATTGTCGATTTTTTAATCCAATAGATCCGTTTGGTAATAGAGTGATAATCAATACTCCATCAGACTTTGAATTTTTTCAAAGAGAATCCATCAATTGTGTGTTATTTGTAGTGAAGAATCCACAAAACAAGTTTTTGTCCAATATTTTTTGGGATGATGCTAGTGTGCCGTCGCCAAATTTGAATATTCCTGCTTTTGGATTCGTCCAATCAAGTGAAAACAAACCATACCGAACGTATACACGCGAAGATAAGAACAAAGCCATCGAAGCGATAAAGAATGGAATGACTGTATCGCAAGCGTCACGTAAGTATAGAATATCATGGCAATATTTGTACGACACTTGGAAGAAAATGCAAATAGCTGACTCTCAACTAAACGAGAAAGATGATGAGGACGATACTGATGCTCTACTGAGCGATGAGGAACGTTTTCATGCACTATATAAGAAAATGGTTTTAGAAATATTGAAGAAGGATGAGAATGCCTCAAAAAAGCATGTTCAATTCCTAATAAAAGAGGTCGAAGCATTGAAAGTAGAAGACACATCAAAGATGCTAATTGAAGGCAAAATAATTCAACAATTATTGAAATTGAATGTTCCATCAAAGGTGAATACCTCATCAGAAACTGCTAACCAAACAGCTGACTGTAACAATGAAGAAAAGGACACCTCAAATTTGGAAGCATCGCCATCAAAAAACGGTTCGTGTAAATTTTTCAATTCCACTATTACATCAATAAATGTTCCTCTTTCTATAGGTTCGCCGGGTAATGAATGGATTCTGATTGAAAACAATGAGTTTACAAAAGACAATGCATCAATCGGTAGCAATGGCAGCACTATAGCCGTTCTAGAAGAATCAACTCCATCTGAAAATATGGACGATGAGGAGATGATTGGTTTTTCAGAATCATGGCGCAATTATCAAGAAGCAAGACAAAATATGGAAGCAGATGATAATAGTGAGAGCGGAAATGAAACTGTTACAATGGATGACACCGTTGGTGAACCCAAGTGTCAAGAACCAGTTTCAATGCATTCAGGTTTTGCTATATTTGCTCAAATTTCTCTCCAATTCACTTTTCAACAATACATTAAAATTTAATTATTTTTGTAGATCCTCGTGTAAATGAAGCATTGAGTATCTTAACTGCTATGGGATTCAAAAACGACGACGGTTCGTTGACAGAGCTTTTGGAAATGGTCGATGGAAATATCTCCAAAGTTCTTCAACTTTTGGAAACACCGAAATAAACGATGATTCAAATTGAAATTTCTACTTCTATTATTTTCTTTTCACTTTTATTTTTCATTATTTTTTATTACTTTTCGATGTATTTTTGTATCCAATATTCACTTTGACCAATGAATCAACATTAAATCATATTATGGCATCCCTTAAATCTGTTTGTATTTGTTTTAATATTGACAAGTCCATTTTCTTTAGTCTTCAATACAAATCGTTCCTACTAGTGAGAAAAATGGCAAAAGTCGCTTATTCCAATGCAACGGATTGGGGTGATGACTCTGTCACACTCGTGAAAATATCACGAGTCGAGCAGTTATTCATAGTGAAGAATGCACTAAAGTGTTTCACATGATTGCTGATAATCAGCAATTGCAACAATGTCATATTTTTATGTATTCTGCATCTAAAAAAGCGTGTCATTGCGAAATGATAAGACTGGGAATACTTCTGATTTGGAAACAATTGATAATCATGGCAGTGAGTCTGAAAACGGTTTGTCAAAAAAAAACCAAGTCATTTGATTGAAATTGATGGAGCAATTATAGAAGGCAATGCATCAGCTTGAATAAATCATGAGAAATGAAATTGAATTGATTGCTTTTCTACTTTCAATATATCCCTCATACAATTTGATTACTTTTTTGTGTATTTCTTATATTACAATATCCATTAAATTTGTGTGAATATTCAATTGTTTTCAGTCATTATTCAAATCAGTATGTATTTTTTCTCCATAAAATAAACATCATTTGCAGCGAAACTAATTTAGCAAAAAAATATTAGCAAATTTGCAAAAAGTTGTTTTTGACCTGTTTCAACTCAAACAAATGTGACCTGATGCAATTTGGATTTTCTATCTCTAGTACTGCATTCAACTAAGTTGTTTTCTTGAACAATGATATTTTCAATGGATATTTTTTGAATGTAACTTCCTTATTTTAATTCAAATCGAAAGCAAAATAAAGTTTGGCCTGAATTTGAAATCGATTCTTTCTTTTTGTGATCAAATATTTGACATTCAGAGTAAAAAAAACCTCGTTGATCCTAACTGATCTAGTGTGGTAGTTGATTCTATCCTACTAGAATGATTCTAGTGTGCACTTTACATTAGTACTAAACATACCACAACCAACTTCGTTGGTGATTAAGCTGAAGCTATCAAGTGCGACATGCACATAAATAAGCCAATATACTGCAAAACAGCATTATTTGCAGTTGCATTCTGTAGAGATAAACATCGACTTTTTTCAACTCTCAAACTTCTGAAAACAAAGAAAGAACTTATTTTCAAAATGGAAGTAGTGTATAAGATTTGTGTTTTGAAAAATGAGGACGAAAAGGCGAAACATTTCGTTTCAATTTCAACGTATCATCCAGACTTGAAAAGTTTCATGGGAGTCATTTATGAGCGCTTTCCATACCTTAAGGCTCAGCAGTTCTACATGTTTTATCGAGGTAAGTTTCGTGTTTTTTCAAACGTTTTTATTGATTATTTAACTCCAAGTTAATGCGAAATTTATTGGTAAAATGAAAACGATTTATGATTTTGAAGCCTTTTTACCTTGACTTCTACAGACTCGATTGTGTGTAACAAAAATGTGATAGCAAAAATTGTAGAACACTGCCAATATAACAACTTTACCGAAAAAAATTGCTGCTATCTCATTTCAGTTATTTGCAATCCACATCTGTAAAAGGGCTGAAAAAAAATATAAATAGCTTTACGACTCACTAATAGCGAATGTTTTCCTATTTTATTAAATTTTGCTTTCTTTTTCCTCAAATTGAACATTTTTTACTCAACAGATTTGTCTGGTGATAAAGTGATCATTTGCACTACATCAGATTATGATATATTTAATATGTATTGGCATAAGAGGAACAAAGTATACATAGTTAATGGTCCATCTAAAACTGCAAATTTCAACATTTTGCTCGAAAATTTACAAACACCGTCACATAGTTCTGACACTTCTTCTGCAATTACTGCAACACTTGACAAATTTATGGTAAATTTGACGGAAGAAAATGAGAAATTCAAGTCAAGTTTATTGGAAGAAGTGAAAAAAATATTGAATGGAAACGAAGAAATTGATTCCAAAAGTACCACTGATTGTGATAACACACAATCTCAACAACTTTATCAAGAGACACTAGCGTCGAATGCACCTGAATCACCTGAATATTCTATGATTTCTTCATGTACCGAGAAAAGTTTTACAATCGATGATGCAGAATTATCAGAATCAACAAATACTTTTATTGTATTGAATGATTCGAAAAATGAAGAGAATGTTAAAGCTGCAGAAGAGGATCAAATTGATATTTCCCATGTTTCCTCTGTTGAAACACAACTAACTAATGTAAATGAAGATAAAGTTGAGGATATTATCTCAGCAGTACTGGAAGTAGTATCAACTGAAGCCAACCAGCGTGATGAAGTACCAGCGGTATCACCATTAGAATCGATGAATGAAGTCACGGTTGATGACGATTCAGCAGTGTTTGAAGAAGAAAATGGTATGCATCAATTGTTGTAATTTTGAAGTTCGTTTCAAATTTAATAATTTTATAAACTGTGCATTTTCATAGCTTCTACAAGCCAAGAATGGACATTCATTGGAACAAATGACAATGCTGAAGAGGTTGCGTCAGGCTGCAGCGCTGCGGCCATTCCAGAGGAATCAGCAACGTCCGTTCATACGCAAACTGAAAACGTTGCAAAGCCCAACACCGTTGAAGAACACAAGGATCAAGAACCAAAACCAACACCAGCACCAACACCATTTCATTCAGGTTCCTTTCATTTTGCAAAATAATTAATTCAATCGTGTATTAATTCATGTGGCAACCTTTTATTAAAACATTTGATATTCTTTGCAGATCCTCTTGTTAACAAAGCAATAGTCACTTTAACTGAATTGGGATTCAAGATTGAACCATCATTGGTAGAACTATTGGAAATCGTTAATGGAGACATCGAAAGTATTCTTCAAGTATTAGGTTACTGAAAACCACACGAATGAAGAGATGAATCAAATTAACACGAATATTTATCTACTTCTATTATTTTCATTTTTCATTATATTTTCATGTATTTTTCCATATTGATAATTCAATTTTTCTAATAAATATGTACTTTCAACTGTATTTCATGAAATTTCAAATCTTTTCGTCCTGAAACAAGTCTTTTTTTCAATAGAACACAATATTCATCGATATATTTCAACAAAATAATAGAATCCGTAGTATGAGCGATGCATTTTAATTTTTTGAATCTTTACTCTAATCAATATAAACATCATTTGCCTAAAAAAAACAACCTCGATCAATGTCAATGAATTTAAAATGAACATAAGAATAAATTTGGTTTGAAAAATATCTGAGCTATGCTTAAAATACCGATAAATCCTTATTTATCAATAAAATCTCAGCGCTAAATCATATTTCCAAGTATATCACATACCCAAGCTGTCAAGTTCCTTGTGTGTAGAAGAGTAGATCAATTTGCGAACAGTATCGTAACCATTGTTGTGTGGTGTAAGCAGAAACATCTCCGTTTGGCAAAGTTCAAAGTTCACTGAATAATAACAAAGAAATATTTAAACAAAGGACGAAAATATTTCCAAAATGGTGCCCGTGTTCCATCGAATGATGGCGAAAATTTAAATCAGCAAATTAGGCGAATTTGGTATATCCTTAATGTATTCATATACATAATGAAGCGCTTACATTGCATCTAATCATTCGATGGCAAGACTTATGGAAACAGCTATGAAAACCAAAACGCAAACCAGAAACATAAGAAACCAATCATAATAATGGGGTTATTCCGTACTTTTATTGTTTCCTCCATGGAATTTCGAAGTTTTCTTCTTAGAAATTTTAGTAAGTTATTGTCTAATAAATTAACATTCAATCGTATTTGGCGATAATTTCACAAAGTGCAAAAAGGAGGTGGCGATCAGTGTATCCTTATACACATTAGTTTTCACCTCTAGTACTGCATCCATTCATGTGTTTTGATGGAAGAAATGTTTTTTTTTAATCTAACACACTTGTTTCCATTTAAAACAATGAAAAAAAGGAAGTTTACGTGTCAAAAATGAATTTAAAAACTTTTTTTGTTTCTCCATGCACAATAATGTTTCGATTTAGCGAGAAAAAAACCTCGTTGATCAGATACATTCTGGTGTACTTTATTCTAAACATATCACAACTAACTTCATTGATGATCAATCTCAGGATGTCAAGTGCAACATGCATGTTAGTGAGTGCATAGCAGTTACGATAGTCAAATTTTGTTGAAAAAATTTCCCTTCAACTCTGAAACCTCTAATCAACAAACGAAACTATTGTCAAAATGTCCGCAGTGATTTGTGTGTTGAAATTGCAAGGAAAACCAGAATGGTTCGTTTCGTTTCCAAGGGATTATACGGACTTTGGTGGTTTCAAGTGGGCGATTTTCGAACGATTCCCATATCTAAAGTCACGGCAGATTTTCATGTTTTATCGTGGTAAGCTATATAACGTTTTTTTTTCTAACTTGGTTAAATGTTTCGAAAGATTTGATTTTAATTTTCTGCTTGCATTTTTTCTACCATGAATAATTTTTTCCTCAACAGATTTGACTGGTGATAAAGTAGCCATTAGTAGACAATTAGATTACTGTCGATTCCGTGAGCAGAGGACGAACAAGATATTGATGGTGACTGATTCAATAAAAAGTGCATGTTTCGACATTTTTCCGGGATATTTTGAAAGGCCGTTAGGTTTAGACATCAGCTCTGCGTATACTGCAACACATGAAAAGCTTGAGGAGAATTCAATGAAAGAAAATAATAAAATTAAGAAGAATTTATTGGAGGAAATCAAGAAAATGCTCGATAGAAACCAAGAAACCGATGCGAGAAAATTCACAAATGGTATCCTACATGCACTTTTGAACATTTCGTCGAATTCACCGTGTTACTTAGAACGGGTGGAGAAGGAAATCAAGGTGGAG